TCATTTAATTCGAAGATTACCTGTACTTTAAGTGTCATTTTGGAGGGAAAGACGGGTCACGAAATAACAGAGTTGGAAGGGACCGTGGAGATCTTCTAATCCAATCTCCTGCTTAACCAAGAGACCCTACACTATTTCAGACAAGTGGCTGTCCAATCTCTTCTTAAAGATCTCCAGTGATGGAACACCTACAACTTCTGAAGGCAAACTGTTTCACTAATTGTTCTCTCAGGAAATTTCTCCTTAGGCCTAGGTTAGATTTTCTCCTGGATTAGTTTCTATCCATTGCTTCTTATCTTGCCTCCAGGTGCTTTGGAGAATAGGTTGACCCCCCCCTTCCTTGTGGCAGACCCTTGGATATTGGAACACTGTGATGATGTCACCTCTAATCCTTTTCATTAAGCTGCTAGACCACTGGTGGCAAACCTATGGCACACGTGCCAAGAGGCGGCACTCAGAACCCTCTCTGTGAGCATGCGTGCCGTGCCCAGGAGATGGTGAGGGACTGGCTCCCGCCGCCCTGGCCCTACCCACCCAGCGAAAAATAAGTAGGTTTTGGGTTGCAATTTGGGCACTGGGTCTCTAAAAGGTTCGCCATCACTGTGCTAGACAAACCTAATTCTTTCAATGTTCTTCATGTTTTAGCCTCCAGTCCCCTAATCATCTTTGTTATTCTTCTCTGCACTCTTTCTAGAGTTTCAACATCTATACTGTAGTGACCAAAACTGGATGCAATATTCCAAATGTGATCTTAAAAGGCCCTATAAAGTGGTATTAACACTTCACATGATCTTGATACTATTTCGGTACTTCTTTGGTGGCTACTGCAGTGCTGGTTCATATTTAAGTATTCTAAGATTCCTGTTACTCCTATTGAACCAGCTACCTGTGCATTTTGATTTTTCTTGCCTAAGTATAGAACTTTACTTTTCTCACCACTGAATTTCATTTTGTTAGATAAGTTATAAATATCGATAAATTAAGTATAAAATTACTAAATGCACACAAACGCACTTTCTCAGTTTCTTTCTCCCTGACCTAGCCTGTGACCCATCCTTGGCTTTGAATAGAGCTGGAAGGGACCTTGGAGGTCTTCTAGTCCAGCCCCCTGCTCAAGCAGGAGACCCTATACCATTTCAGAGAAGTGACTGTTCAGTCACTTCATAAAAACCTCCAGGCAAGCTATTCCACTGGCAAATTGTCCTCACTGTTAGGAAATTTCTCCTTTTTTTAAAATAAAGTTTTATTGATTTTCTAGTTTTACATTTCAGTATTTAAAAAGCAACGTGGCGGCTGCGTTAACCAATAATTCAGTAACATACAAGTATCCTTAATATAAATCTCAAGCTACTACATTAAATTTTTCCTCTCTTTTCCCCTTAGCATTTACTGTCTCCTGTTTAAACTTATCCAATTTTTATTAAATCAATTAAATAAAAATATTCTTACATTTATCAATTTTTGGCTTATATATATCCTTATTATTTTAATATTCAGTCTTTATAGACAATCAATGTCCTAACTAGTTTACTCAAATTTTTAATTTCCCAGTAATATTTAACTTTAACGTTTAATATTTATAATTTCCACGTTTTGAGTAACCAAAGTTCCCATTTTCACAATTCATCACAAAGTCTAATATTCAGAATACAAATCTCATCATTTAGATATATTCTATTTCTCACTATCTTACATCAACTAATAGATAATACAGTATAACATTATTTCCTATTAATTTCCAAACATTTTAAATTTAATAACCAAATTTTCTCGTTTCAACATCAAATACTTCCTCTTTTTCTCTTAATGTCTATTATCGCATATTTAAGCTAGTACAATTTTTATTATATCAGCTAAGTAAAAACATGTTTGTTACTTTTATCAATATATTTTTAACTTATATATATCCTAAATAGCATTACATTCAACCTTTATAAACAAATCAATATTCAAATTTAACTTTTAGTATTTATATTTCCAAATTTTAAAATAACCAGTTTTGTTTATCTCAGTTTATCATAGTCAAATATTCAAAATACATATCTCGTTAAATCGAGTATATTCTTTTTTAATCCTTACTAATAAATCAAAACCCCAATTTTCTTCAGCCTTATTCTAGCTTTCTTTGCCAATCCACCTTCCATATCTGTGCTTTTAAATCATCATATAGATCTCCCTCTGTTATTATATATATTGTTTGAAGTAAGAAAAGCCGTCCAGTCACCATTTTTTTGAAGGGGCTAACAAGTCATCTATTTTTCTCTCTCGATGTAGTTGTCCTGAAATGTTTATCTTCCCTTTGGTCTGTTCTTCTTGGTCCTCAGGTTTCTTCTGATTGGTATAAAAAGTCTTTTCCATTTTCAAAGCTGTCAATCCCTTTTCTGGGTTTTCTGTTAACAGTGTTTGTTGGTCAGTTGAATCTTCTATCATAGTATTTAATTGCTCCACTTCTGCTATTATATTCTGTGTAGTTAATTCTTTGGTTGTGATCAAAACTTGGGTTCGTATATCTAGGCGGACATCTTGTCCTTTTTTGTAGCCTCTTATTTCATCAGTGGCATTAAGAATAGTTTCATGAGTTGCTTTCAACATAAATAAAATCTGTTCCTGATTGTCATCCATGTTCTCTTAGTGGTATGAATTAAAAGCTTTTCAATCAGAAAATACAAATAATTTTATCACAAAGTATAGAACACAGCTGGGCTTCTCAGTTGATTGTCAAGGTTACAAATCTTATCTATAGTCTGGGCTTCAAGCCAAGTCTCTTTAAAACAGGGCTTTTCAACCAGCGGTACAGGTACCACCTGTGGTACATTGGCACCTGGCAGGTGGTATGCGACCATCCTAGAAAAGTGGTAGCGGGAGAGGGGAATGAGCTGAACCAGTGGCAGCACCACACAAGCCTGAACGAGAGATGGCTGGAGCTGCAGGGCTGCCAGGGCTCAGAGGAAGCGCTAGGATCAGTGCTGCTTTCCAGCTGATCCCCACTTCTTCGGGGCTGTCAGGGCTCAGTGGAAGCACCAGGATCAGCGCCAGGCTCCAGCTGGAGCTCAGCATTGATCCTGGCGCTTCTGCTGAGCCCAGAATCGCCGATCAGCTAGAATGTTGCAGCATCTCCAGGGTCTTGTGATTTACATTCGGATGCTTGGCAACTGATTCATATTTATGACAGTCACAGTGTCCCAGGGTCATGTGAAGTGACCAAAACTTGCTGCAACCACCCAGCAGATGGGAATAAAAACCAAATATCCCCTCACCCCCACTGCCAATCATCAACAGAAATGCTCACAACAATGAAAACCTTGGACAGGAGGAACAGCGTCACCGGGTGGGCAGGCAGGTGTCTTGCTCAGCTGTGTCTTGGGGGGCACTTTTTTCAGTGCCATTGTAACTTTGAACAGTCACTAAATGAACTGTTGTAAGTCGAGGATTACCTGTACTTTATCACTTTTTTCCTTTTTTTTGGGTCATCAAGTTTTTGACATCTTGCTAGGCGACTGGTGGTACTTGGCTATTGCCATATCCTAAAAGTGGTACAATGGGTGAAAAGGTTGAAAAACCCTGCTTTAAAACAATAACAGGTTGTAGTATCAGGTTTAGCCACAAGATGTCGCCCATACCATTTAGAACAGTGATGGTGAACCTTTTGGAGATTGAGCGCCCAAAAAGTGGCCCTGCCCCCACTCCACTTCCCTGCTCTGCCTCCCCATTCCCCACCCCGCCTGCCCACAGGACCACTCACCGCCTCCAGGGCCCGCTGCAGATTGCCCAGGCAGCCCAGCAGTGCTATGGCAGCCACACCTTCTGCCCGCATCCTGCAGCATCAGCTGCATGATGGGATATGAGGGCAGTCTTGTCTACGCTGCCTGGCTGCCATGCTCCATGTGGGTCACACTCAAGGGCAACTCTCCTTCAGGGGGGCTGCTGGAGACGAGGGGATCACGGGGGAGGCAAGGCTGGGGCAACGGCACGTGTGCCCACAGAGAGGGCTCTGAGTGCCACCTCTGGCACCTGTGCCATAGGTTCACCACCACTGGTTTAGAATTTTCTTTTTTACATCCAAGATTTTTATAGTCCTTTTTCCAATTTTACATCTTTTTTATAAGTAAAAACCCAAATCTTCAATAAAAATAGGAAATCTTTTAGTTTTAAAAAGATAAAAATCCAATTAAAATCAGGTTATTGTTTCAATATTTTAAACTCCCCTGGATAGCCAGTCGCCATTTTTAGAGGGTGGGATATAGTTTCCCTTCCCTCTCTACAGGGGAAAAAATATCTTGGGCAGCTTATACAGATGAAAAAAATAGTTAGGCTTGAAGAGAGGTTCAGATCTCACCCAGTCTCATCCACCCTGCTTTATAGGTTTGACTTCGGCCGTCTACAGTCTAGTGATGAGCCATATTTCTATGGCCAATCTTTCATCCACCGGTTTGGAAGGCTGTGCTGGATCGGGCGGAAGGGCTACCGCCCTCCCGTGATCAAGCGGAGATCTCCTCCTTGCTGGTTGCCCCTACAGGACGACTTTCAACCCTTAACAGGGCCCCCAGCGATGCGAAATCGGACATGGAAGATGGAGCTTGCCTTCCAAACGTCCTCAGCAGCCGCATCGGCAAACTGGAAGTGGGAAGGAAGTTTCTCCTTAATTCCAGGTTGTTTCTCTCCTTGATTAGCTTCCAACCATTGTTTCTTGTCCTGCCCTCTGGTGCTTTGGAGAATAATTTTATGCCCTCCTCTTTGTGACAGCCCCTCAAATACTGAAATATTGCTATCATCTCTCCCCTATTTCTTCTTTTCTTTAGACTAGCCAAACCCAAGTGCTGCAGATGTTCTTCATATGTTTTAGTCTCCAGGCCTTTGGTCATTTTAGTTGCTCTTCTCTGAACTTTTTTTTTCCAAAGTGTCAACATCTTTTTTGTAGTATGGTGATCAAAATTGGTTGCAATATTCCAGGTGTGGTCTTACTAGAGTTTTATAAAGCGTGATTTTGATTCTATGCCTCTATTTATACAAGCCAGGATTGTTTTAGCTTTTTTGGCTGCTGCTGCACACTGCTGGCTCATAGTCAAGTGATCGTCCACTAGGACTCCAAGGTCCCTTTCACAGTTACTGTTTTTGAGCCAGGTCTCCCTAATCTGTACTTTTATCCTTGATTTTTCCTGCCTAAAGGTAAAACTTTGCCCTTCTCCACATTCAAACTCATTTTGTTGGATAGGGCCCATTGTTCCAGTTTGTCAAAATCTTTTGGGATTCTGAGTTTGTCTTCAGGAGTGTTGGTTACTCCTGCCAGTTTAGTATCATCTGCAAATTTGATGAGTTCACCTTCTATTCTATGCCCTCCAAGAAGCACATAGGAAGCACTTGTGCCTTGATTCAAAAAGGTTATGCGTATCAATCCTTTTTTTAAAAAAAATACATTATTTATTTATTCATCAGGTTAATCTAGATTAACACATACAAAAACTCTACAAGATTTTTTTCCGACACTTCAGACTCCCACATTGGCAGGTAGTCTCTGTCTCAGGCATACTTCCAGCTTCATAACCATAATCCCATGTAAGTTCAGTTCCAGCTTTCACAAACCTGCAAAACAAATATGTCACACAATTAGAATAATAGCAATTAATCCATGAGGACCTATGCTTACTTTTACTTTTACGGGTCTTTTCTGAGAATAAGACTGCCAACAAGAAAGTAACAATGTCTGCTCTTCACATAACTTACAGCTATCTTGGTGATCAGAACTGGACATAGTATTCCCAAACGTGATCTCACTAGTGCAGTATGAAGTGGTACTATCATTTCCCACGATCCTGATACTATCTCTCTTGTTAATGCAGCTTAGGACTGCATTGTGCTTTTTGGCAGCTGCAGCATCACCGCTCACTCATATTCAAGTGATGATTCACTAGGACACCCATTCTACCTAAGTGCAGGATCTTACCTTCCTTACCTTGAACTGCATTTTGTCTGCTGTGACCCAATGTTCAAATCTGCCAAGATCCCTCTATCCTCCAAAGTGTTAGCAATAACCCCCAGCCTGTCTTATTAACAGATTACTAAATTTTAATTTTAAGATTGCTAAATTTGAATATCTAGCACATAATGCTTAAGTAGCACTAATCAAGATTTCTGTTTTTAACAAAGATTAAAGAAACAAATGAAATCATGGTTTAATTCACTAAAGTATGCTCTGTCCCTGCAGATCATGCAGGAAAACATTAGTAAGAATGGAAAGCCAGGAAAATTATCTCTCCTGCAACAACTAAAACATGTTATTGGTTTTTAATAATGGTTTGCAAACTCACTTTAAATCATGCTTTTCCTCTCTTTTATAATTAATATTTAATAACGTCTAAAAAACTAAGAGCATTTACCCATGATAAAAACTGAAGTGTTTAATGTTACGGATAAACAGTCTATTAATCAATACTATATACAGCTGCACACTCAAATCCCAAAATAGCTTCCTTCATCAGTTCCTTGAAATATCAAGATTTGTTTATGGTGCAGACATAAAAATATATTACTCCAAACTCAAGCACTTATGCTATAAAAATAAGACAGTCATAGAGCTGCATCTTATCTTTGCCTTTATATAAATGGAATAAAACTCTTGCTATTTTTTTTCTTTTTAATATGGCTCAGCAGTAACAGCGTTCCATTTTCTGCCTTCTGTATTGTTTAGTACAAGATAACCACAGAACAAATATTCAGTTTTATACATTTTTTTTCTATTTTTGCTCACAGAATTATGCTTAGGATTTGTTAACAAAGAAAAATATGTCAAACCTCTTTGTGAAGAATGCCACCCAGGGGAAATTTCTGTTGTGCGTCTCTACAAATACACTTTGTACAAAGAGATTAGGAGAGCAGCTGTGCTATAAACAAAATAAATAATTGTTATAATAGGACCACCTATATTCTTTTAATATACTTTTTGTGCACATTTGGATCATTTCTTTTGACATGGAGTCAGGCACGAATGCCTGGGTAAAGTATTCTTTTCTGTAGTGTTTAACATCATTAATGCAAAAGGAGAAAGGAGGAAAACGGTTTTATAAAGAGACAAAATCTGTGTATTCAGTATTAATAGGTTATAAAACCATAGTGCTGTTTTTAATATATTTTATATGCTATTTATTAACATCTCTTGCTTTGCTATAGCTGGTTAAACATTGTTAGCTCTATCACTCTTGCAAGACCCTCTCAACCTTTGTGTTTCAAGAAACTGTATGGTAACTCTCTTAAGGATTCTGATCATTAACATTCTTATCAACTCCTCAGCCTTTGGATCAGGGATCAAAATATTAGAATTCCAATTAGAGACCTGGCTTCCTGCCATATCAAAAGCAGATAGACCTGCCTTTCACAGTAAATGGTTACACTTTTCTTAACATTTTACTCTGAATTCTTTATGCTTATCTTTTTCTCTTATCAGCTGTAGAATAATCTTCAGTGGTCTCTATTCATGAATGACCATATCCTATTTCTTTATAATTGATAAAATATACAAGAACTTTGTAATTTTGTAGCTCCGTGTAAGAGATTAGTCACTCCCCCACTGTCCACACTTCTTGGGTGACCTTTTTACCACTGAGTTCAACCAAACCAATAAAAGTAAAACTATGCTGACTCTGTGTACCGCTTAGAGAGGGCTGTAAAGCACTGTAAAGCGGCATATAAGTCTAAGTGCTATTGCTATTCCTATTTCAACACATAGCAAGCAAAACTGTAACAAAACATTTTTCAAAATTAGCATATTAGCTGCATGTACAGTAAAGTGTGCTGACTACTCAGTGCATGTGAACTGTATTGGTTGCCAGTGTGCTTCCAGATGTAATTCAAAGAGCCAGTTGTCATCTTTAAAACCCTTCATGTCATGGGACTGGGTTACTTAAGGAAACATTTTTCCCCAGTTGTTTTTACCTGTCTGGCCAAGCAGGATGGAGATATTCTGGGTCCAGTCGGCTAAGGAAGGTTGGCTGTGAGGGCCGAGGTGAGCCTTTTCTGTTGTAGCACCCACACTACTGAACATTTGCCCCCTGGAGATCAGGATGTCCCCATCCTTGCTGGCCCTTTCTGAAGTCCTGGGACCCTGAGCCTATGAAGGGATAAATCTCCCAGTTGTGTTAGTGATAGCTGCATTTTTCTTGGCTGCTGTGTATTTTAATTTTTATGATTATGATTATATTTTTAAACTTTGATTTTAAATATTGCTTGCTGCCCAAAGCTATTGGCTGAGATAGGTGGTTATATAAACTGAATCTAAAGAAGTAAAGAAATAAAGCTTACATTAAGAAACCTGCCTACATTGCCTTCCCTTGTGGCATCCAGCAAACAAGGATTTTCTTCATTCTTTGGACATGTCTCAATTTCTGCTGCCTCATTCATACAAGCAAGTTCTTGTCTGTTTCTCTGAGTTTTCCCCTTTATTGTGCTGTCTGACTCAAGAATGTTCTTATGTTGTTTTTTCACTTCTCTGCCATCTTGCATAGGCAGTTTACTTTTCAATGCAGCATTGGAAAGGAGATTCTCTTTATGGCAGTCAGTATTAGCTTCAGAATTTAGAGTGTTTACCAATTTCTCAAATTCTCCTTGCAGGCTTGATTCTGTAAAGGAGCATTTCAAAATTAGCATATACATTTAGGAGCATCTCACAGTCACACCTTCCATTATCTAGTGTAGAAGCTCTGATTTAAGTTTGCTAGACCAATTTATTAAAATATTATTTTTGAATCCAAAGCTCTATCAGATTCACAGCACGATCATGGCCATACCTACGTTTTTAGTATTTGGATCAAAAGACAAAGCTGCTTTGGATCTGCTTGAATACTGTGCTTTATTTGTTGGCAGCTGCTTACAGGAGATACACTTTTTCCAGGGATAATGACAGGGTAATGTCATTGCATTGCCTCTGCTTCTTGAGTTTACAAATCCAGGAAGAGGCACCACTCTTTTAAGGAGCTGCCAACAAATATAGAAAAGATGCCGATGGAGGATCTGAAGTACCTTTGCTTTCTCTGGATTCAAAACTGTACATCTCTGATAACGGCTTATGCTCAGAAAAAAAACCTGCATCATATAATTCTCATGCCAGAATCACACAGAATATCCCACATATGCCTGCTACATATGTATAAGAGCTCGTAGCAAGAGCTTAGCTTGTGTACTAGGTAGCCATAAATTCTGAACTATCCCAAACAAGTAGATCTTCACTGCTCAAAAGACTTCAAATCAGAGTATCAGGGAGGTAATATTTGAGGCTATCTGCCTACAGAGGTAAGAAACCCATGGCAAAGGCTGGATGTGATATTAATAGAATATTACAGTCTTTTCTGTACTGGTTAAGAATTTTTCATGCTTTTAGATTTTATGCAATTTTGACTTTATTGACTGTAGTGCTTTTAACTCCTTAATAGTGACTTTGAGATATGCAATATTATTTGCAAATTTGTTAAAAATGAAAAAAAAAATGGTGCAACTTTACCTTCATCTCTTTTTTTGGTTGCTGGAGTTATTCTTCTTGTTCCTGACATATGACACAAAGAACTCTCGTCTTCATCAGAGCTGGCATCAGTACTTCCCTTTGAAGAAAGAAATCCAGTAAGAGTAGACAAACTAGGAATTGTAATCCTGGATTTCTTTTGTTGGTTTCTGAAGGTTTTGATCTTTTTTCTAGAAACTATCCAGTTTCTTGGGTCTCAGATACAACAAACACATTTTCTAGTTTTCATATAGCTCCACAGGACATATTGGCCAAGGGTGAGGTAAGATAAATAAAAATTAAATCTAAGAGACTCTCCTGATCTCCATTCAAACCCAAATACTCTACTTAGGGAGGATCAGTCTGTGAAACAGAGTACTCTCGTGCATCCATCTTGGAAGAACAAATTTAAAAGTAGATTTAGGAAACGGTACTATCCTAAAATAATCTCCTTTCTCAGACTCTTACTTCTCCTAGCTGCAAAAGTTCATGAAATGTTTCAAACTCAGAACTGCTCAAATGCAAAATAGACTTTTCAAATTTGAACTGGACAACTACAATTTCATTTGTCAGTTCAATGAAATGTTGGAACACATTCATTAAGGTCAAAACAGCTTGATTTAATCTCAAGATAGTTATTTCAAGATCAGAATAATCGACACATATCTAAACAGTACAGGTAGCCCTCGACTTACAACCATTCGTTCAGTGAAGTTACAACAGCACAGAAAAAAGTCACTTACAACTGGTCTTACATTTATGACCGTTGAAGCAATATCCCCATGGTTGGGCACTTGGCAACCATGCATGTGTTTATGAAGGTTGCAACATCCTAGGGTCACATGATTGCCATTTGTGAGCTTCCTGCCTGACTTTCAACAAATAAAATCAATGGGGGAAGCTGGATTCACTTAACAACCCTGAGATTCACTTAAAAACCACAGTGATTTGCTTAACAACTGTGGCAGAAAAGGTCATAAATTCAGTCATGACTCATTTGATTAGCAACAGAAATTCTGGTCCCAATTGTGATCATAAATTGAGGATTATCTGCAATCTCGTCAAAAGATATATCTATATCATATCTCTCTCTCTCTCTCTCTCTCTCTCTCTCTCTCTCTCTCTCTCTCTCTCTCTCTCTCTCTCTCTCTCTATATATATATATATATATATATATATAGAGAGAGAGAGAGAGAGAGAGATTCTTCTGGGGGAAAGAGAAGGACGGGACAGCATAGGATAGTTCATCAACCTCACTAACTTTAAGATACATAGATTTCAGCTCCCCAAATTCCCCAGCTGGCATGCTTAAGTCCATATATCTTAAAGCTGTTGAGGTTGAAGAATACTACAATACTGTATTATTACTCTCTGAGCAAATAAAGATCTTCCCCTGTCACCTGGCTATCAAATGTAGAAACAGAAGAAATTTGAAACTGTTGAAGCATAGATTAAAAAAATGTAAAAATCCAACAAGGCAGACTAAAAATAAATGCAGAATATTTACTAGTTCTTGCTGGTGTCTTTGAAGAAGTGATGTTTTAGTTTTAGGTCTTGCAATAGTTTCTACATTCCAATTCTTGTATGAAGTGTAGTTCTGAATTCTGCTAACAAAAACATGGTTTTATATAGCATACCATAAAGTAGAATTCTTTAAATATTTTTTAATTATTAATTGTAATAATCCAATGTTTACAGCAGTGTTTCTCAACCTTGACAATTTTAAGGCATGTGGACTTCAACTCCCAGAATTCCACAGCCAGCATTGCTGGCTGTGGAATTCTGGGAGTTGAAGTCCACATGCCTTAAAATTGTCAAGGTTGAGAAACACTGGTTTACAGCAAATTCCTTGTCATCTTGTGGAAATTTTGTGTTGTAAATGCCTACAAAGACTACAAATTTACCTAAACTTTGTGTTGTGTAAACAGACTTACATATCCACTTGAGAGTTTCATTCATTTGGGAGATATAGCACATTCTACTGAAAAAAAAGAGCTTCTACATTAATTGAACTATGTTGAAAGTCCAACATCTACATAATTTGAGAAAAGATATACGGCATTAAAAAATCATTTATATACTAAGAAGTTTTTAGAATTGCTGTACTAAAGGACATCACCACATTGTGTAATATTATTATGATTTGCATTTTGTATGATAAAATAGAACAGAACAGAATAGAATAGAGCTGGAAGGGACCTTGGACGTCTTCTAGTCCAGCTCCCTGCTCAAGCAGGAGGACCTATACTGTCTCAGACAAGTGAATATCTAATCTCTTTTTAAAAATTTCCAGTGATGGAGTGTCCATGATTTCTGGGGGTAAGCTGTTCCATTGGTTAATTGTCCTCACTGTCAGGAAGTTTCTCCTTAATTCCAGGTTGCTTCTCTTTTTGATCAGTTTCCAACCATTGTTTCTTGTCCTTCCCTCTGGTGCTCTGGTGAACGTGACCTCCCTCTTCCTTGTGGCAGCCCCTCTATATTGGAACACTGCTGTCATATCTCTCCTATTTCTTCTTTTCTTTAGACTGGCCAAACCCAAGTTCCACAGCCGTTCTTCAAACATTTTGGTCTCCAGGCCTTTCATCATCTTAGTTGCTCTTCTCTGAATTTTTTCCAGTCTCTCAACATCTTTTTTGTGATATGGTGACCAAAATTGGCTGCAGTATTCCAAGTGTGGTCTTACTAGGGCTTTATAAAGTGGTACTAATACTTTACATGATCTTGATTCTATGCCTCTGTTTATACAACCCAAGATTGTATTAGCTTTTTGGGTTGCTGCTGCACACTGCTGGCTCGTAGTTAAGTGATCGTCCACCAGGACTCCAAGGTCCCTCTCACGGTTGCTGCCTCCAAGCCAGGTCTCTCCCAATCTGTATTTGTTCCTTTGGTTTTTCCTGCCTAAGTATAAGACTTTGCTTTTCTCCACACTGAAACTCATTCTGTTGGATAGGGCCCATTGTTCGAGTTTGTCGATCTTTTTGGATCCTGAGTTGGTTTTCTGGGGTATTGACTACTCCTGACAGTTTGGTGTCATCTGCAAATTTGATGAGCTCCCCTTCAATTCCTCATCTAAGTCATTGATGAAGATATTGAAGAGTACTGAGCCTAAGACGGAACCTTGTGGTACTCCACTACTTACTTCTCTCCATGTGGATGTAGTGCCATTGAGAACTACTCATTGAGTACTGTTTGTCAGCCAGCTACAGATCCATCTGATGATGATGTTTTCTATTCCACCTTTTCCTAGCTTACCAAGGAGTAGGTTATGGTCTACTTTATCAAGTGCCTTACTGAAATCTAGGTATACTATATCCACTGCATTTCGCTGGTCTACTAGTTTAGTTACTTTATCGAAGAATGAGATCAGATCGGTCTGGCATGATCTGTTTTTAACAAACCCTGGCTGCTAGTTATGATTTTGTTTGCTTCTAGTTGTTCGCAGATCTGGTTTTTTGATTATCTTTTCTAGGATCTTCCCAGGTATTGATGTTAAACTGATTGGTCTATAGTTTCCCGAGTCCTTTTTTTTTCCTTTCTTGAAGATGGGGACGACATCAGCCCTTTTCCAATCCTCGGGTACTTCCCCGGTTCTCCACGATTTGTGGAAGATATGGTGCAATGGTTCTGAGATAACTTCTGCCAGCTCTTTCAGAACTCTGGGATGTAATCTGTTGGGTCCTGGTGATTTGTATTTGTCAAGATTGGATAGGTGTTCTCTTACCATTTTCTTGCTTATTTTGATTTTTGTTTCTAGTATATTTTTTGCAGTGGTTTTTTGGGTGTTGGGCTATGTTTTCTTTTTGTGTGAAGACTGATGCAACGTATGAGTTAAGCAGCTCAGCTTTCTCCCTGTTGCCTGTAATTTCCTTGCCATCTTCTCTCTTTCCTTGACTTTTTTCTTGTTGTTAATGTGTTGGAAGAAACTTTTTTATTGTCCTTGCTTTCTGTTGCAAGTCTTTGTTCATTTGAGCTTTGCTTTCCTGACTTCTTTGCATGTTCCGGCTGTCTGCTGATAATCGGCCTTGGTTATGTGCCCCTCTTTCCATTTTTTTGTATCTGTCCATTTTGTCTTTTAGTTTGTTAGTGAGATCTTTGTGCAGCCATGTTGTTTCTTCCTGAATTTGTTTTTCTTCCTCAATGGTATTGTGCTGATCTGGGTTTTTGTGATTGTGTTTTTCAGAGTTTCCCATGCTTCTTGGGTTGTTTTTTCCTTTAGGATTTTCATCCGTGGGATCTTTCCTAGGTTCTCTCTGAGCTTGTCAAAGTCAGCTCTTTTGAAGTTTAGGACATCGATTGGATTGTTCTCTATTGCTAGTGTTTGCATTATATTAAATTCCAGTATGACATTGTCACTTTCGCCCAAGGTTCTTGCAATTTCGGTTCCCTCTATCGCTTCTTCTCTATTTGTAAGGATTAAGCCCAGTATAGCTTTGCATCCAGTTCTCTCCTCCATCTTTTGGGAGATAAAGTTGTCGGCTAGGTTGGTTAGGAATCTATTTGATCTCCCGCTCACTGCGGAGTTTGTCTCCCAGTTGATATCTGAATAGTTGAAATCTCCCATTACTACTGTGGTATGCTTCCCACATACATTTGTTAGCTGATTGGCAAAGAGTTCATCTATTTCTTCTGGTTGATTGGATGGCCTGTAATATACACCTATGGTAATGTCACTTTTTTCTCTTTTGTATTGACCTAAATACATTCTGGAGAGATTTTGTCTTGGGTCATGTGCATCTCTGCAGATATGTAGTGTTCTCTTACATATAGTGCAATTCCCCCTCCTCTTTTTGTAGACCTGTTTCTTTTGAACAATTTGTATCCATCCATCTGTCCATTCCATTCATGGTTTTTGTCCCATCAGGTTTCTGTTATGCCATCAATGTCATACCTTCCCTCGTGTACTACTGCTTCTAGTTTGCCCTATTTGTTCCCCAAGCTTTGAGCCTTTGTGTATAAGCATTTAAGGCTTTTATGCCTGTCCGTGGGTATATTTCCTGTATCTCCTGATTGTTGTTTGAGTTTTTCTTTTTTCTCAATACTACCTACCTCGTTTGGTTTGTTTTCTTGGGATTTGTGATTGGTTTTGGATTCTACAGATTCTAGAGATTGGTCACCCACCTCCCTCAATTTTAGTTTAAAGCCCTCCTGATGAGTTGGGCCAGTCTTTTTCCAAGTACATTTTTGCTTGTTTCCGTGAGGTGTAGCCCATCCCTTGCCGTCCCTCATGTTGAAACTGCAGTCCGTGATCCAGGAAACCAAAGTTTTCTTGGTGACACCAACCTTTAGCCAGTGGTTTATTTCTAAAATTCTTTTTCCCTCAATGGTTGTTGGCCTTTTGTTGGGAGCACTGATGAGAACACTACTTGTGCTCCTAGCTTACCTTTGTTGCCTCGTTGTTTGTAGTCTTTCACTATGGCACTCAGATTGTTTGTAGTGTTGTTCATTCCAATGTGGACAAGGAGGAGAGGGTAGTAATCTGTGGGCCTAATTATTTTGGTTAGGTTCTCAGCCACATCTTTGTTTTTTGCTCCAGGGAAACAGCATACCTCCCTGGATTGTACGTTTGGATGGATGATTGTGTTCATTTGAGGATAGAATCTCCTATTACCAACGCTCTCCTTTCTTTTTTTGGGGGTGTGTGCAATCTGAGGTGCTTTTCTGTTTGTCTCAGGTGTGTTTGTTGAGGTGACTTTTTAAGGATTATTTGAAGTTGTTTCTTTGCTAGGTGTCTGCATGTCTTCTTTGAGGGGGAGGTTGTGGGTCTGCATGTTTCCTTCTAAGGGGAGAAATCGATTGCTCAGTTTTAATGGGGCTGCTTCTGGTGGGTAGGATTGGGCAGAAGGGGTTTGTTTGTTGCATGTTGTTTCTTTCTTTGAGTGTTGTAAGACTCTTTTTCACAACTAGGCCTGCTCTACTTTAGAATGATCCAACATTTATTGTTTTCAGCAAATATTTGCTGCTACCACTTTCTTTTTAGTGTCAATTATGGTTATAAAATAAAGGGAAAAATGCTTTCCCCTTTAGTCACCTGGAGGCCCCTCCCCCACCATCCCAATATATGGACATTTAAAAGATATATTTAATGCTCTTAGGAATACACAACAATGAAGAAAATATAGAGGATTGTTAAATTTAGAGGTGAGGATTAAGCATCAGGAGAGGCAAGATGAACAAAGGAATAATTTGGGTAGGCTCAGCCACAGTAGAGATTAAGCTTAAAAATTTATCTTGAAAGAAATTGGTCATTTGCCTCAAGCACATGTAAAATAATTTCAACTTTCTAACACTATTAATAATAATAATAATAATAATAATAATAATAGTAAAGTTGGAAGGGACCTTGGAGGTCATCTAGTCCAACCCCCTGCTCGGGCAGGAAACCCTACACCATTTCGGACAAATGGCTGTCCAGTCTCTTCTTAAAAACTTCCAGTGTTGGAGCATTTACTGCTTCTGGAGGCAAGCTGTTCCACTGATTAATTGTTCTCACTGTCAGGAAGTTTCTCCTTAGTTCTAGGTTGCTTCTCTCCTTGATGAGTTTCCACCCGTTGCTTCTTGTCCTGCCTTCAGGTGCTTTGGAAAATAGCTTAATTCCCTCTTCTTTATGGCAGCCCCTGAGATATTGGAATACTGCTATCATGTCCCCCCTTGTCCTTCTATTCGTTAAACTAGACATACCCAATTCTCGCAACCGTTCCTTATATGTTTTAGCCTCCAGTCCCCTAATCATCTTTGTTGCTCTTCTCTGTACTCTTTCTAGAGTCTCAACATCTTTTTTACATCGTGGTGACCAAACTGGATGCAGTATTCCAAGTGTGGCCTTACCAAGGCATTGAAGAGTGGTATTAATACCTCGCGTGATCTTGATTCTATCCCTCTGTTAATGCAGCCTAGTACTGTGTTGGCCTTTTTGCCAGCTGCCGCACACTGCTGGCTCATATTTAACTGATTGTCTACTAGAACTCCGAGGTCCCTCTCACAGTTACTACTATTGAGCATGGTGCCACCTATGCTGTACTTGTGCATTTGGTTTTTCTTGCCTAAATGTAGAACCTTGCTTTTTTCACTATTGAATTTCATTTTGTTAGTTAGTGCCCAGTGTTCAAGTCTGTCCAGATCCTTCTGTACCTGAAGCCTATCTTCTGGAGTGTTGGCTATTCCTGCCAGCTTGGTGTCATTTGCAAATTTGATGAGTTCCCCATCTATCCCTTCATCCAAATCGTTGATGAAGATGTTGAAGAGTACTGGGCCCAGAACAGAGCCCTGGGGCACCCCACTACATACTTCCCTCCATATAGATGCAGTTCCATTGAGGACCACTCGCTGAGTACGGCCGGTCAGCCAGCTACGGATCCATCTGGTGGTGGTTCTGTCTACCCCACATTTTTCTATCTTGTCAAGTAGTAGGTTGTGATCTACTTGATCAAATGCCTTACTGAAGTCCAAGTAAATTATGTCCACAGCATTCCTCTGATCCACTAATTTTGTCACTTGGTCAAAGAATGCAATAAGATTTGTCTGGCATGATCTATTTTTGACAAACCCATGTTGGCTTTTAGTAATGACTTTGTTTGCCTCTAGGTGTTCGTTGATTCGTTGTTTGATTATCTTTTCCAGGATCTTCCCAGGTATTGAGGTCAGGCTGATAGGTCTGTAATTTCCTGGATCCATTTTTTTTCCTTTTTTGAGGATGGGAACTACATCAGCTCTTTTCCAGTCCTCTGGTAGTTCCCCTGTGTTCCAGGATCTTTGAAAAATATAGTTCAGTGGCTCCGATATCACATCTGCCAGTTCCTTGAGAACTCTGGGGTGTAATCCATCTGGTCCTGGCGATTTGAACTCATCTAGGCTGGACAGGTGCTCCCTAACCATTTTCTTATTTATTATTCTGAACACATAATTCTCAGTTGGATTGTATCTTCTCTGAGTCTGATAGGTGGGCTTAATTTCTTTCTCTTTCTTTACTACCACCAAAGAATCAGACTGCCTAACAAACTCCTCCCTCTTTACTTAATATCAAGGGGAGAGCAGCCATGCTTACTCAGAGCAATTGTGTATGTATTCTGATCTAACATGGATTTTTAAATGCTTGTGTTGTTAGAAGTACACATTACATGTTTATGCTATTAACGAATCAGTACTAAATGGACCATAAAAGTGGCTCTATCCAGATTCAAACAGTGAAGCAATGATAACTATTGAAAGATGTAATTGTTGTTAACTTACCGATTTGGTTGACCTTCAGCATTCAGATGTAAAGACTGTTGTCTTCCAGTGTCCTGAATAAGTTCATTTTCTGAATCAGAACAGACTGTACCCAGTTTTCTCTTTCTTGAAAATAAACTCTGGTTGGTATTCTTGGTAACTTCTTCTTCAACATCACCACTATTTTTACCCTGGTAATGTTCATCTCTGGACATCAATCTCCCTAGAATAAAACACCCTATTTATGAAATATGTATACCAAGTATGGCAGTAAAAACAGAGAAGTATTTAAGGAGGGCAAAAAATATATGTCAGATATGCCTAAAGTGGACTTCCCCTTGCCCTACTAGTTGTATATATTTTATATGTTACAGAGTCTAAATCTAAATACAGGATAGGAATACAACATTTAATATTAATTTCAGATTACAACATTATTTTTTAATCACTCCATTGAACTGTAATTGCCAACGGTAAAAACTGACAGAAATAAAGTCTATGTGGGATAATGAGAAACAAGAAACCCATTAGCATACTGTGGCCACAAGAAAAATGAAACCTCCTCCCACAAAAACAAAACAGGCTGAACAAGGACAGTTTACAGTGAGGACATACTTGGATATTTTTCTTCCTCACATAGCAGTCTTAAGTGGTTGAGTGCTTAGCCACTTGCTTAAGTGAATTTTGGATGATCTGGAAGTGAAACCAGATCATCCAAAAATAAAGAAGTGGTTTCTGCTCTGGAGATACAGTTCTACATTCTAGATAAACTATGTGCAAATATGACTGCAAACTAAAATTTCAAAAAAAACTATGCACAACTTTAGAAGCACTTCTGAGTTTCCCGGATGCTATTATGTCAGATGTGGGAAAGGGAAAACTGTCAGGGACTAAAATAGCCCTACAGGATGATGCTAGAAGAGCCCTCCCTTTTAGCAGATGAGAATATACTGAAATATTTTATTACTTACAAAGATTGTTCCAAACCAACTGGAGCATTTCATAAATCTCAAAGCTCTAAAACGCAATTTGCTGATTAAACAGCTCCATTTTTTTCAGTGTGGTATTCACTATGTCATGCACATTTCTTTGGGGGTGGGGAGAAGGGGCTCACATATATTTAAAAATTCTAATATAATATACAATTAAAGCAATTATAATATCACAGATAGCTATGAAAGAGGACATAACAATGACCCTGAAATAAAGCTGTTTAAGAGGCTGGGTCAAGCCAGTTGATGGTTAAGGCACCAGGCTAGAAACCTGGAGACTGTGAGTTCTAGTCCTGCCTTTGGTATGAAAACCGGGTGAGTGACTTTGTTAGTTACTTTCTCTCTCAGCCCAACTCACCTCTCAGGGTTGTTGTTGTGGGGAAAAAAGGAGAAGGAAGGAATATTATGTATAGTCACAACCTTGAGTTACTTATAAAGTAATAAAGGTGGTATAAAAATAATAAAATAAACAAAATACAATATTAGTTCTGCAGACAGCTTCGCAGAGAGAATATTGCCTAGTCAGTTAGGACAAGATGCTAGAAAAGATTATTTTTAAGTAAAATAAAATCACAACTAGAATACTGATTTCTTTAAACACTTTTTTTTATAAGTAAAGCATCTATTTGAGATACCTAATTAACCACACAGCCTGAAAACAGAAGAAATGGTGAAATTGTTCCTACAGAAACAAATTAACATCAATCAATATTTATGCAATTATTAATTCAACATTGGAATATAACGTTTACTCAGTACTGAAATGTTCAGCAATGACTCAATCTTCTATTGTGTGTGTGTGTGTGTATAATATGTGCATGAGGGTAGACACATATAAAATAAAATCAGTTTCCATCTGTGCTTAAAATATTTTTGCTCTACCTGCATATGTACAAACAAATGTTCCCTTGTCAATGTCATCAAGGCAGCGAACTCCCCAGCCTTTCTTTCCAGTGCTGAACACTTGTAAGCGAACTTGAAGGCCGTGCTGTACCAATCTGTTCTGGCACCTGTTCTTGTCACAGCTGCAGAGCAAGCTGCATTCATAAATTCTGATACACAAAGATAAAGGAGGATTATGAGGAAAAGCATAAAAGGGTGTGTGAGCACAGACAAACACAAACGCAAACACACACACACACACATTAAATCCTTTGGGTCTTCCAATATGGATGCTGTTTGCTTGGACAGAGAAAGATGAAAAAAAAAAAAATAGGCAATGAGCATATGAACACAAGGCAAGACAATTCAGTTACTACACTGTTGCAAAACAGCAGGTTTTTAAAGAAAATAACAAATGTATGAACATTACAAGATTCGGCCCAGTTGACTGGGCAAATGGAAATCAACAAATAGTCTAGCAACGCATGAGAATTCTTAAAATATACAATGATGGATAATGTTTTAAAAATGTACACTTTATATATTAACAACTGGCATTCCTAGATGAACACGTTTATTTATTGTTTCTTTAGATTGAACAACTATTGGAATTCCTTAGCGGAGAAAGTATTTACTGATACTCCTATTGGACGATCACTTGACTATGCATTAGCAGTGTGCAGCAGCCGCCAAAAAAGCTAATACAATCCTGGGTTGTATAAACAGAGGCATAGAATCAAGATCATACAAAGTATTAGTACTGCTTTATAAAACCCTAGTAAGACCACACCTGGGATACTGCAGCCAATTTTGGTCACCTTATCACAAAAAGGAGGTTGAGAGTTTGGAAAAAATTCAGAGAAGAGCAACTAAGGCCTGGAGACTAAAACATACAAAGAACGGCTTCAGGACTTGGGTTTGGTTAGTCTAAAGAAAAGAAGAAATAGGGGAGAAATGATAGCAGTATTCCAGTATCTGAGGGGCTGCCACAAAGAAGATGTGGTCACATTATTCACCAAAGCACTAGCGTGCAGGACAAGAAACAATGGGTGGAAACTGATCAAAGAGAGAAGCAACCTGGAATTAAGGAGAAACTTCCTGACAGTGAGGACAATTAACCAGTGGAATAGTTTACCCCCAGAAATCGCGGGTGCTCCATCACTGGAGATTTTTAAAAAGAGGCTAGACAGTCATTTGACTGAGATGGTATAGGTTCTCCTGCTTGAGCAGGAGACTGGACTAGAAGACCTCCAAGGTCCCCTCCAGCTCTATTCTACTCTACTTAGGCTCAATATAGAGACACAATACAGTTCAGGTAGTTCTTGACTTATAACCACAATTGGGAATTTCTGTTGTAGGGTGTCCATCACTGGAGGTTCTCAAGAAAAGACTGGACAACCATTTGTTCAGGATGCAATGAAGACTCCTGCTTTTGGGAGGGGTTGTATTAGAAGACCTCCAGGGTCCCTTCAAGTCCTATGATTTTGTAAATCGATGCAGTCATAAGCAAGTCATCACATGACTAGATCTAATTTTACAACTATTTTTACCACAGATATTAAGGGAATCATTGCGGGCATTTGGTAAATCTGGCTTCCCCAATTTACTTTGCTTGTTGGAAGCTGGTTGGAAAAGTTGAAAATTGCGATCACATGACATTTACTACTTGTAAATGCAAGCTAGGTGCCAAGCATCTGATTACAATCACATGACTATGGGGATGGTGCAACAGGTGTAACTGAGAATAGGTCATAAGGCACTTTTCCCAAGACTAATCAAAACTTCAAACCATCATTAAATGAACACTCATAAGTCAAGGATATCAGGCACACTCAAAACAAACACTGACCAAAGCAACATCTTTACAACCTTTTATGTTAGAATGCTCCTCATGTACGTAATGAAAGACAGGTTTACATATAACACAAATAGGTAAATGGGTCAATTCAAGACAATTAAAATGCTCTAAAAACTGCCTATAACTTTCAGGTCTAAGCCTGGGTTGCAAACACATTAACCATTTGAGTGTACCACAATATCCAGCTTAAACCTAGATTCTTCAATATAATTTGCATTTCCTCCCCCCTTAGTTCCTTGGTGAAATGAGAAACAAATTTTCTAATAATTGTATTATAAACTGTTATTTAAAAGGGAGAGCCAGTCTGGTATAATGATTAAGCACCAAGCTAGAAACCAGGAGATCATGAATTCTAGTCCCGCCTTAGATATGAAGCTAGCTAGGTGATGTTGGCCAGTCCCACTCTCTCATCCCTAGCAGGAAGTAGGCAAACCATAAACCACTTCTGAAAAACCTTTCCAAGAAAACTGCAGTTGCCTGGAATCAACCCTGACTCAAAGACACCAAAATAATAGTAGTAGTACCGGTAGTTAATAGTAATAATATCTGAAACTGTATGGAAAAACAGTCTGAAATTTGCTACTCAATACTGCCTATATATACAGCCAACTGGAGCATCACTTGAACATCATCCGCACTAGCAAAATCAATATAAGTCAATTGTAAATTGCAGTTCCAATTTATTTGGAACAGCTTATATCTTTATGCCTTTAACATCATTAAACAGCAACAGATGCCTATCCTGGGTCCTTGGGAAGGCCTCATGGGTGGATAAAAATGCCAAACCCTAACCCTAAATATCTGGCTGACTGTGCGGCCACCCATAATAATATAAAAGAGCAATGCAACAGAATTTATATGAGTGAAACATCTGAGTAAATTAGATACAACATAACAGCACAAACTTAACAATAGTATTCCTTACCCGCTGGAAATAGGTTCCTCCAGCCTTTTATAAGTATAACCGTGAGATGGTCCATTTCTTGGAGACATAGAAGCTTTCAAGGCCTTTTTAGTGAGAAGCAGACACGAACATTTTGACCTAGAAAGCACACAGTAGATCTAGTGGAAATAAGGATATGAAATAAAGCAACGTAGCCCATTTATTCCCCGGATTCTGGTGTGATAACATTTTTAGAGAAAGCAAATATATTACTTAAGTGCTTTCCTGGGTGTATTTCATTTGGAATTTTGATGGACTTCTCCAATGATGGCCATATTTCCACATTTATGTAATTTCATAGAATCATCTTAATGCACTACCACTTCACATGCAAGTAAAGAGCAATAACACAGAAAAGTTTGCATATTCCAGGGAAGATATTTCCTTAAGTTTAAAAATTAAGGCTTTCAACAAATAATTCCTTTACAATGCAAGTTGACCTTTCCCTTTCAAGGTTCTGCAATATAAATATTCAAAAATAATCAAGTGTCTATGTTTGATCTCAAATCTTGTAGAAGCCACGGATACTTTTAACAAGCCATTCTTTAAAGAAACATACTTTTGGCATATCTCATTCGGACAGGCATCACCCCATTGTTTCATCACTACACACATACTTAAACAATTTATTCAAAAAGCTGTTTAAAAATGGACAATTATTCACCTGTCAATGCAACCATCGGTACAGCTGCAGGAATCAAGAAAACTGTTGGAGAAGTTGTTTAAGAAGTATCCATGGGGCCAAGAGGCCTTCCGATATTTAAAACAAGGCAGCCGATCATGGTTGATATCATTACAGAATGATACCGGTACTGTCTCTGCCCCTTGGCTGATATCTGTATCAATAACAAATGCCTGGGGACTCAGACTGCTTCTGAATAACTGCACATAGGTATTGAAAGAAAAGTGATCTAAAAATAAAAAGCTGCATTCTGTTTGAAATAAGTAATTCTGCACGTCTTTGAAATTTCTCAGGCTTCTTCCACAAGGAGCTTTGTATATCACATCGTGTGATTTTGAGCCAGAATCTGCTTTGGCATGCCACCTCTGGAAGTGACACAGCATTGGCAACTTCAAAGGGTTTTCCCCTTTGTAGGAATCCCATGGCCGTTTGGAAAGACATTTCTTAGAACAGACATGATCCTGGTAGAACATGGAAGATGTCTCTGCGGATTCTCCAGTTCTTAAATCCATTCCCTCATTAATTTCCAGTCTGCCGTTTATATTCGTACATGTAAAAATTAAAAAAAAAAAGTGTCAAGCAATCAGTGAGATGTTAGGATTTGTTCACACATAATATTGTTCAGTGAACCTGATAATTCAATTTCTCCATGTCTGATGCACGCTTTTTTTTTTAAACATCCTACCTTCATAGCAAATGTGAATGTGTGACAACTGCCTAGGCTGGTATATAATCTCAATGCAAAGGAATTCTGTTGGGAATCAACATAAAAAAGAGTGGCAGATAGCTATTGTATTAATTGAACCCCTTAGATATTCTATGCTGGATTCGGCTTAGGTAGGCTAAAATCCTGACAGAGGTGCTGGATATTTATTATTCAGGCAGCTTTCACCATTATTTGCATTAAGCAAGTAGCACAATGATCTTGATCCAATAATATTTATAAATTGAACTTCTACAATTTTGTTAATCTATGTAGTAATGCCCCCGCTTTTCATATTGTTAAGTTCCACTAAGTTCTCTCTAAAACACAAAACACTTAAAAAAAACCCACCTGAATTCTATCAATGAACTACATTTTCTAAGAAGGATACAAATATGTTTATAAGGATTCTCTTGTTACATTATCACTTATAGTAAGTTTTATGGACATAAAAATTGCAGTATTGTTATTGATAGTATTGGCAAATTAATGAGCAAAAGCTAACCTGGGCTGAACAACTACCTGCCTCTGTGGGAATAGCCTGTTTATCCACAAATCTGAAAACTATGCTTACATAGGGTGTTTGCTGATGGAACAGATTTTGCCTAAAAACAACTGAATAAAACTTATTAAAATAATGAGAGAGATTACTAGTGTGAAAATATAATCTTATTTTGAAAGTTAAGCCTGAGCTTAACTACTCCAATTCTGGACTGCAGGAAATGCTGTGTCCAGATGCTCAACAGGAGACCAGGAACTCTGCCCACCTCCCCGTTCTTCTTCCTTTTGGCCTCTCTTCCTGGGTTGGGGAAGGAAGATGTGTCTCACCTAGCCTCCTGGGCACCATCAGTGACACACATAGCCACAGAGATCTCTAAGGAGCTTTTTAAAAAGGCAACTGGACTGTTTTTTCCTTGCGGAAAAAGAAGACTTTTCACTTCTCATCTAAGAAACGATGCTTCTTGGATGAGAAGCAAAAAGTCTTCTTTTTCGGCAAGGAAAAAACAGTCCAGTTGCCTTTTAAAAAAGCAACTTTGAGACAATTGTGACCAGGATGACTGAGAATCTCCACAGACAATGCCCCAGAGAACTATGCTGACTGGGCAACACAGACTCAAGGCAAATTCCTCCTGCAGTGATTATAAAACATTCAGCAATGTTTAGTTTATGCAGTCTTAGTATCCAAAAGAAGTAGACCAGTTAAATCATTATGTATTTGCCATTCAAGGGCATTTCAATTTCTAGAAAAAAATAGAGCAGGGAGAAAAAGGTTTAGGAAATCAGTCAGCAGTCGGGAAGATGAATTGGAGAAGTGTAGGTGAGGAGGGCAAAACCCAAAAACAATCTAAAGAGAGAAGATAAAATAAGATACAAAGAACCTATGTCAGTGGTGGCTAACCTATGGCATGCATGCCAGAGGCGGCACTCAGAGCCCTCTCTGTGGGCACGCATGCCATGCCCCGGAGATGGCAAGGGACTGGCCCTCGCCATCTTGGCCCCGCCCACCCAGTCTGCCATGACCACCGTGGTCACGCCCACCCAGCGATAAATAAGTGGGTTTCGGGTTGCAGTTTGGGCACTGGGTCTCTAAAAGGTTTGCCATCACTGACCTATGTAAATAGACAAAAAGACAGAGAAATAATGGGAAAGGATGAAATTCATATTCAGAACAGTCATTTTGACTGAAGAACTCTAATCTATTTAGTGCACCTTATTTACCAAATGAAGTTTCAACTTCTGATTTAAAAGCAGCAAAAAGACAATTTATGGGTTAACAGAGTTTTACTTACAAAGAAAAGTCATCTCCAGCATCTTCTATAATTTTCTCTGGAGCAGAGAGAGGTAAATCTGGATTGCATATATGCTTATCTTCTTCAACAATAGGAAAAAGAACATAAAAACTTTAAGTATACATTTAAAATTACAATTAAGATTTATCACAATTAAGCATTTGAGAAACTATTAATTGCATCATTAAAATTAATGTTAATGAAAATATAGAATCATTAATCAGGCAAAAAGTATTTTAAATGTTAATTTATTATGATTTCTGCCCATCCATATTTTGTAGGTGTCAGACCCCCCCACACACATTGTGTTCAATGTGTTACTGACAGCATGAATGTTTAAAGTGCACTATGCATGAACTACCCTCATACTTCCATGCCACAAAATAGAGGAGGAATTCACTTTTTCTTCCTCATCGCAGAGTTCATGAAATATATAGCCCACTTCCAGTGCACATAAATTAATCTGTCACTATCATGATTACAAAAAGCTGGAGGGTGCGTGCAGAATGAAAACTTGGGGATCAAAGAGCAAACCTTGATGTCTCCAACTCCATAAAAACATTTGCACAAAATGGAGTCTGGTGTGGTTTTACCTATCGGAAGGGCAGATTTTGCGCTGAATTTCTTTCAGTACTTTTAGACATCAAGCTTAAGACAAAATAGATGCAAGACATTCCTCTTATATTTAATGCACCAGTAGGAGCACTCTTTGTCCTGTTTAAGTGATGAACAATGGATAAAGACGGCTTTTAATAAAACAACAATAAGTGTTAAAAAAGGTAAACCAGCAAGAATTTGACTCCATAATATTCTGCTAGCAGAGGTCTGTCAATTAGTAAATCCACAGACACGTATCATTGGAAAAGCAACTGCTTCACATGTAAAAGCCATCTCCACTAAAAAAAGGTCAGGCAGTATGCTAGGTAAATTCTTCTATCCAAAATCTGGAAGGGCTTGGTAACAATGAACTAGACAACATATCATTCTGACCCAATTCCGAGAAATTAAATTATATGCCTTGCTAAGGGAAATTGGTGAATACTAAATTGACCAGCTTCAGCTTTCCCAAAATGTTTACTAAAAAGCTTTTGATCTGTCACTATGAAATTTGAATTTGGGTCCCTCTTAAGATAGGACTGTACCAGGTTTACGTTCTGTGAAAAATTAAAACCACAAGTATTGAATCTGCTGGAATGGGAAATCCAATATGGAGAGTAGACAATAGGAATCAGGCTTGATTTTCTTAATTCCCTTATAGAAAACTCAGCCATAAGCCAATATGTAAGGCCTTTTCTTCTGGCTAGGTAAGAGGCTAATGCCTATAGAAAGGAATAAATATCATCATCTATCATAGTGGAGCAATAGGATTTTTCATACCATGCGCCAGAGGTAAGAGGTCATTCATACCCAACTGATTCACAAGTGCCAAAGCTTGATTGCATTCTGTTTAAAATAACAAAAACAGAAAACTGCACTGAAATATAGCATTTTAAAATGATGTAGATGTTAATAAACAGGAAAGTGGTCTTTTTGACTGATACCTGTTAGCTGAAGTTCTCCATACATTTTGAGACTTAAGTATAATTCCCAACCACTTAATATCAAACACAGGTACATGTTTTGGAACAAATAGGTTCCATAAGTGCAGAAACATTTTTTTCACCTATTTATGTATTATTTTCACAGAATCAGAACTGCAAGGAGCTACCAAGGTCAATAATTTGCTCATTGCAGAATCTAAATTAAAGCATTCCTTTTAAAGACTTTAGAACAAGGCCAAAAACATAATCAGGAGATTATGCCTTAGGCATGAAGCCAGCTGGGCAAGTTTGGGCCTATGAAGGTGGAATAGCAAGCCACTTCCAAAAAACTTTGCCAAGAAAACTGCAGTGACATGCTAGGAGTCAACCCAGACATTAAGGTACACAAATAAATAAATACAAATAAAGATTAACTAGAATCTGATTAGATATCCTGAATAAAGGGAGGCATGCTAAATTTTCATCTAACTGGTTCCACCCTTAAGCTGATATCTCTCCTCAAAGAGCTGAAAATCAGAGAAGCTATATAAAAGCTGTATTTTTTTTTAAAGAAAACCTTCTGCACAATGGGGAAAACTACTGTCTTCATCCTTTATTTAAATAAATTCACAATATACTTGCAAAGGAGATCATGGTGGGTTAATTCTAGTTAAGTTCAGAGTAAAAACCTATAGTGACATTCATGGGTTGCAAAAGCCCTGTGTAAATGATGCATCTTATGCAGTGTACTCTAATCTTTTTGCCAGAAGCTCACTGGACAGGGAGAAAGGAAGAGAAACAGGCAAGACAGAGAGCAGAAAGAATGGCTCCATGGCTTCAGTCCACTCCCGTCACTGGCATGCAACCTCTTACCAATTATCTCATAGGAAATCAATGTGATGAACAGCAGAAAAAATAGGTTTGCTTACTAAATTCAGCTGTAAACACTGCACGGCTGTATCATAGACAAAATATTGCAAGTTTAACTTGTCTGCATAGCACACGTTACTTAATACCTGCAAAACTGACTATGAGTTTTGTTTCATTAATTTCTCAATTCAGGTGTGATAATTTACAAAGATGTCTAACCTTCACTTGTTGCAGCTCCATCTTTGATCTTCTGCTGCAAAGACAACAATGCCTTGTGCATACACTCAAATATATTGTCTATTTTATTTTTTTCCATGTGCTTCCAGAGCCTTTTTGCGTCAACTGTGAACAAAAAAAACGTTTTCATTTACATTTTTGGTGATAGCTGACATCTTAATCCCACCTCACTCCCTAGTATGGATTAGCATAAACACCTATGAATGTGTATTACATAAATATAGCATAGACTTAAAGAGTGTACGATATACAATATGTATTCTGCAGACAAAAGAAATGATTTCTCCTTCACAGAATACTACTAATAGGATTAAGTGAATGGTCTTCAAAATGTAACATTGTAAGAGGAATTAATTTGCTTAAAGGCAAAACTGAATTGAAAAACAGGAAAAGCAAAACTAAAACTGAATTGGATAACAGGAAAGACAAAACTAAAACTGAATACCAGGAAAGAATCTATTGTTCTAAGAAGCCATAAAATATCCCAGAATTCAAAAACAAATACAGCATGCTCAAAATCCTATTGAATATTATTAGACACACTTTGCATATATTATCTCTTAATTGAAATGCACATGGGATGTATGATTTAATACAGTGGTTCTCAACCTTTTTAATGCTGCGACCCCCCCAACCGGTCGTAAGTCGAGGACTACTCAACCGGTCGTAAGTCGAGGACTACTCAACTGGTGCAGCACCGTTTACAGAATGGACTTTTGGCGGGCTCAGCAGGGCAGAGACAGCCTGGACAATTCCTATTGGCTTTTGAAAGCCAATAGAATTAGACTCTATTGGTTCAAAAGCCAATAGAATAAAAGGGAGTAGTACAGCTAAGGAAAAGGGGAAAAAAATGGCGGACTGCATTGTTTGTCGACCCCTGTGAAATGGTCGTTGGACCCCAAATGGGGTCCCAACCCACAGGTTGAGAACCACTGATTTAGTATGTAACAGGAAATATGTAGAAGGTGGTTGGAAAGAGTGTAACCTCATAGTACCTCAGCCAATGGGGAACGAGGAGCGAAGTGGTGGCTGGTGCAGGAAATGTATAAAGATGTTGGTTTGAAATGATAAACTTTGGAGAGAACCAAGCTTTGTTAAGCTTCTCTCTCCATTTGTTGCAATAAACAAAACAAGGCCTTCACTGCCTCTTGGCTGGTTACTGTCAGGCGAGCACCTAACATTACAGTTTAGAGCTACCCAACAGTGAAGAACGGTGGAAAATTCAAAACAATACAAGATACTTTTTCAAAGCATATGTAAAATTATGGAATTTACCTGGCGAAGGGGAGAGAAATGATTGTAGCGTGATTTTAACAGGAGATATTCAACGTGCATTAAATATAGCATAAAAATCATGCTTTAAAAATAGAAGGCTATAAACCATTTCCACGTCTTGTTGCTAATCAATGGTCAAAATCTATTGAGTTAACATGTATATATCATATTAAAGAAAACATAAATATATAAATTTATAAATATATAAATTCAGCTGCAAAGTCAGCGTCTCAAGCGTGATGCTTTCACGTAACAGCAACCCTCCCTCGGTCCCGGTTCCCGCCTCTCGCTACCTTTCATCGCTTCGGCTTTTTCTTGAAAACGGCCCAGGCCTCGCCCGCAAACGCCGCCCCGGCCGACTGGGCTGAGCTGAGCAAAACAGCAAAGCGCGCAGCTCCACGTCACCAGTGGCCAAAGGACAAAAAGGCCGGGGGGGGGGGAGAGCGTTCCCCTGCACCCGCGGGTGAGCGTGTGCGCAGGACCGGCGGCTCCCAGGCAAGATTTAAGCAACAAAGGCAACAAAAGCCTGGCGAGAAGGTTTCGCGGCTCCTCTGACACTACCCCCTTTGTCGGAAATGACGAGGGCGTATCGGAAATCGTCGGGAAGTAGTTTAAGAGCTCCGCGATAGGTCATGCTAGCATCCGCCTTTTTGCACGTGGAAGACGCGATTCAAAATAAATATTGGCTTTTACGAATACTCCAGCAATTACAATGCGAGGCCATATCTGAGCGTGCCGTCTTTGTACAGCGGGACACCTGCGGAAGAGGCCGCTGCTGGAAGGAATCGATTTGTAGCAACCCCGTAAAGCGAAGCCGTTTGAGCGGGGACCTGCCCTGCGTCTTCCGACAAAATGTTTTAAAATCTTTAATGCTTTAAAAAGGTTTCAGCATTTTAAATACGAGGGTTCCTCCTCCCCGCTTTGTTTAGCATTACAATATAACTCCCCTGTTGAATGTTGAAGTAGCACGACTTCAACATTGGGAAACCAAAGTAGCGGTTTAACACTAGAACTGCAAAAGTTCTATTATAGACAGTATGGACAGTAAATGGAAGCAAAGAGATATAAAACACCCTAACTCTCTGTTGCCATCTAAAGTTTTGCCAACCAGACCTGACCTGGCCAAAAACACAACACAACTTACCTATATGAATTACACAAAGGTACAGTGGATACAAATATAACCAGATAATTGTAGTATAGCAAAATACAATGGCTGCTGATTACATATGTGATTAAAAGTTCAGCACAAACACATAAAAGCCAATCAGGTGCCTTTACAATGCATACACAAAGAACATGAGGTCAGTAGCTTTTAGCAACTAATTCTGCTTTATGCTGAAAGAAAAAGGAAGAAAGCATAGCACTCACTATGCCATGGGGGTGTTCAATGTGGTCAGATGACAAAGAGAAACAAGAACAGCTGTGTTCCCACTGTTCTTTGCTTCCCTCTTTTCCTCAAAAGGAAACTGGCCTCACATAATGCATATGATTACTGTGAACCAGGACTGAAGTTCACAACAGGGTAAATGGGTTGCACTGGATCAAGCAAAACTCATAACTCTGCACAGTTGCTGACGGTTTATGAAGTCTGCAACAAGAATTGAAGGTAATGGCAACCTCTTCCTTCTGCACCCCAGCTATGGATACTGGGTAAATGCGTTGCCTTGCAGCAGGGGTGTCAAACTTGCAATGTCACATGATGTGTCGAATGTATCACAACTTTTTTTCGATTGCCAGCAGTTTGACACCCCTGCCTTGGAGTATCTTTTATTTCTATCATTTTTCCAAGAGTCTATCAAGGAAGTCAAAAAAAAATACACAATTACGTACAGCATTACATTTATAGTTTCTGAATTACAGTCCTTCAACTGCCCTCCCTCATTTTTTTCCTCCTGGATTTTCAAAATTAAATTTTATTTACCCCAGTGTCATCAGAAAAACTCCTCTCAGCCACCTTATAGGATACAGCTGAATAAATTCAGCTCCATGCCTATTGCTATTCAACTATTGCTATTCTGTTTAATGGGAAAGAGGATAGTGACATTATCAAATCTAGTCCTTACTTTCTGATGAAATGACAGGCTACACAATGTGTGAAGATAGAGAAATTCCTCCCCCCATCCCCCCCCAGTAGAGGTCATGTAAAAACTGCTTGCAGGGGGGCATAACATAATGTAACAATTCACACTGAGAGGTTAACAGAAGGTGGTTGTTATCTAACATTTTGATAGAGACAGGATTAGAATAAATAGGCAGGGGTTTTGAATTTCTTAAACGAATTAACCCTTAGCTATTATATTTGGGCACAGCCAGATCCAACAACATAGAATTATAACTGGGTTAATAACCATCTAAGCTGGTTATTCCGGACAGGGCTGTTCCCTTGCCACCAAAGTGATACCTTTTTATCTACTCATATTTGCATGTTGGCAGGAGCTGGGGCGAGGACGGGAGCTCACCCCATCGCATGGCACTCAGGTCTCAAACCTAGACTGCCGGCTTTCCAACCAAGCCCAGAGTCTTAACCACTGTGCCACCGTACCATCCTCATTCACTTTTAAAAAGGTAATAAAATCAGTCACATGGTGAGCTGCTTAATGACCATCATAATTTATGACCAAAATTGCAGGCTCAATTATGGTCATATGTCAAGGACTACCTATACCAGTGGTGGCGAACCTATGGCACGTGTGCCAGAGGTGGCACTCAGAGCCCCCTGTGTTGGCACGCATACCACCGCCAGCAGCAGGTCCAGCAGGCCGCCACCACCACCCAGAGGAGCCCCACCCAGCACAAAGGAGGCAAAGCGACCAACTAGCAAGCTTGAGTAGAGGTGGTAGAGCAGAGGTCACCAACCATTGTTGAACTGGAAGAAAAGGGAGGGGGAAGCATTTTACACTGCAAATGGGATGGGGCTTGTGCCTGCGTGATACTCACTAGCCCTGCTCCATTCTTGCATGATGCAGCACCTTGTATCTGCATCCTGCAGTGTGGCGGCAGCCGTTTTTGCACCCCCAGTTTTTGCGTGCCAGAGGCGGCACTCAGAGGCGCTTCCCTGCCCCCTCTGGGGGCACCACAATGCTAATGCAGCCCTGGTACTTCGCGATAAGTAAATGGATTTTGGGTTGCGGTTTGGGCACTCGGTCTCTAAAGGGTTCGCCATCACTGACCTATACTGTATCTCATTTTTCACCTATTCAGTTTTCCTTATTGACTGAGGTATCATACTGTTGCTCTTTCATGGTGCATAACAATCCTATGGATGTTTACTCAAAAGTAAAACCATTTATATTCAGTACATGACTTACTCCACAGAAACAAGTTACACTAAAGAAATCTCCACAGAAAATAAGAAGAGCTCTCTGATGGTCTGTAAAAAACTAGTCTTGAGTTCCATTAGAATTAGAGAAAGTGTTATGAAAGATAAATGGATTTTGTAAGGGAATGTAATGATCAAAGAAATAAGAGAAAACGAGGCAATTTATATTGCTGCTTTATGTAAGTGTGTGGGTCGGAGAGCGAGCTGCTTATTTTAGTTCATATTTCTCCATTAAAACGATTTTGAAATATTCTGTCACATCTTTAAACTTAATACAGAAGTACACTCTAAAATAGAGTATATCATAATGAGGCTTGCTCGGTTTTGACAGCTGTGCTAAGGAACTCAGTCCCTGTCCTTTGTCACCCACAATTCTACTGCGGTTTAGTCAGTAAGTAAATCACGATTAAGCAAACCATGGCCGAGTCATCATCGTCAGCGCTAATTGCTTAGCCGCGTTCCAGAGAGAAGGAGGCGAGTGCGGTTCGCGCCGTTCAGAGCGCCTGCGAGCGTCCGGCTCTCCCCATAGGGCTTTCGCCGCCGATCGTCCTGCGGCCCTCCCTTTCCCTTCTTCACCTCCGCCCTCGGAGAACGAAAGCGCAACTCCGCCTCTCTTCTCCGAGGAACTCCAGGAGCGCCGGGGGGACGGGGCTGCGCCATCACGCCCGGCGGGTCAACATGAAGCCCGACGGAAAGGTGGTGCTGCTGGGCGACATGAACGTGGGCAAGACGTCGCTGCTTCACCGCTACATGGAGCGGCGCTTCCAGGACACCGTTAGCACCGTCGGGGGCGCCTTCTACCTCAAGCAGTGGGGCCCCCACAACATCTCGATTTGGGACACGGCAGGTGAACGGCGACGGGGGCCACGTCGGCGATTTTTTTTTTTTTTCCCCGGCGGGGCGGCGTCAAGGGCTTCCTCCGAGGTCGAGCGGACCGTGCGCGGGACAAGAGGCGAGACATCGCGCTCGGCTAACTTTGCCAACTTCGGAAAAGCAGCCCGACACGCCCACCGCTGCTTGCTAGCCGCGCATACTCGCTCCGCCGTGGGAAGTCAGCGTTTGCGGTCGGAGGAGCCCTTCCGCGGCGCTCGCGGGAGCTGAGCGATCCTTTCGACCGGATTGTGTCTCTTTCCGGCACCGCGCCCGCTCAGTTCCGTGGAAGGGTTTTCACTCCAGCGCCTGGCTCCTATTTTAGCTTAGGCCCAACATTTCAGCTTTTGGAAACATCCAAGAGTTATTTTGGATTCTGGCATAATTTAAGCATCTTTTCCAAAAGAAATTTTAACGCTATTGCGTCAGTAGCAGTAATGTACGCAGGATTTTTAAGTTTTTATTTTGGAATAGCAGCAGCAACCTCTTTTGGGGATTATAAATTAGGGTGGTGTGGTGGACAAAGTTTCCTTATCTTCCTGGCCAGTATAACGGGGAGACGGTTGACGGTTCCCTTACTGAAATCTGTCCAGTTCAAAGCTGTGTGTGTATGTATCTGTGTGTACACACACACACACACACACACCCCTTTGAACTGGATAGATTTCAGTAATGGAAATCTCTCCCTTATACTGGCCAGTTGTTGGAAAAGTACAACAGAACTGTTGGGAAAATTCAGAAATTCATATTAAGACTATTTTTTATTGTCAAGCTAGCATTCTTTACTTAACAGAATAACAGAATTGGAAGTGACCTTGGAGGTTTTCTAGTCCAGGGGTGCCCAGCCCTCGGTCCATGGACTGGCACTGGGCCACAGCATGCCAGAAATGGGGCTGAACAAACAAGCGAAGCTTCATCTGCGGGATGCAGGCGGCATGCAAAACCACGCCCCCTCCCGTCCATGGAAAAACCTCTCCATGAACCAGTCCCTGGTGCCCAAAAGGGTGAGGTTCACTGTTCTAGTCCAACCCCTTGCACAAGCAGGAGACTCTATACTGTTCTGGACAAATAACTGTCCAATCTATTCTTAAAAACCTCCAGTGATGAAGCACCTACAACTTCTGAAGGCAAAGCTGTTCCACTGGATAATTGTCCTCACCGTTAGGAAGTTTTGCCTTAATTCCAGGCTGCTTCTCTCCTTGATTAGTCTCCATCCATTGCTTCTTGTCCTGCCTTCTGGTGCTTTGGGAAATAAGTTGACCCCCCCTCCCCTTTCTTTGTGGCAGCCCCTCAAATACTGGAATGCTGTTATCATGTCACCCCCCTCATCCTTCTTTTCTCTAGATTTTTTTATATTTATTTATTTATTTTCAGTGTTTATATGCTGCCCAATCTCAAAGGACTCAGGGCGGCGTACAAAGTTAAAACAATGATAAAACAATAAAATAAAGCAGTCATACCGCGAGTCCGATCATATCCTGGCTCCCCGGGGACATCAGCCCCAGGCCTGCAGGAACAGGAGGGTTTTAACGGCCTTCTTAAAGGCCGGCAGGGTGGGAGTAGTTCGAACCTCGGGGGGAAGTTGATTCCACCAGGTCGGAGCCACCACAGAAAAGGCCCTTCCCCAAGGGCCCGCCAGCCGACATTGTCTGGCCAACGGGACCTGAAGGAGGCCCAATCTATGGGACCTCACCGGTTTCTGGGAGCTGTGCGGCAGAATGCGGTCCTGTAAGTAACCTGGCCCTATGCCATGGCCATACCCAGGTCCTGCAATTGTTCTTCACATGCTTTAGCCTCCAGCCCCCGAATTATCTTTCAGTATTGTGTTCTTTCTTCCAGGTCGCGAGCAGTTCCACGGCCTTGGATCCATGTACTGCCGAGGAGCAGCAGCTGTTATTCTCACATATGATGTAACTAACCAACAGAGCATGGTGGAACTTGAGGATAGGTTCTTGGCACTAACAGATTCTGCCAGCCCAGATTGCCTCTTTGTTATTGCCGGGAACAAAGTTGACCTGACAGATGCGTGTGCCTCTTTGACAGAATCAGAAGACAAGCATCAGTTTGAGAAGCCCTCCAATATTTCCATTTCTACAAAGGTGAAAAAACAAATCCATACGAATGATGCTGTAGCATTTTATAGGAAAATCCTCAAGTATAAAATGTTGGATGAGGTAAATGCACCAGCAGCAGAAAAAATGTGTTTTGAAACTAGTGCGAAAACTGGTTACAATGTAGACCATCTTTTTGAAACTGTATTTGAAATGGTGGTACCGGTAATTTTGCAACAAAAAGCTGAAGGCTTGCCACAAACTGTAGACTTAAATAACTGCAAGACTGCTAAAAACACACACACTGCATGCTGCAGATAACTGCATGCTGCAGATAACAATGCATTTTTACACTAATTGAAGGACAATGCAGAAAAGTGTTGCAACAATGCAAAAGTGTTACTGCAAAAAAAATGTTGAATAAAGACAACAGTGCAAAAATAACAAGGCCAGCCAGATAAACTGCATTTTCTATAAGAATGGGTTTTTGTAACAATTAAATGATGTAATGAGAAAAAACTTCAGCGAAGGGGAGCTTGGAGTCAATTATTGAAAGCTTTTAAAGCCCAGTAACTGTGATTTTTTTTTGCTCCCTCCACATTAAATTTATGATACTGTATGCTGTTTTACACATGAATCTTTAGTATCTGTTTTGGCAATAAACTTTTGATATGTGGCATTCACTTATGTAGTAAGGAGGAGTTTATACATGAAGAAATAGATTTCAGGAAGGAGGTAGAGATTGATCAGCTATTTTACACCATATTTTTTCAGCAAAATAAAGAATTGTAGCAAACCAGTTCTTCCCTTTTCTTCCTCATTAATTGCATGGTTGTGGCCACCAGAGCCAGAGCAAAGAGGAAAGTCAGATCAATAGAATGGTATTAGATAGAGTCAACATCAATATAGCCCAGACATTGGTTGTTAGGCAAAAAATGTATTCCCATTTCTCCTATAACAAAATGTACCTGAAGGAACTTACAAAGTAGTCTGCAATTTTAGGCCGATTTTAACTCAGTGGTGAATTGGTGGTATTGGGACTAATAATGTTTATAAATGTACTACAGTATTAGCTTCAAACTTTGAAATTCCAGGAATTTGATGAATTATGTTCTAAATCAGTAAGAGTAAATATTTTTGGTTATTACAGTAGTAGATCAGATTCTGGTGAAATTATTTAAGCATTTTTTTTTGTTAAATTATGAATAATAAGAGTCATAAAAGTGGGTAAGTACATGGCTGGGGGAACATTAATTTGTAAAAGTGTGTGAGGCCAGGGAAGAAAATGATGTGTTTTGGTATGGAGATGATTGCAATATATATAACAGAACTTGATTGTTAGAGAATCAAAATTATTTAAATATTTTGGTTGTAATCAGTGATAACAATGTATCAGTGACAGCAGTGATTTTTCAGTGCTGCTGTTGTTGAGGAAATATATAAAAATATCAACTTGGATTTTTCCTTGTTAGAAAGATTACTTTTTCTACAAATCTACAGAAATCTATCATTGCAGAATGTGGAAGAAATTATTATGAGGCTGATCAAACAATCTATTGACACAAAACAGCTCTTTACCTTTGCTTATTTTTTAGACTATTTATATTAGCAATAAAATTTACTAATTACCTTTGTGATAGTAATTCATAAAACTAGAGATTACGGGCTAAAGTATACCTGGAATATATATATTTTGTCTTGTCTCTGAATCTCAAATATGGTACATTATTATGGTATTTATTTTAGGACTTGGCAGCAAAATAACAGTGCTGGGCTCATCCTTGGATGAAATAAATTTTAATAGTAATGAGAATTGGAAGGAGACTGAAGAACATGGCCTACAAATCCATAAAAATTCATTGGGCCTCTAAATCCACATTTTGCTTTCCTAACTCTGAATTTTTTTCAGTCTTTATCAGATATGGAAGAAATAGATCCACAAGATTTCCTTAAATGTGAAGTGTTTAAGTGGATTTGAATGTGTGATTATATGCTCTGCGTCTAAGGGTGATGCCTTAGATATGCACATTTCCAATGCAACCTCTATGCTGCTACTAGATGGTGAAGTTGGAAGTGCCAGAGCCTTTGAAATAAATAAGAGCTCCCTGGATTCTCTTGCCCTGTCCCCTTCAAGTCAGACCATATATGGGTTATTTCTTTACATGGGATTCTTTTTCTTTTTTTAGGATTTAAGTCATGTCTTGTAAAACTTGTACCAATTCAATAAGAAAAAGTTGATACTTTTATTTACCATACAAAATAAAACACTGTGATCATAAGTAAAAAGGAGAAACACATGAAAGGAAATTGGAGCATTTCTTATTCAGGATTTGGCTTGGGAAGGAAACACTCTGGGAAACAGTGGGAAGTCCTAAGTGCCCAATTACAGATGAGTCTGGGCAACTGCCCGGTACCTGCCACCAAAAGTGGGTTGTTGCCACTTGCAGTGTTGAGGTTCTAATTCTGCTTCCTTTTCATCTGCTTGTCCATACTGGTGAAGGAATTGGGGATAGAAACTGATTTACTCAGCAAGTTTATGCATGTTTACTTGGAAGCCAGTCCAGCTTCATTTGTACAGATAAGTATGCACATGATCACAGCTTTGGTTCACTGCTATGAGAAAAGTATGTTTCTCACTTTCCCAGGTACATTCCTAATTCCTTCTGGGTGGAGATGCTTTTTTTTGTCACTCACTTCCTTCTGATATTGAGTCTCTCTTTATCATCCTTACATTGGGAAGAATGACAAATGCCACAGTCCTAAGTATGGGCACTCACAACTCTTACTAAATGGTACTCTCTAGTGGGGTGTTTCTTGACTGTAGCTATAATTGTAACTGGAGAAGCTGCAAGGTATAATTTTATAAACACCTTCCTTTTGTACTATTCCTGAAATTATGAGATTATTATGACATAGATTCTGTGATACCCAACAATGGTTGAACAGAATTGGGCAAAGTACTGTTTGCCTAAATAGGCAAAGTACTTTCAGATATGGATTCCAAACCACCATGACTCATCAATCCAGCTAGAATATAAACATCTAAATCACCATAGATTGTTTATCTCCAAGCCATAGTAAAGTAATATTTAAGATAAGTGAATTCTGGTCTAATGTGCTATGTCTATCCATTGAGGGTACTGCATAGAATAATATAAGATTGCATTAAAAAAAAGTCAAGTGACACAAAAAAAAGCTTACTGTTCATTCTCTGCAGACTCTGCAGAAATAATTAGGCATTAATAGCAACAGATGTTTAATAAAGTAACAATGAATAAAAATAAAAGGCCTTGAAATATAATTGTAACAAAAGTATATTCCGTGCATGTTTCCTTCAGTCACAAAACATTGTAGTTCTATTGGATTTGTAATGAAAGACCTCAGGACTCCCTTAGAGCAAGCATACAGCTCTTTGATTGTTTTGAGGATGTTGAAATGGCATTTCCATTTTGACAATATGAGTTTGCTAAATTCAGTTTAAAATCCTAAATTCTAACAGTTTGCATTTGTATTTAAATGTTTATTTAATATTCAACGACTATAGTGTTCAGTTACACATAGAAAACAAGATAAATATGATCTGACAGTAAATCAGATTTAAATGACAGCAAGTGTATTTAATAATGAAATTTTGTCTATTGTTTTATTCTCATAACAGACTGTATTATTTGCAGCAGGTAAAATCAAACTGACAAATACATGAACGAAGGCTGAACAGTTGTATGGTTATATGTACTTGCAGTGTTTGTTCTTCCAGATAATACTTGTGTTCAAATGATGAGGTAATAAGTTAAATAAGCACCAACAAAATCTGATCCATGCCACTTTGAAGTGACATTTTTTGGGGGGGAGGGGTTGTTTATTTTACAAATTTTTCATACACACTTGGCATCTGCTTATATGTGTTCGGATGAGTCCAGCCTTGAGAGTATCTGAAGAAGGTGAGTGTTGAAATTGATGGTCAATGGTGGTAAGCCAAAAACTGTATTTGTTTGCAAAGTAGTGACAGGTCCCCCGAGCACCATTGCATTCAATGAATGGGGTGGCTCTGAAGTCTTCCAGGCAGCTACCCGGAGAAACCAGTGACTGTCCTCCTCCTTCGGCACCAGCTGCAGTGTGCTAGAAGAAACCAGATAACAACAATTCAAATATAATACAAAAGTACATTATAGGTTGCGGTGATCATAAAAACGAGAGGAGAATTTCCATGTGCTAGCTTTCATCTCGGGGAAGGAGTAATATAAATCAAGCGTGTTCTAACAAAGGTTCCATATGCCCAGTATTGTCCACTGTTGTTGTTTTTGTAACATCTATTGTTTCAGAGTTAAAATACACAGGAGCTATTGTCTGTAATGGCCATTATGATTTCACTTGTTTATCTGACTGGTGCTGAACAGGAGCTTAATGCCTTACGTTTATGATCTGAAAATCAGTGTAGGAAAGTACAGAGGTCTGTTCAGAGAGCTTCTACATATAACCCATTCCAGGCAGCTCTTTTCCTCATGTCAGACCCTCATGTGTTTTCTGAAACTAATACAGTCTAATGTAGGCAGTGTAATTTATTTTGCTGTCTGAAATGACATAAGCCACTGTATGTTCAAAAAGATAATCAACTACAACATAGAAATTGAATAAATAAATTGTAATTGAAGTGCTCATACCTTAAATATTTAATATATGTTTTAATAAATTAAATTATAGACCCGTATGTTTTTCAAATGTAATCTAAATCAGGGCTTTTCAACCTTTTCACCGACTGTACCACTTTAGGATACAGCAATATTCGAGTACCACCAGTCACCTGGCAAGGTATTAAAAATTTGATGACCAAAAAAAAAAGAAAAAAGAAAAGAAAAAAAAGTGATAAAGTACCAGTCCTTTATTTACATCAGTTCACTTAGTGACTTGTTACAACGGCATTGAAAAAAGTGACTTATGACCATTTTTCACACTTATGTCTGTTGCAGCATCTCCAGGGTCATGTGATTTACATTTGGATGCTTGGCAACTGATTCATACTTACAATGGTCATAGTGTCCCAGGGTCATGTGATCACCTTTTACAACTTTTTGATAAGCGAAATCAATGGCCAGGGCCCAGCTCAACGTCGCTCAGGTTGCAGGGCATCTGTGGGGGGTATGGCTGGGGCTGTGGGGGATATCTGGGGGTCTCTGGTGGAGGGGTGTGTGACTGCCGTAGGTGCCAGGCCATGGTCCACCGGAGGAGCCTCGCTGTCCCTTTGGGGCCGTGCAGGGGACTCCCAGACAGTGGCGTGCACTGCCTGGTGCCCTGGGTAGTGGAGGGTAAGCATCCAGCCTGGCCCTCGAGTTCCTGAGGCACCAGGAGCCTGCAGCCCAACCCACTCCAGCCTCACTTCCCTGAGAGGGTGCCTGGTTGTGCTTACCTCCTCGAGACTGCTGCTGCTGATGTGCCCACTTTCCTTGGCCAAGTTGCTCATGGTGGGTGCAGGAGGGCAAAATGCTTGGGTCAGAGGGAGACCCATTCCCTCTCCATGTGAGGAGACCCGGTTTTGTAACCAAATCATCCTTAGCGATAGGATGGGAGACCATCAGGATAGGCCAGGAGGAGGGGACAAGGGGATGGCAAAAGGGTTGCTGGTGGCCAAGTGGTAAGGCAGGACTTCCCTCAGACCCTTCCTCCCTTTCATTCCAATGTCCTTCCTTCCTTGCTCTTTCCATCCCTACCCTCATTCTTTCCCTGCCTTCCTGCTTCTCATTCTGATCTTCCTCCCTCCCTCCCTCCCTCCCTCCCCCCCATCTCCTTCCTCCCTCCCTCCCTCTGTGCCCAGGAAGGGACAAGGGGAGGGGAAGAGACTGCCACTGCCAGTGCGGCTGTCTGGCCATGGCTTGAAAGGCCACTGTAAATTCCTGGGCAAGAGCTGCACAGCCTTTAGAGCAGAGTGGCAGGAAGATATTTATGATGAGGGAGAAAAACAGGCAAGAAACGCAGCTGGGGAGGGGTCACCCTCCACGAGGAATGAAGAAAGGCACCATCCCCTGAAGGATGGCCCTCACCATCCCCTGAAGGATGGCCCTCATCCACTTCACATCCCCGGCTTTGTGGGCTCCAGGGGAAGGGACGTCGCAAGTGGCATCAGAGTCCATGTTACTTGCGCTACTCCACCCAGCCCCTCCCGGCTGCCTGGTTTCAGCAGGCAGCAGTGCGCTCTCCTCAGTCTTAAGAGCCGAGTGGTGGGAAGATATTTGCAATGAGGGAGAAAAAGCATTCATTCCTCCATGAGGAATGAAGAAAGGCATCATCCCCTGAGGAGAGCGGACTGCTGCCTGTTGAAACCAGGCAGTTGGGGGGGGGGGTTGGGCAGCATAGTGCAAGTAACATGGACTCTAATGTTCCTGGAGCCCACAAAAGGGGGTGTGAAGTGGTCGAGGGCCATTTGCTGGTCTCCTTCAGGGGATGGTGCCTTTCTTCATTCCTCGCGGAGGGTGACTCCTCCCCTACTGCATTTCTTGCCTGCTTTCGCTGCCACCTGTGTGCGCGCCCAGCATGGATGGCTGCCACGAAGTTGTAGATTGGCTCCTGGCTGGCCTGTTTTATCTCTTCTCTCCCACCCTCTCCTTTTCCCTTCGGTGCAGCTCCATCTGACTCCTCCTCCTCCTCCTCTCAAGGCTGCGTCTTTTTTTTCTCTGCCTCTCCTGCCAAAACTGCCTCCTTTTGTAGCCTCTCCTGTCTCTGCACCCCTCATCTCCTTTCTCTTCCTGGTGAGCAGGAAGTGCTGATCTTGGGACCTTTGCCTCGTCCCAACCGCCCTGCAGCTCCTGAGGACTCTCTCATGGCAAGTCCTATGCTGCACTGCTAGGCTGGGCAGGGTCACGTACCACCTGCCGTGTGCCAATGTACCACTCGTGGTATGTATACCAACAGTTGAAAAGCCCTGATCTAAATGCTTGGAACTCTGATGATACTGTGTCAATGTTTTTACTTCTTAAAAGGGTGAATAAATAAACAGAAAAATAAACAGAAAATTAAGTAGGATCATAAATTTATGGACTTCATATTTGCCCCATAGTGTTTTTTTAAAAAAATCCATAGGTATCAATGAAAGCTTTTTAAAAATATCTAATTCTTACATTTGGAAGAGGCTTTATCATTGAGATGGGAAGGGTTAAATCTCCAGGTGGAAGAAAACAAAAGGACCTTTGTAGTTATTTACAGTAGTATGGGAAGCAAGAAGAGAGAAAAATTATGTGTGCAATTCGTGATTTAGCATGACATGCAATTCTAGCCCTTTCCTAAACCATAATTTAGAGCTTAAGTGTTCTATGTGAACCTGGTCAACTATAGTGTAGACAATAAACCATGGTAAAGAAAACTGTAAATCTAGCCTATGTGTATTTATATGAAATAGTACAAATTGATGCAGTGTAGTGAGGTGTATTCCCAGGAGGGAGAAATTGTATTCCAGGTGAGTAAGAGGCAACTCATTTTAGAGGCTGTTATATGTGAAAGAAAGAGGGTGAAGACGGGCTCTCCCTAATAGTTCACAGAGTATATTTTAGTTGCAGACAGCAGAGTCCTCAGTCTGGCAACATTTTGTCTATAGGGGTGAAACAATAAAGAAGTCAGCTTGGAAGAACTATCAAGTATCATTCTTGGTTTTGGGCCAGGCAAATAGCTCCCAACCCAACTATTGGGGGTTGTTTCTATTGTTGTTAGTTTCTTTTTATTCTTACTTTTAATCCCATAATTAGCCAGCCAGATTTGCAATTTTGTAAGTTGAGCAGCCACCATAAAAGGTTTAAATAAATAAATAACCTTACACAAAAGCAGGAGATAAATGTAATTTTAAAAGCATTCTGAGTCTATACCCCAATCAGCAAAACAAGCACATACCATAAGGAAAGAATAACCAATCCATAAACTGCGCCATCCTTCAGGACAGTGAGGGATAGTAACATCTTGACTGTGAATAGCAATGGCAAGAGCAGGAGCTTCACAGACAGAACAGCGACTGATATAAGGCCTGATTTCTTCTTCTGCCACAGGCATCATTGGAAGAGAGGCTGTGGTTGAGAGCCAGTAGGATTTATCATTACGGCCTGCGTAGTAGCAGACATCCCCTGGATTGCAGTAAAGGAAAGGCATAGTGCTGAATCGAGCCAGACATGATCCAGCCAGGCCTACAAGAATAAACACAGAGAATAATCACCGATGTGTCTCCAGGGGGAGTTTGTTCAGGAAGTTTAAAACAATAAAGGTTGTCTTCCAAACTAGTAGGTACTTCTGAACTTTTGCACATATTTCAGAAACTTCTCTGTGAAAGATTGGAAAAAAGAACTATTAATATTTTGGAGAACTTAGCAAAGTGCCAGAATGCTTCCATCCTCAGGATTTTTTCTTTTTTCTTTTAGATTTCTCTATTGTAAATTTTCAGTGTTCCAGGCCCATGGTTTAGAACTCTGGCAGTAAAAGTGAATGAAATAGAGAGCTATGATAGCATTACATATAGCTCAACTAGCACAAATTATTTTTGCTGTAATCTGTTAACTGTAATATTTTTATGTTAGATGTAAATACCATGGATGTGGTTTTTCACTATATTGGCTTCTATTTGATCACCAAAATAAAAATCGATGCAAGTTATTCCTATTTATTTTTGTTCAACAATTTTATAAACATTTCTGTTGCCAGTTTCTGTCAGTGCAATAACAAATCCATGAGGTTGAGCCATTGTGATATCTTAGGAGTTGTGTCCTGAGGGCTGGATCTGCTTGCCACCCAAAATCATCCAGACCAGAAGTCCCCCAAAGAAACATATGTACCCCGCCTATATACATGTGGATGAGAGAGCAAACTATCTATTTGGTTGCTATTGCAAGTGTTTACTGCTTCTTTGATGTAGGTACAGTAGTCACACTTGTCTGACAACTGCTCCCGGTGCACAGTTCTTAATGGAACTATATCTACATGGATGGAAACATGCAAGGTTCTGTCTTGGACCTAATACCTTCAACATCTTCATCTAGATAAGGGATAGAAAGGGAACTCATCAAATTGCAGATGATACCAAATTAGAGGGAATTGCTAACACTTTGGAAGAGAGACTCAAGATTCAGAAGGATTTTGTCAGACTTGACAAAAAGATGTAATCCAGGGGTGAGAAAAGTAAGGTTCTACACTTAGGCAGGGAAAACCAAATACATAGGTACAGAATAGGCACCTAACTCAACAGCAGTAACTGTGGAAATCTGAAGTCCTAGTGAATCATCACTTAAGTATGAGCCACCAATGTGCTGCAATTGCCAAAAAAGTCAATGCAGTCCTGTGCTATATGAACAGAGGAATAGCATCAAGATCCTGAGTAGTGATAATGCCACTTTCTACTGCTCTAGTGAGACTAGACTTAGAAAACTGCACGCAGTTCTGGTCACCATGATACAAAAAAAATGCTGAAATCTTAGAATGTGTGTGGAGAGAAGAGCAACAAAGATGAAGGATCTGGAGGCTAAGTCATATGATGAACAGTTGAGGGAGAACAGTTTGATAGGCTAGATATGTCTAGCCTATCAAAGAGAAGGACCAGGGGAGCATGATAACTATCTTCTAGTACTTGAGAGGCTGTCACAGAGAACAGAGGGGATCGACTTATTCTCCAAAGTGCCTGAGGGCAGGACAAGAAGTAATGAGTGGAAGCTCATTAAAGAGAGAGCCAACCTAGAAGTAAGGAGAGATTTCCTGACAATGAGAACTGTCAATGGAACAGCTTGCCTCCTGGAGTTGTGAGTGCTCCAACACTGGAGGTTTTCAAAAATAGACTGGACAACATTTGACTGGGATGGTATAAGGCTCCTGCCTTGAGCAGAGGGTTGGACTACAAGACCCCCAGCGTCTCTTCCAGCCCTCTGATTTTATGCTCTACGTTGTAGTCCCTTGCCCGGGCACAGGCAGGATGGCAGGAGGTAGAGGAGGAAATGAGGGCAGTGGCATGACGTCTGGTCCCCTATGGGGAAGGAAGTTTAAACCAGTGTTTGAGGCCCAGGGATTGAAATGTTAGACTAGGACTGGGATAATCTAACTGCAAATCCATCCTCAACCATGGAAACTTGTTAGGGTCATTTTTCTCTCAGCCCAGCATCTGCTGAAAAGGTCTGTAATGAGTTTATGCTATTAAAAAAAAACCTGGCAACAATCTGGTACCCAATTTCTATTATGTTATCTGACAATGAAGAGTTAGTCTGTTATTTGTTTGTTTGTTTGTTTGTTTGTTTGTTTATATGCTGTTTATTATTTACTAAGCAGATAAAATTCATACCAAGATCCTGGTTATGCGCTTTGTCTTGTCCTTCAAAGTACAATAAGCTGTAGCCGCTCCACAGTTGGTTCATGCCCTCTGGACACATCGGCTCTTCAGCAGATTGGCTGTGTTTCACAAGAAGATAACCTATGTTAACACTGCGGCCCGGCATACCTTGCAGTCCAGGAGTACCAGGAACACCTGCTGCACCTAGAGAAATATAAAGGCAGGATGTTGCTTTTAAAGGTATTGCCACCCGGCAAGAACATCATGGCAACTTTATTTACTGCTGAATAATTCAGTACAAGTAGAAAAGAATCCACAGCTGTTGGATTGAATTTATTTGATGCTGATTCTGGCATTGCATAGCAAGTTATCAAAAAGTACATCTCCAGGTTACAATCTGAAGATAACAAGATCTCTTTTTCTGGCTGGGAACCCATCTGGAGTCCTCAGAGCACGAGGTCACAAAGCTCCCATTTGTACAAGGAAGCTAGCCGTTTCCCCAGAAGATCCCGCCCAACCAGTGGGACCTTTTATAGCATTCCTGAAAGGCTCACATTGTGCATTGTGCTTTGTAGCATTCCAACTTCTGTTTCATATATTTTGTTCAAACAATATGTTCAAATGATCAGACCATGCAAGGTGTGTTATTAGCACTAAGACTGGTGACTGAAGCATGTTCTATCCATGGGCGTCACACAGTCATCTTTCTGTGCTCTCTCCAAAAGAGAAAGGAAGTGTCCTTAAAATAGTAGCAATACAGGAACACTGTGGAGTGAAAAAGATGTGATTTTTTTTTATTGGTTGGTGGAAGGAAATGCAGGTTGACACTGCTTTTTTGCACTGGTGTGGTGATCAGGGCAGTTTTTGGGGTTGGCAACATTGGGCATGCAATGGTACTCATAAATACATACTCCTGAATATGTGGGAAAGCCGAAGCCCTACTGTAGGATGAACCTGTCTATAGTCTTCTTCATTTCTACCCTTAGATATTATGCGCATACCAATCTTAAAAGATAAAAAATCCAACAAAGGGTTGGATTAGATACTAAGTTGTTATACAGAAGCAGGCAACCTCAATAGATACCTTCAATAGGATCTGCCAGGCTCACTATTCCATCTAGTAATTTTAAAAACTGATAAGCTCACATGAAGCAAAACATCAGACTACGATATCATTTTTTTCAATAATAGTTCACTATTTATTTATTTTAAAAAGAATTGTAATAGATATATTTATTAAAAAATAGCTAAGGGTCGTCTGAATTACTTCTTGTGTGAGAAGGGCATGGAATGTCTATTCCAAATTTATGCCTGCTTAGACGAATCTTTCAAGTAATGGTTGCTTAGGTGGCTTATCTGTAAAAAAAAAAACCTATATTTTTTCTTTAGATTATTTTGGCTCACATGCAATTGTACACACATTCAACTGACTGACTGTAGTTGCAATACTGCATTTATTAAACTGGGAAAATCTATATGAATAGATTGGATGCAGAATTAAATCTTCAATCAGATGAAATGTCTGAGAAGAACTTTAGGATTTACCTTCAAAGCCTGCTGGGCCATGCAGCCCTTGTCCTCCTTGGTCACCTCTGAAACCTGGAGATGCAGCTATACCTCCTCTTCCTTGTGCTCCTGGTTTACCTATCAGGCCTCTAAAACCTGAAAAGTGAGGTTATTAAACAGAATAATCAACCATGACATTTTATTACAAAGTTGTTATGGTAATAAGAATTCAGTCCACTCAGGATCTTTAAACAATGGAAGGTGTCTGTAGCTCACAGATGCTGCTTTGTACAGCAAAGCTATTAGTAAGATTCTATGAGAGGAAACTAAAGCAGGGTTAGGTCATGGTGCCCTCAGCAGAAGTAGTTAAATCAAATATATGAGAAATTTCATGGCCAGCACACTGTAGGTTATCATTTCTGAATGAGAATAGAATTATCTGGAGAGTTCATCTGAAAAAGGACAATTTACAAGGCAGGAGCAGGGAAGGGCAGGAAGGCTATGGCAGAATAGAAGCTATGTTGTTGTGGCATTACATTTTCTTCCAAATAACATTAAATTTCTATACAAAAAGAACAGGACCTTTTCTGGAGGAAAATACAGTGGGAGCCCATATTGCCTTGAACAAATGACCAGTTGCATAATGTATTTTATTCACTCTATAAGATGTGCTTGTAAAGTTAGTGCAGCAGGGACAGATATGAAATGTACTAATGGAGCATTAAATCCCTGTATCACTTTCATGTAAAACTGCCAAAATCACTGACCAAGAAGTATCAATGTTTGTGTGGCTGACAAATGGATGCATAACAATTTAATCTGCCTTGATATTTTCAGGTGCCCCAAATATTCCTTTGAAATAATTATTACTCAGTCTTTATTTGAGGAATAAATAGCTTCACGAACCTATGAACACCATTATTTTTGATAGTAACCTCCTACCTGGATCTCCTGGGGGACCGTGAGGACCCATTTCACCTGCAGGGCCCTGGGGGCCTATTTTTCCACGGGCGCCTAGTGCCCCTTGCTCAGCAACCAGTTTAGGAAGTAAAGGTGGCAATCCGGGGGAACCTGGAGGTCCCTGAAACCCTAAAAGTTAAAAATCCAAACAAATTATTGATTTTGTAGATAGACTTTTCTACTTGTACCAATTGAACACCTATGCAATTTTTAAAATAAATACATTAATCAATTTAAGAAAATCATATAGCTACCCAACTCAAATGATACTAAATATTTATCCCATGTTATTAGTGGTCATTTATATGTACAAATGTCCCCATTTTTATTCCAGTTACTTTGTTTTACCACCCATCTACTCTAATGAGAGACAAGAATGCATCTTGACTCATGGGAAGTTAGTTGTCAGAACCCATTTATATTTCATTTCTATCTATCTCCTCTGATCTAAAATAAAATCTCACCTTCCCCTGGATTCTGCCATACTCCCAAGGGGGAGGGGGGACATGCCTGTGGGGTTATTGCTTTCACTTCCTCTATTTACTACAATGTAACCTTTTTTATTGCCTCTGTGTCTGCTGCCCATTACAATGTAACAAATTGCCTCCTGCAATATACATCTCTATGAACTTTCTTCTCCCTAACCTGGCAGCTAGGAAAAAAAAGAGGGGGGGGGGAGAAATACAAACCTCTGGAACCTGGCTTATTTCTCGGGTCTCAAAAGGAGGTGCAAAGAGCTGTTGAACATCATGCTACATCTCTCCTTTCCCACGATGGAGTTAACATGTGGGGATTGGCTGATCTGAACCATCCGGATGAACTATGGGGTGGGGTTTGCTTAGGGACACTTTAAAGTATTGATCTGTAAAGAAATCCCTCAGATCCTGTCTATTATGCCTGCTATCAACTACCCTTAATAAAAGTTCCTGTTGGAAGAAATTGTTTCCAGGAGTTCTGCTTTCTTAAGATGTGGGATTGAAGTGGGTCCTTACACTAGTACTATAAATAGGTTTGATGAGCTACAGAAGATCCAGTATATACTATCTTCCTTGTGACTATAAATATTACTAATAGGTGCTCTCTTATTACAAAGAGGAATGTTCAGTGCAATCTTAGGAATATGAAAATTATTACTGAAAATGCTGTTAAAATTAAAACATTAAACATTAAGGATAAGGTTATAATAAAGCTCTGTGGAATCAGTGTTGGTTTAAATATAGCAATTATTGAAATTAGCTTACTGAATCAATCTACTTACCTGGAGGGCCTCTATCTCCTTTAGGTCCTATGGGACCAAAGTCACCAGAAATTCCTGTTCGGCCAACAAAGCCCATGACTCCTTGTTCACCTTTATATCCTTCAAGGCAAAACAGTTGTAAGCATGGGTTATTACACATCTGACTAAGTAGCCTAATTTATATTCTCCATACTGAGTTTTCCCATCATACCTTTTGCTCCAGCCAAGCCTGATATTCCAGGTCTTCCATCTTGGCCCTGGTCTCCTTGTATTCCTTTCAGACCATCTTCTCCAGCCACACCTATTAGTCCCTCTTCTCCTTTGAAGCCAGATGAGCCAGGTGTTCCTGGGGTTCCTGAAGGTCCGGGGTAACCTTCAAAAGGTATTTAGAATTCAGAATGTTCATTTAAGGGCAAAGTTTGTAACACCAGACCTGACTTTCAAGTTCCAGCATAGCATACTGGTATGATGGAAGGAAAGCTAGCTCTGGCAATATGGCGGGAAACAGATACTTAAAAGAGTAAAACTTTCCCTCCCTCTCTGACAGTTCAGATCACATTGTCCAATTAATCTTCCAGCAATTGTTATGAGAAGAAAACTTCAGTGTGCCAAAACATCTCTTTGGAGGCCTCGGCTCTCACACTGATAGGGAGCACATGTGGACCCCAAGCTTTTCCCTTCCCCCTCACAACTATAGGCAATCTAGAAGCACTATGGCACTCCTAATGACCATAAATCTTCGTAGCTTGACACTGACTACTCTTGATGGCTTTTGGACTGGTCCTGAGTGAAACATAGATTTCATCCATAATGGTTCTGAACTATTGGGTTGTTGAGAGTGTGGGGTGTTGGTGGTGGTTATACTATTTCCACAGCTTGCTAACCACCTTTTCAGTAGTTTGCATTTACCAAGGATAGCTGCTTGTCTGCAGCAGCCCTGATCATATCCCACTCACAGTAACCTAGGCTAAGTTACTGAAATGGGTTTATGGGAGTTTGTTTTAGTTGTATCATTTAAACACAACCTGTATATATATATGGAAAAGAAACTATAGTAGTGGTCAGAAAGAAGCACTCTGATTAATTATCTCCCATAAAAATAGTTTACTATTATGTCAAAATGGGCCAGCTCTGATTAACTAATTTCCTAAGTCATTTTGTTTACTTTTTATCATTTCATAAGACACTTCAAAAATTGTGATTGGATGAGCTTTTGCTTGCTCTCCAAAATACTACTAAAAATCAGAATTCAAAACTTTTATTTTATTTTGGGTCCTCCAATTTGTTAATTATAACACGCAAGGAAGGAAAATGCATAAGCCTAATATTTAACACTGTGTGTCTACTAATAAAATGACTGCATTAATTTTAACATGCTTAACTGAACAAGCTATAACAGCCTGGGTCGCAAGTAATACTAAATCATAAACCATAGTTTACAAACCATAAAGACTACATTCACATAACTTATTAACTGAACCCAAACCCAAACCCAAACCCAAACTTTTGGCTTAGTATAATAACTTCTATTTGTGTATCTAATTAATTCTGTAATTACATGCCATATTTCTGAGTTGCTATTCTACGTGAGAATTTCGTAGTTCAGTTGCCTTGCCTCAATCCTGAAATGTTATTAAAATACCCTCCTACATTTTTCCACTCCACAAAACATCTTCTAAGGAGTTTTTTTTTACTTATGCATTCTTTAAATTATGCATCTTATCAGCTATAGATTATAACTATAATTACACTGCTAATCCTATGTGAATTCACCTGAAAAGAAGGGGGTCTGCCATGACCTATCAATTAAACCTTACTTGCAGAATTTATATCTAATTATTCTTGACTACCATTTTGCCCATTTAATTTTCATGATAAAGAAAGGCTAAAAATACTTGCAACAAATCCAAATAGTTACGATGACTCAAAGTAACACCCGGTAATTTTTTTTTCTTTTCTTTTTTTTTTTTTATTGAAAGTTTTATAAATTTTACAAAAAGACAAAAACAATACAAAACAAAAAACAACATATACAAAAAAAAAAAAACTAAACATATAAAAAAAAACCCCATCCCCCACCCCTCACAAACACCCTCCCTTCCCCCCCCCCCGAGCTTCCCAGAGCAGAATATAGGCTTAGTTAAAAATTAACAAATAAAGATAAAAATTAAATTAAAAAATTTATATTTATATATATATAAAAAAAGTATCTATATATAACATTCTCTATATATAAAAATAAAACTTATGAAAAAACTATGTAATATTTTTTTATACCCAGTCTAAATTGTATAAATTTTATCCATTTGTCCCAAACGGCAAGAAACTTCTCTTGCGTTTGTTGCTTTAAGAAAGCCGAAATCTTTGCCATTTCCGCCAAATAGGACACTTTAAGAAACCATTCCTGCAGTGTAGGCAAAGATTCCTTCTTCCAATATTGTCCAACTAACAGCCTCGCGGCTGTAATCAAATTTAACATCAATACAACCTCCTTTGTATCACAATCTGTAACAATGCCCAACAAAAATAATTGCGGAGTAAATTTTACCCTCCTTCTAAAAATTCTCTGGATATTCCACCATATTTTGATCCAAAATGCTTTTATCTCTCTGCATGACCACCAAATATGATAATAGGAAGCATCCGTATAACCACATCTCCAACATTTGGGTTGTACGTCAGGGTACATAAGAGACATTTTTTGTGGATCAAGGTGCCATCTATAAAACATTTTATAAAAATTCTCCCTAAGGTTCTGTGCTTGTGTAAATTTGACATTTCTCACCCAAATGGTTTCCCAGATGTCCAATGAGACTGGGACACCAAAATTCTGCGCCCATCTAATCATGCAGTCTTTAATTAATTCCGTTTCTGAGTCCATTTCAACTAATACCCCGTAGATTCTCTTGATGTGGGTTTGTCTTTGATCCTTGACTTGCTTAATAAGATTTCCATCTTCTCTAAGAAAACCCAATTTACAATCCACCTTCCATTTATCTACTAGTTGCCTATATTGGAACCAAGAATAAATAATATTTTCTTGCGCTAAATCTTCCCGTAATCTTAACTGCCAGTTTTGCCCATCCCATCTAAGTAGCTGACTATAAGACACCATATCCATTTTTACACCTTTTTTTATTCCTTCTATCGCATGCCAAGGTATGGCCCATAATGGAACTTTAAAATCACTTTTATAATATTTTCTCCAAGTCCTAAGTAAAGAGATTCTTAAAATATGAGATTTAAAGACCCAATCCATTTTTTTTATTAAATATTAAATAGGCATGCCACCCATAAAGTAAATCCCATCCCTCTAAATGAAGTATCTCAGGATTTGTCAAATTTACCCAATCACTAATTAGTGTTAAAACCACCGCATCGTAATATAATTTCAAATTTGGTACCTTGAGTCCACCCCTCTCACGGAAGTCTTGCATAATTTTAAACTTAACCCTTGGCTTTTTCCCTGCCCAAATAAATTTATTAAGACCCTTCTGCCACTCACTTAAGTTAATCTCATTTTTCAAAATCGGTAACATTTGAAACAAAAAAAGAAACTTGGGTAGAATATTCATTTTTATCACTGCAATTCTTCCCATGAGGGATAATTGCAACTTCTCCCAATTCTTCAAGTCCTTCTGTACCCTGACCCACAACCTTTCATAGTTATTTTTAAATAATTTTACATTAGAAACAGACAACATCACCCCCAAATATTTTACCTTATTAACAATCTCAAAACCCGTCAAGTTAGCCAAAATCTGCTTCTCCTGACTAGACATATTTTTAGGTAAGATTTTAGTCTTATTTACATTAATCTTGAAACCCGAAACCAAACCATAATGATGAATCAACTGTAATAAGTTTACTACAGAGTGATCAGGTTGCGACAAAGTAACAACCAAGTCGTCCGCAAAAGCTCTCAGCTTATATTCTTTTTTGTTAACTTCTATTCCTTTAATTTCCTGAGACTCTCAAATTTTGATCAATAATATTTCCAATGTTAAAACAAACAACAATGGCGATAAAGGGCACCCCTGTCTAGTACCTTTCTCTATTGTAAAAACCTCCGACAAACCTCCATTAACAATAAGTTGTGCCGTTTGTTTTTGATATATTACCGTAAGGGCTTGTAATATCTTTTCGCCAAAATTCATTTCTTCCATTACTCTTAGCATAAAATGCCAATTCAATTGATCAAATGCTTTTTCAGCATCTAAAAATATGAGCCCTGCAGGAACTTGGTTGTTCCACCCGGTAATTTTTAAAATCACTGTAACTATTTTCATATTGACTTTGAATAGGACTATAGTTCATACATCCCCACTGAATATACGGTAGTGTTGCATTACCTGGTACTCCATCAAAACCAGGTGAACCCACATCGCCAGGTATACCAGATATATTGGAGACTCCAGGAAATCCTGGTCTTCCATCTGGTCCAGGAGTACCAGTGGAACCTCGCCATCCTGCCAGTCAGAAATGAAGGAAGAAATATCAGATACAGAATAGACAGACAGACAGACAGGAGTGGAGGTGTACATTGATTAATCTGGTGTTGTGAGCTGGTGAGGAAAGAAAAATGCTGGTTGGCCTCTAAGGTTCAGCACTTTTTGATCCTCACGTTTCTGTGCGGAGAGCAAATTATAAACATTGGGGGGATACAGAATTTTTAATGTGATGCAGGCTTTGAAAAAAAGGGGAGGATAAAGGACTGGAAGAGAGCTGGATGCTGTCAGTGAGAAGGTAGAACTTGATATCTAAACTGAAATGGAAATTCTTTCTGAAGATAGATTTGGGAGAAAGATTAGTAAATACAGTAGGAAGGGCAAGTAGTTCTTCCTATCCCACGTGATGGGATGCATCAAGAAAATGGGGAAAATTAGGAAAAAAGTATGGCATGCAAAACAGCCTCCAAATGAAGTAATCACTGGCAGGAGAGATACATTGGGAGGCTGCAACCTGACCATTGTTCATGGAAAGAGGGAAGTGCCATGGCCAGCCTCTTTTCCTTGCTGTCACACTTCACACCAAAGCCAGACAGAAAATCATCCTTAAACTTTTGTTCAGCTTTTATTTCCTTAAGACTCCAGCAAACAAATTAGTGAGATAGGCTAGTTTATGAATCTTTATTGCAGACAAATCACCAACCTGATGTTATCCATTGTTTTCCTGGATGAAAGAACTAACCTGGCATATTACCATGGAGATCTGGCTTATGAAACAAAGGGAATTCTCTCTTCTACCAGACTATTCCTAGTTATAGCAAGTTGGGATTGAAGGGCATTGGTGATACAGCATGGTGGTGGTTTAGTCTGCCATTAAGAGTGGCAGAAAATGCCTTCCCATTCAAGTAGCACTTTTTTCTCATTATTTATTTATTTATTTATTTATTTTTTAAGTTTCTGAGTTTTGGGAATAAGTCATGAAAAGACAAGAAATATTAGATTTCTGATGGTCAAAGTAAAACAAAGCAATAGTTGAAAAAAAACCCAGTAGCTTTAAATACACCAGGAATAAAACAGCAGAGGTGGTAAGATACTCTAGGCTCAGTGATTTTGGTTGACAAATAATGTTCTTTTGTTGTGTTTTTGCTTTTCCTTGCACTATACAAACTCTCTATTGCTAAGTCAGCAATGCAGATACCTTAATTTGATAACTGCTCTTCTGGATAAATACAGGTAGACCTCAACTTACAACTACAATTGGGACCAGAACTTCCATTGTTAAGCAAGAGAGTTGTTAAATGAGTTGGACCTGATTTTATGACCTTTTTTCCCCCATAGTTGGTGAGTGAATCACCACAGTCATTAAGCATGCAGTTGTTAAGTGAATCTGGTTCCCCTATTGAGTTTGCTTGCTGGAAGCCATTTAGGAAGGCTATAGGTGACCCCAGGATGCTGCAACCATCATAAATCCATGCTGATCCCCCAGGGCCCAAATTACAGGGATGCTGTAACTGTTGTAAGTGTAAGAATCATCAGAAGTCATTTTTTTTCCAGCGTTGTCCTTAACCTTAAACAATCCCTAAATGAGTGGCTGTAAGTTGAGGACTCCTTGTACTAGTAAACACATTGTCAAAAGTTTAGGAGATACATTATAGCTAAAGAAAAAACTTCCCATTTTGAAATATTTCATCTGGAAGTGGTTGAAGCCAGCTATACCAGAAGGACAGGAAGTCAGGCATAAAGTGAAAAAAGAATTATTTCTTCCTACTATACCAAATTGCAGTACTGTATGTTGTAACAAAAAGCTTTTAAGACTGCAGACTGACACAGAGTTACTCTTAGGTTGAGATGAAGTTTGCTGGGAAGCAAGAGCAAGCAAATATTTATAAATATTCAGTTCTGGAAAATACAGATTTAAGCTATTAAAATCAAACTATTTCAATCTTGTACGAGATGCATAGATATTTTAGAAAAGAAAAGAAAAATTAGGTAGTCTTTATATCACAACAGAATAGAATAACAGAGTTGGAAGGGACCTCGTAAGTCATCTAGTCCAACCCTCTGCCCAAGCAGGAGACCCCACACCATTTCTGAAGGATGGCAGTCTACTCTCTTCTTGAAAGCTTCCAGTGATGAAGCACCAACAACATCTGAAGGCAGTCTGTTCCATTGGTTGATTGTTCTCATTGTCAGAAAATTTCTCCTTATTTCTAGGTAGAATCTCTCCTTGATCAGTTTCCATCCGTTATTCCTTCTCTGGCCTTCAGGTGCTTTGGAAAATAAGTTGACCCCCTCCTTTCTGTGACAGCTCCTCAGATATTGGAACACATGTCTCCCTGGTCCTTCTCTTCACTAGACTAGCCATGCCCAGTTCCTGTAGCTGTTCTTTTAGCCTCCAGTCCCCTAATCATCTTTGTTGCTCTTCTCTGCCCTCTTTCTAGAGTCTCAACCACTTTTTTATTTTTATATATATATATTATTGGTTTTTTTTTAACTAACAACCTGGTGCTTAGTAAACAGCATGTTATCTGGGTTCACATTTCACAACAATCAATAATAGTCAATTTCTATCATATCGTACTCTACATAACAGCTTTCCTTGATTTTCTCAACAGCTTTTTTATAGTGTGGAGACTAAAACTGGATTCCAGGTGTGGGTTTACTAAGGCTTTATAGAGTAGTATTAGTACCTCAATGTTCTTGATTGAATCCCTCTGTTAATGCACTTAGGATTGCATTGGATTTTTTCCGCTGCCGCTGCACACTGTTGGCTCATATTAGATTGATTGTCTATTAAGACTACAAGATCCTTATCACAGTTCTGCTATTAAGCCTGGTTTCACCCAATCTATATTTGTACTCTTGGTTTTTCTTGCCTAAGTGTAAGACTTTACTTTTCTCTCCATTAAATTTCATTTTGTTAGACAGGGCCCAGTGTTCAAGTCTGTCAAGATCCATCTGGATCTTGAGCCTATCATCTAGGGTGTTGGCTATTCCTGCCAGCTAAGTGTCATCTGCAAATTTGATGAGTTCCCCTTCTATTCCCTCATCTAAGTAATTGATGAAGATATTGAAGAGTAGTGGGACTAATATGGAACTTTGTGGTATCCAATTGCTTACTTCTCTCCATATAGAGGTAGTATGTCATGCCGTCAGAGCCTGACTCTGCGGAAGAAGATGAGCCAGAACTGGAGCCAACGGAGATTGAGGGGAAGGAGTTGTTGGCTTTGGAGAATACGGGGAGGAACAGGCTGAGGCAGGCCAGGGCCTTTCGGGATTGGGATGGCTTGTAGGCGGGGAGGAACAGGCAGGATGACCAAGAGAGGCTAAGCAGTGAACATGAGAGACAGAGCTCAAGCAATGAGCAAGAATCACCCCCTCCTGATCCTCAAGCACAGAGAGTGGAGAGAAGGCAGGAACAGTGCAGGCTGACTTGCCTACTTGGGAGGAAAGTGCCCCACCCCTCTCCACAAGGCACACCTGGGGACTGAGACTTAAGGAGACATTGTGGGGAGGCACATTTGTCAGGAATAAACGCTGAATTCATGGAGGATTGTGTGCTGTTGCCAATGCTGGATGTTTCCTGGATTTCTTGCTTTATTGCTTGCTTCTTGGATTAATTGCCTTGTACCTTTGTTTCCTGGACTCATTGATTTAATCCAGTGGTTCTCAACCTTTTTAATGCCGCAACCCCCAACTGGTCGTAAGTCGAGGACTACTCAACCGGTTGTAAGTCAAGGACTACCCAACCAGTCGTAAGTCGAGGACTTTCCCTGCCCGAGAGCACCGCGCATGCATGGTGCCGCCCTCTGCACCGGCCGAGGCAGTGACGGCGCAGGGCAACCACTGGCTGGGCCACCAGCTGGCCCAGCCCAAGGGAGATAAGGCACCCGCCAGGCCCCACATGTGCCAGCAACCCTGTGCCCTCCGGCCTCCCGCCTCCCACCCCTGGCCCTCTTTTACTTACATTTTTAGTAGTTGCTCAGCAGGGAGGGGTGGAAACTTCCAGACAGTTTGCCTTCACTGCAGACAACTTGCAGCACCGTTTGCAGAATGGGACTTTTGGTGGGCTCAGTAGGGCAGAGAAAGCCTGGACAATTCCTATTGGCTTTTGAAAGCCTATAGAATTAGACTCTATTCAAGAGAGTCTATTCTATTGGCTTTCAAAAGCCAATAGAATAAAAGGGAGTAGCACAGCTAAGGAAAAGGGAAAAAAATGGCGGACTGCGTTGTTTGGCGACCCCCGTGAAATGGTCGTTCGACCCCAAATGGGGTCGCGACCCACAGGTTGAGAACCGCTGATTTAATCTCTTGCCCTGCTGGATTTCTTGTTTTGGCAGCTGTTGTATTCACAGCTTTGCACTGGACTACTTGCAGCCAGAGGCTGCTGGAGATGTGTGTGTCTTCACTTTGCTCTGGGACTTGCCAGAAACGTGGGAGCAGTTGGGGAACATTTGGAGCAATAAAGGGGCAGTTTGACCTGTCACAAATGTCTCTGTGCCTGCCCCAGGTCATCACATAGTACCATTAAGGACTACTCTTGAGTACATTGTCAGCCAGTTACAAATCCATCTGATGGTGATACTATCTATCCTATTTTTTTTCTAGCTTACTAACTGAATATAATATGAGCTAAACGGTTCTTGCAGCTGTAAAACTTGCAATACATTTACTGTATAAAAAATACAAATTTTCATGTAAGTACAACTGTACTTTCTGATATGAGATTTAGAATAAATGTTTGTATCTGTGAAAAAATGAAAGCATTTTATGAATTGTGAGGCTAATAAACTAACCTGGATCCCCTCTTTCCCCCTTCTGACCAGGAGGTCCTCTACTGCCTTCAATGGGGCTCAGTTCTCCTGCTGTACCCTTCTCACCCAAAACACCTGGAAAACCTGATGTGCCATATCCATCTGGACCTGTTACGGGAAAAAAAATGGAAATTTCTATATTAAACATAACACTTTTTAAAATATGGCAATATTAACTATCCAGCTTCTAACACGTTAACCACAGTAATGTGAGACATAATAATAGGGAGAGGGTTAATATTTCAAAATTTGTGAGTCACTATATAGCAAAAGTATCCGCTGGAACACAAATAAAACCCATATTAAAAAATAAAACATATTGCATTAAAATACCAGTTTAAAGCAGCAGAAGTGAAAACTTCAGGAATAAAATTACTTCAAACATTACAGAAATATAAGGAATTAAAAAGACTAAAATAATGACTGCTGCACAATGAAAATCTTTAACAACTGCTCCCTTCAAATTTTCTTTTTATATATATAAATATTTTATTAATTTTCTATTTTTACAAATAAGTGCTTAATATACAATGTGTTGACTCGGGTCCATTAATAATTCCGTGGTACATATAAGTTTCTTCAAACTAAGTCCAGTATTACACCATCCAATATCTCCTCTCTTCTTCCGATAATAAACATTTTTCCACATTAAGCAAATGCAATTCTTATTGTTATTAATAGATATATAGTTGAATATCAGTATTTATTACAGTTTTCTAATAATATCAATATCAGTTTAAAATATATTTTCTAACCAAAACATATCTTAATTGCATTTGCATTCAATATTCATTTATTCAGTCAGTATCCTATTTTCGCTTTTTTTTCCAGTTTTAGTTTCCTATCCATATTCAAAATATCCCAATCATTTATAGTTTCAAAACAAGTTATATTTGGGTAACCAAAAGCTTCCCTTATTCAAACTTCTTAGAATTTTCTTATTTCCCTCTTCATGCCAAAATATGATATTCTGATTACCAATCTTATCTATCTAGTAATAATAATATTTCTATTTCTAGCAATCTATTCTTAACCATATTCAAACATCTAATTGATAATATAATATCCCCTCTAATAGGTCAAAGCTTCTGTTTTCTTCAGTCTTACTCTAGCTTTCTTCCTTTGCCAACTAATTTTCCAAGTCAGTGCATTTGGATCATCAAATAATTCTTCCTCTATTTTTGTGCATATTATTTGGAGCAAAAGAAACAATTTAGTTAAAGTATTTTTGGAAGAGATAGCTCATTAATATTCATTAAACAGCCTCCCTCCTTCTCCAATCCCCCACAATTCTGGTAACAGCTCTATCTTCCGTTCCATCAGCTTTCCTTCCTTATCCTTCAGTATACTCTGAAATCTTGGTTGATAAAATGTCTTTTCCATTTCCAATATTATCGTTATGTCTTCTAATTCTTCGTTTGTCTGAGTCTGGCTGTTAGTTTTTTCCTTTGGTCCTCTATCTTTAGTTTCTCTAGCTTTCTCTAGTTTTCCTCCTATTTTCTGGGTTGCTAGTTCCTTCTCTGTGGTTATTTTCTGGGTTTGTATATTTAAATTAGAAAATTGTTCTTTTATCTCCTTTGTGTTATTTTTAATCTCATCACGAACTAAGGCAATTGTTTCTTGTATTAATTTCAACATGGAGAGAATTTCTTTCTGTGATTCATCAGTATTTTCTTGGTGGTATGTCAAACTGAGGCTTCTGGAGACAGACGTTAAGGATGTTTTTTTTTACCATTTAGTGCTAAATATGGAACATATTTTATTTTTTGTAAATAGCCTTTATAGAAATCTGTTTGAAAACTTAGAAAGTTTCAGTTAATTATTATTGGAGCTCCAGATTATCCAACCAATTTATCAATCCTTTCTTAAACCTCCCCTAAGCAAATATAAGTGAAATTCAGTTTTTTCTGTCCAATGAGAAATATATCTTTTCTGTCCAGGGAGAAGAAAGAACCATTAAAAGTTGCTTATCAGTCAAGATTTAAAATCCAAAATGTTCCATCATATCAAGCAACAGTGTATATTTCTTCTATAGGAAAATAGTTCCACATACAGTTCTGAAAGTCAGTATTTGTATTTGTAGTTCAGACAGGCCAATTTTAGAATAATTTATCATCTCTGCCACACAGATAAGCAGCCCCCAAGCCTTTTCTTTCTCACCTACAATCTTCAAAAGTAAAAGCTTTCAAGGCCATCCAGAGTCTTATCTAAATCTGGGCTTTGAGCCAGGTTTCTTTTAGGCATAATAAATTGTAGTACTGTAAATTCACCACTAGTTGTCATTGATGCCATTTTACAGGTTTTTTTAAAAATCAAAAAATTATATTGCAGACTTATCAAGTCTCTCTTTTTTTAAAAAAGGTCTTAAAAGCACTTTTAATCCTCAAATTTTCAAGCCATATACATACATACATACATACATACATACATACATATATATTCCAACTTAGTCCTGTAGTTTTCTCCATTTTATACAAGTAATTAAATCACTGCTTTTTTTTCCTGAGGGAATGGGGCAGAAATTCCCCTTCCCTCTCTCATTGGGGGGAATGCTTTGGGCAGTTTTTCAGGAAGAGGTCTTAAGCTCATAAAGAGAGGATCAGGTCTCACCCAGTTTCATCCACGTTGCTGTAATGTTGCTTATTGACTTCCATTATCAGCAGCTTAGGACTGGCTATGCAACTGTAGCCAGTCTTTCCCCCACCGGTTTGGAGGGTTTCCTTGGATCAAATGGGAGGGCTGCCATCCCCCACAATCAACAAGGGTCCCCTCCTTGCTTGTCGCCTCTACAGGGTGACTTTTGACCCTTTTCAGGGTCCCACAGCAGGGTGAAATCAAATGCAAACGACGGAGCCTCATCTTCCTGCTGCAACATCAAAACCGGAAGCCTGCTCCCTTCAAATTTTCAAAGTGGTAGCAGTATAGCAGAAGCAATATGTGAGGGAATTTCAGAAACTATTTTAGAGGAGAACCATGGTTTTTTGTGATGGGGGGTTGGAGGCTCTTCCAATTTACAACCAGAAGCAACATCTCTACTTGTACCTTGTTTATAATTTCTGCCACAACCATAGCATTTGAAGATCACAGAGATCCAGATCTTCTTTTAAGCAAGACTCAAGGAGAAGATTTTGGCCCAACACTAAAAAGACAATACTGTAGTTTAACCTTTCTGGGTTTCTATTGCTGAAGAGACTTACTCTCAAATATCTCAGCATGGCACTCTCAGATATGCTCAGAATTAGAAGTCCTTTTTCAGATATTATGGCCCCCAATAACAAAGAGCTTTCTAGCTTAACATTAGCACTTTAAATTGGATCCAGAAATTAAATGGAAAATAATGTACCAACAGTACAATATAATCATAACACTCATTAAAGCCAGTTTTCCAGCTGTCACATTTTGTACTTGGAAGTTTCTGAACTGCCCCTCACACTGCAGTAATCAAAATGAACGGTTTTTAGGACATCAGTCACTAAGATCATCAATATAAACTATAACAGTAGTGGCGAACCTATGGCACAGGTGCCAGAGGTGGCACTTACAGCCCTCTCTGTGGGCACGCGCGCTGTCGCCCCAGTCCTAGGCCTTCAGCTGGGTTTTATAAAACCTTTTTGCTTTAGGCTTCCAACGCTGTGTGCAAAAAAAAAAAAAAAAAAAGGGTTCAATCAATCAATTTCAACTTCTCGCGGGAAAAAAAAATCTTGCATAGTTGGAATTGATTGATTGAACTTTTTAGTCCCACCCAGTCTGCCGTTACCACCACAGCCATGCCCAGCCAGTGGGCCACGCCCAGCCAATGGGCCACACCCACCCGGCACCTGACGATGCATAAGTAGGTTTTGGGTTGCAATTTGGGCACTTGGTCTCAAAAAGATTCGCCATCACTGAACTGTAACAATAGCTTCAGCTGGTAAAAGTTGCTCCTTGCTATAGAGTAAACTAATGAAGCTAATGACAACTATAAAGCTTTGCAAGGGTCTATAGATCCAAATTTACCATCTCTAAAGCTGGATCTATAGTTAGAAGCCTGATACCTGGGGGGAAGTGTTGTTTGTTTGATTTCAAGTTGGATATCACTTATCCGTAATAAAAGTCAGGTCTTCATATTATATGTCACAAATAATAACTGGAACATACCTGGTGATCCTAGCAAGCCTTTAGTACCTGGCAAACCATCTAATCCAGGAAGTCCTCTGGTCCCATGCACACCTTCCAAAAGTACAGCAAAATCAGTATTATTTACAAATTTAAGTAACATATAATACAGAATTCTTTGAAAATTTTTGCTGAGTTTCAAAATGATAAAAATTTTTAAGCCAGGCTAATGTTACAACCGCTATGCTATTGTAACACCATTGGTAACAGAAGTTGGAGCACACACTACTGAGCCAAATGCAGAAAAATGCAAGAAAAAGCTAGTTGCATAAATTTAATTTTGTATATGGGTGAAGCCTGACAAGGAGACTCACAGGCAGATAATTATTGCAAGTACTAAAAAAAGCCCTTAACGGCAAAGAAAAGCAGTTACAGCAAACTGTAAGATACAGCAGACCCAGATTCAACTCTTATATCTCTTTCTCCTGCCCATGTATCATAATGGACTGAGAGTCACTGGTATCTCAGTAGAAGGAATGTTTGACACCTCTGCCAAGGTGATGCCTCTATTACTAGACTTCAGGTTCTTTGCTTCTGACTTTTCCTGTTCTGGTCCTTACAAAGCTGTTCTGCCAATGGAATGGATTCTTAAAACCTAGCCCATCCTTTCATAGACTTCCCAAAATAATTCCACAGGGTTGACAGAATTTCTTAAATGGATATGAAACACAAAAAGAGAGAAATTGCTACTGAATGTAGCCCATAACATATTAGTAGCAACTCTATTGACAGAATTTAATTTACCTTTTCTTCCTGGAGAGCCAATGTTTCCAACACTTCCTTTGTCACCAGAAGATCCAGGTTTCCCTGGATCTCCAGGTGCACCTTGTTCCCCAATCTGCCCTGGGAATCCTACAGAACAAATAAATATATATACATTAAAGTATTAGTGTATTTCTCCAATAATGGTAAAACAAATCAATTTTCGCAAGAATCCATTGTTTATTATTTTAACACTGAAAACCGATATAATGGGAAATAGGCTATGCCACATTTGTTAGGTTTAGCTTATGTAACTGAGCCTGCAAGGTGCTCTTGATTATAATTGAAAAGAATTGATAATAGATATTGATAATAATAGAGCAAAACAACATCTAGGACTAAGCAAGGCTTCTGTTAAATTTCAAGCCATATATGCTATATTATATGGGGCAACCAGACAAGGCTGGCACTCTCTAAAAATCTGATTATACATTATTCTCTGGATTTGGATCTCTTGCTTTATTTTAATTTAATTTTCTTGTTTGGACAAGAACTTTTTAGATCTTTTATCAAATGGATTGTGATTTTATTGAAAAGAATAAATAAGAAAATAAGCTTGATGAGACAAAACCTAGGATTTTTCATCAGCAAACCAATGTTTTAATTTCTCACAATAAATATTACTTTTGGGGGGATACATCTCATATGTTATATATAATATTAATTACAACATTTCTTAGTATTTTGGTTGGAATAAAAAGCCTTAAAGAAATAATATTTGCATCAGTTTCCTGAGAAATTCCAATACTTTGGAAATTCTTCATAATCATTAAGAAATAGAATAGAATAGAATAGAATAATAACTTTATTGTCACTTTGAATGTACACCAATCGTCATACATTAAAATGAAATTTCGTTGCATACAGCTCTCAAAAGGTCACCACCTACGATATACAGTATACTACATAAATATGACAAAAATAAATAAATACAGAATTATGCATATACCCACATATATCATATGATGCAGAGAAACAACAGTCTAGTAATTTGAGTTATGTATACATGTGCATAGCAAGAAAAACAAATCTTGCAAGTTTACCAGACAGATGGCATAGGGAACAAAGTGGATGGCTTTTTTTAAAGAGCTGGTTTTGTACAAAATTTATTGTATTATGCCACTTATTACTTTATATTAATATGTAGCCAGATGATCTATTGGCATAAATTTATTGGGTTTCAAACATTGTTCTTTTAACTGTTGACTTTTTAACTTAACTTCCTTAATCTTTTAACGTGAGCATGATGAGTTTTCTTGGATTCACTGCATTCTTGGAGACATTTTTGGTAATCAGGGAATTGTGCAATGTTTCTTGGCAGGCTTTGCACTGATCCGTTCCAGATGCCCCTTAAGCTACTGAACTGTCTTTTTCCCCCGTAATAGCTACTTTAAGAAATATCCCAGCCTACACAGGAACATACTGTAGCTTTTGAGCATTCCTCAAAGAAGGACACTCCTTTGCTTTCATTGTTTTCTATCTGAATCTTTACTAGGCTAGAGGTCTTCAAATGCTTCTCAGTGACCTCCAGCTTTTTCCACATGCAAATGATTTTCTAGCCCAGGACTTTTCAACCTTTTCACTGATTGTACCACTTTTAGGATATGGCAATATTCGAGTACCACCAGTCGCCTAGCAAGGTGTCAAAAACTTGATCAAAAAAAAAAAGGAACAAAGTGATAAAGTACAAGTAGTCATTTACTTACAACAGTGTGCTTAGTGACTGTTCGAAGTTACAACGGCACTGAAAAAAGTGACTTGTGGCCATTTTTCACACTTATGACCATTGCAGCATCCTCATGGTCTTGTGATTTACATTCGGATGCTTGGCAACTGATTCATATTTATGATGGACACATTGTCCCAGGGTCATGTGATCACCTTTTGCAACCTTCTGACAAACAAAGTCAGTGGGGAAGCCAGATTCACTTAACAACCATGTTGCTAATTTAACAACTACAGTGATTCACTTAACAAATGTGGCAAGAAAAGTCATAAAACGGGGCAAAACTCATTTAACAAATTTCTCACCCCCTCCTCCTTTTATATCTTCTCCTCTCCCCCTCCTTCTTTTATATCCTCTCTTCTCTTCCCCCTTCTTTTATATCTTTTCTTCTCTCCCCCTTCTTTTATATCCTTTCTCTCCCCTCCTTTTATATCGTCTCTTCTCTCTCCTCCTTCTTTTATATCTTCTCTTCTCTCCCCCTTCTTTTATATCCTTTCACTCTGCTCCTTTCCTATCATCTCTTCTCTCCTCTCCTTCTTTCATATATCTCTTCTCTACCCCTTCTTTTATATCTTCTCTTCTCTACCCCTTCTTTTTTGTCTTTTCTCTCCCCTCCTTTTATCTCTTCTCTACTCCTTCTTTTATATCTTTTCTCACCCATCCTTCTTTTATATCTTCTCTTTTCTCCCCCCTTTTTTATATCTTCTCTTCTCTACCTCTTCTTTTATATTCTTTCTCTCCCCTTCTTTTATATCTTCTCTTCTCTTCCCTTTTTATATCCTTTCTCTTTGCTCCTTTTCTATCACCTCTTCTCTCCCCTTTTTATATCTTCTCTCCCTCCTTCTTTTATATCCTCTCTTCTCTCCACCCCTTCTTGTATATCCCTTTTCTCCTCTCCTTTTATATCCTTTCTGTTGAGTCCTCAGCAAAAGGCAATAACTTCAGGAGTCATTTGGTAGTTCTCAGGAGCCTCTTTATTGATGTTCAGCAGCTCTGTTACAACGCCGAGGCACACAAGCCTCTCTCCTCCTGTTAAAGACAATCCCCGGGCCAAACGGCAACATTTGGCGTGCTTTGCACTTCACGCATGTGCACGAGTGCTGGCGCCAGCCAGTCTGGTCCCGGGCAGCTTGCAACTGCCCGGGACTGTTGCAACGTCCCGAGCCTGCCTTTGCAGACTCAGGACACAACACCCCTTCCCCCCAGCTAAAATTACAACCACATGAATAGTTACACGCGACCTCAACACGAGTGTGGGATCCACACTAGCTCCATGGTACCAAGCTGTAATGTTTTGGGCTTCATTTCCCATTGTTCCTTATTCCAACCTTTCACAGGAACACCCTCTTACTGTTTCTGCTTTGCCAGCAGAGTTACAAAATCTTCAAGATATTTAGGAGATCTTTTAGCTCTTTGTGACCTCCGAATTCCCTGGCAACCTCCAAGCACATCTTGTCCAGGGGGTGCTATGTGTTCGCCCCCTTCCTTTGACCTTGGTGGTCCCCATGGACCGTGCCCCATTGCCTGGCCCACTTACTTGCCCCTGCTGCCTCTTCTGCAGTAACTGCTGCCTCTTCTGCAGTAACCTCTCTCAAGGCATCTTGGAATGATAAGTCTTCTTTGGCAAAAAGTCTCTGCTGCAAGTCTCTATGTCTCAGTCCACATACAAATCTGTCTCTCAGCCTTTCTTCTAAGTCTTTAAACTCGCAAGGCTTAGCTGCTCTTCTCAATGCAGCAATGTACTCTTTAGCTGACTCGCCAGCCCGTTGATCCCTCTGTTCAAAAGTATGGCGCCAAGCGATGACAGACAACTTGGGCTGGAAATGTTCCTTTAGCAATTTCTTTAAGTCTGTGTAGGTAACAGATTCTAGAGGTGCAGGTGCTGCTAGATTTTCAGTGATCTCAAATGCATCTTGACCACAAACACACAGTAGGGTGACGGCTTTTAAGCCATCTTCTCTCACTTGATTGACTTTGAGATAATTTTCTACTCTGGCCACATAAGACTCCCATCTTTCGGGATGCGTAACATCGAACTCGGAAAGTCTTCCTATCTTTGCCATCTTCAGTAGTACAGGAAGGGTCTATCAGCCAGCTTACCGCCAACGTTTGCTGTATTGGCAGGCAGTTGCTGAATTTAACGCCGTTTCCTGCTGCTTCAGGACTCCAGGGTAAGCTTACAATTGTTTGAAGTAATTGCAAGGCATCCCACCTTCGTCGCCAGTGTTGAGTCCTCAGCGAAAGGCAATAACTTCAGGAGTCATTTGGTAGTTCTCAGGAGCCTCTTTATTGATGTTCAGCAGCTCTGTTACAACGCCGAGGCACACAAGCCTCTCTCCTCCTCTTAAAGACAATCCCCGGGCCAAACGGCAACATTTGGCGCGCTTTGCACTTCACGCATGCATGTGAGTGCTGGCGCCAGCCAGTCTGGTCCCGGGCAGCTTGCAACTGCCCGGGACTGTTGCAACGTCCCGAGCCTGCCTTTGCAGGCTCAGGACACAACACTTTCTCTCCCTTCCTTCTTTTATATCCTCTTCTCTCTCCTTCTTTTATATCCTCTCTTCTCTCCCCCTTTATTTTATATCCTTTCTCTCCCCTCCTTCTTTTATATCTGCTCTCCTCCTCCTTCTTTTATATCGTTTCTTCTCTCCTCCCTTCTTTTATATCCTTTCTCTCTGCTCCTTTTATATCATCTCTTCTCTCCCCTTCTTTTATATCTTGTCTTCTCTCCCTTCTTTTATATGCTTTCTCAACCCTACTTCTTTTATCTCTTCTCTTCTCTCCCCTTTCTTTTATATCCTTTCTCTCTCCTCCTTCTTTTATATCTTCTCTTCTCTCTCCCTTCTTTTATATCCTTTCTCTCCCTTCCTTTTATATCATCTCTTCTTTCCCCTTCTATCTTCTCTTCTCTCACCCTTCTTTTGTATCTTCTGTTCTCTCCCCTCCTTCTTTTATATCTTCTGTTCTCTCCCCTCCTTCTTTTATATCCTCTCTTCTCTCTTCCCCTTATTTTATATCCTTTCTCTCCCCTCCTCCTTTTATATCATCTCCTCTCCCCCGGTTTCTCTTCAGTGCACTTCCAGCTGACTGCTCTCCTCAAGGCTGTGCTTTCTTTCCCCCTTGTCTTTTTTTCTCTCCCTCTCCTGCCAAAACCTGCTCTTTTTATTGCCTTTCCTCTCTCTCCCTCTCCTCCTTTTCTCTTCTGTGTGCATTGGAAGCACCAATCAGCTGGAGCAGCAGGACCCAGGCAACACCTCGTGCAGCTCCATTTGAATCTTCGCCTGAAGACTGCGTGGGGCTGCCTGCCACACCCAAGGCTGCCGCCAATCAGCTGGAGCTGTGCGTGCAGATCCTGGGCTCTCAGCAAAACCCAGGCAACACCTCACACAGCTCCAGTTGACTTTCTCACAAGCCTGTGCGGTGCTGCCGCTGCTTCTCCTCATCCACTTTTACACATTTTTTTTACACTTTTTTTTACAGTGCTATTCAACCCAACATACGCATACCACCTTCCAGGTGCCGACATACCACCAGTGGTATGTGTACCACTGGTTAAAAAGCCCTGTTCTAGCCTATCTCCGTGAGGCTAGGGGGTTCCAGTTGTCTTGGAAAGCCAAGCTAAGTAACACCACAAGTCAAGTGATTTGGCTCCTAGTCCAGAAACAATAGTTTCAAAATGCCTTGATTCAACTGAAAGCAGGATGAACACCCACACTCAACTTTTGTAGTATTCCCCTGCCCTTCCTCCAGAAGCTGATGCCTTGAAGTGCCCTTGCTTCTCTGCTTCACCTTTCTTCTGCCAAATGGAGATAGAGATAGTCTGGATGTTGGGGTTTTTTTACCCCTCTCTTACTGGGAAGCTAAAATGGTGAAGTGATTTGCAAGGGTGGAGGGCCAGCTGCTTTCTGTTTCTGATATTTCCCTATTTACGGACTGGGAAGACCAATAGCCAGGGCAAGATGGGATCATTGCTGGATGATTATGGCAATGGAGAGAAAGCTGGCAGGTCCTCTGAGCAGTTTTAGTATACAAGCAAATATATACAAACAGTAATTCAGGCAATAGATAATTCAATGGACTAGATACTCTAGATGACATTATCTGATTAAAAAAAATATCATGTGGAATTCCTGATGGACAGAATAACTTTCTATATATGGATTTATCTGGTAACAACCGTGGATTTAAGGAGCCATGGTGGTGCAGTGATTAGAATGCAGTATTGCAGACTGAGTCTGCCCACAGCCAAGAGTTCAATCCTAATGGGGCTCAAGTCTTCCATCCTTACAAGGTCAGTAAAACGAGGACCCAGGTTGTTGGGGGCAATATCCTGATTCTGTAAACAGCTCAGAGATGGTTGTAAAGCACTGTGGAGCGGCATATAAGTCTAAGTGCTATTGCTGTTGCTATTGCTATTGCTACCTGGTAACAATCATGACATATGGAATATTGTGGCTTGGAATATAAAAATAAATGGTATAAATGAATGTATTCACGAAGGTGAAAGTGCAGGTTTGAATGACAGACTAAAATGTTTCCCAGGTAGTATGAATTAGTATTAGCTGGACTGTTGTGGGTATGTATAAAAGTAGAAATTCATAGCTTGTTTTTATAGTTGCATTTTATGCTGCAATGAACAGTGAGAAATGAAAGAAACTGGGATAAATTTTCAGAAAAAACTTGTGCAACATTGTAAAAGAATGTGATCTAAGCAAGTAGTTCTTTTATTAGGTAACATGGACAGATAGGTGGGAATGAAACAAGAGAATACAGAAAACTGATGGGTCCATTCAGAACCCCATTGGTGAGCATCTATTTACAAAAGATCTGTTTTGAATATGTGGTATACACGTAAGTCCTTGTATATAATGGTGGAAAAATTATTATAAATCTAAAAACATGATTGTAAGTTTGAGAAAATTGGTGAAGGGTATAATAGTGCTAAAAGGTTCTGAAAGTGATAGAATCATGAATGAATATGGTTTGAATAAAAGAGTTAGAAGCAGTAGTTTGGTGAGGTCCAAAGATAATGAAGACAAAGATAATGAATAATGATAATGAATGAGGATCAAATTACAAAATAATTATATTATAGAAGATGAAACATCAACAGGAAAGGGAATTTTAAAAAAAAATCCTGGACTTGATGAGATCTTAAAAAAACATGAAAGAAAAGACAATTTGAAGAACACAAGGCAATGTGATTATGGATGTGGGGAAAACAAGGGTGGTAAGCAAGTAAAGAAACAATGGAGAGGGAGACTGAATACTTTTAGTTTAAACCAGTTGTAACTATTTCCCCTTTTTCTTATCTCATGCTTTGAGGCTGTTTGTCTTTTCTGCACTAAGCATAAAATGTTTTATTGTAAAGGGAATAGCATGGTGGGTATGTTTGCAACTTTTCAGTGTCTAAGTATCACATTGTCTACTCATACTATTTACCCTGTTTGCTATAAACATTGCTCTTTGTGAATATCTAAAAATATAAAAACTTCACCTCTTTGTCCTATTAACCCCTGGGAGCCTTGAGGGCCTTCCATGCCTTCCACACCAGGATATCCTTGACCCCCAGCTTCACCCTTCTTTCCTTTGTTTCCTTTCAATCCTGTAAAATAGAAAAAAATAATACTTTTTTTGCATAGTGTTATTTCTGACACACTGGACCACACGAAGTCTCCATTTGATGCTATTTCATAAATATTTCAGATTTGTAGTATGGATTCCTAAAAGGGTCAACAAGAGGAGAAGAGTGGTATTTTTCAAACATTAAGAATCATATTGTGAACATAGTTACATAAAATAAATGTGGCCAACCTGATGTCTACAGGCTAAGTGTGGCCTTAAGGAAATGGCTATCAATTAAGGCTGGCTGGAACTTTTTGGGATAGGATGATATGAGTCAGTGAGCCAAACTGGGATGAATCCCCAGGGTAGAGTCTGCACCAGAGGCTATAGGGCTAATTTGTTTCAGTAGGCTTTTAGTTGCCCAAAAGCTTAAACTGTAGGTAAACATAAAGAAAATACAGGAAGCCCAATTAGGAAACCCAACTTCTCAGCTGGGGCAGAAAGGCAATGCAGCATAGGTCTAAATCCTTAGAAAGGAACCTATACCTAAACCACTGATAAACTGCCCAAGTCATGGCAATTGGCAGTCCACTGGCCTCTGCTTGATACTAGCCTAAGTTCAACCTATAACACAATGCTGATCAACATGCTAGCCATTTATATGTTAATAGTATTTTTACTTATATCATGAAAAATCTTGTGGTTGCTTTATAAAACAAATTCTGCACACCCATGCAATAGATAATAATCAGGTCATTTATTTATTTTATTTATGAGACTTATATACCGCTTTAAGTGCAAGCACTCTCTAAGCGGTGTACACCAGTAAACAATGTATATATATATTTACATTGCCCCCAACAATCTGGGTCCTCATTTTACCTACCCCGAAAGGATGGAAGGCTGAGTCAACCTTGAGCCGGTGAGATTTGAACCGCTGACCTGCTGAACACAGTCAACTAAAGTGGCCTGCAGTACTGCACTCTAACTGTTGTGCCACCTCGGCTCATTGCAATAAATGTTGTAATTCTCATTCTTTCCTCATGTATAATTTCTTTGTATGTTTTCCTACAATTTTTTATCTACTTGATACTTGAGATCCATGTAGAGCAAACTAACAAGGGACTAAAGCAACTATGGAACAAAGGTTCTTTTTTTTTTGCTGTTGTCACTCTTTCTGTCTAGAAAATTGTAAATTTTCATCATTTTAGTTCCTAGACATTCCAAAATGTGTTATCTTCAGGTTCCCAGGCTAGATTCCTGAGAAATTAATGGATATATTTACTCTCCCTTCTAAGTACTTTCCAGGCCTGATACTGTCATCTGCTGAGACTTTTATTGAGAAGCATGTGCATGCTCTAAAGGAGCTCAGGGAGAGACAACAGGGATCTCTCCAGATCAGGGGTTCTCAACTGTGGCAACTTTAAGACTTGTGGACTTCAACTCCCAGAATTCCTCAGCCAGCTTTGCTGGCTGAGGAATTCTGGGAATTGAAGTCCACAAGTCTTAAAGTTGCCAAGGTTGAGAACCCCTGCTCCAGATGCTTTAAACTAGAGTTCTTATGATTAAATCCCCACAATCAATTCCATAGCCCCATTAGAAATTATAGGCATTACAAAGCAAAACAACTTAGAAGGCTACACATCTGCCACATTTAAACTTATTACTGTGGATTTAATTTAATTTGGTGATATTTTTTTTTGGGGTAAAAAATTTTATTTTCAACTTTACAATACATAACAATCTTACAAATACTTCAGATAAAAAATAAAACAAATTGATACACACCACATTCGGTCTTGCCCGAATTTGGTGATATTGATGATGTATATTTTTGACAGGATAGCCAGCTTATTTATTTAATTCTCTTACTGAATAAAATCCATAACTGGTTGGGTTCACTCAACATGGCAAGCCGAAACCAGATCAAAAGACAGACATATAAGATCTTATTGTGAGCAGTGAACTCAAACAATGCATACCATCATTATGTTATTTCAAAACTGTTTAAGGTAGGGAGAGCCTTTAGATCGTGGCTTCTGGAATTCTTTCCAACTAGCAGGAATGACAGGAGGTGTCTATATTTTCTTCTGTATAACAAAGTAAAATGTTGTATCTGTGTAAATGTTTCTGCCCTTGCCCTGTTTTGTATCTCTGATTGTAGCTCCTGATTGCATTGGAAAGCAAGGGCAGCAGACCACATATGCTCCACTCTGGGCCACATGGCCAGGAGAAAGGAAAGAAGGGAATGAGCCAGTCAGCAATGTTCCAAGATGTTGTCCAGCTGCCTCTCCCACAGGGGTTCTCTTTGGCAATGGTTTTTGTTAAGTCCTTCCAACAATGGCGAATGATGAAAACACATCTTGCATGGAACAACTCTTTATTTCGTTTTCAGCTAAAACACCAACAACGAGCAAAGGCATGCAGGCCTCTTTTTATATGACCAGATCCCCGGACACAATGGCAACAACCAGGGCGCTTTTGCGCCTTGCGCATGCGCGCAAGGCTGACGCCACTCAGTCTGGTCCCGGGCAGCTTCTGGAATGCCCGGGACCATCGCAACGTCCCGAGCCTGCTTGTGAAGGCTCAGGACACAACAGTTTTCTCTACATATCCAAGCCAGTCAATTTTCAAACCCAATCTTTCCTTTGCTAGCCTCTCCTTTCCACACCAAATTTGGTTCTGCTCTGTTCAGTTGTGGACAGAGAAAGTCTTGATTCCCTTTTACATAATTTATTTCCAACATTCTATTTAGTTACAAAGAAGAACAAAAGTCTAGTAAGAATGTTGAGTCACACTGGAGCTTAATTATAAGTGTGGTCTGTGTGGAGGGAGAGAAAGATAGAACAAGCGAGCTGCATTCTGAGTAGTCTGAACGTTGCAATCTTAGTTTTCCATCTGGAAATGGGAATCATTATCATGGTTTCATGATAAAGATCCTGAATAAGTTAAAGATGACAAACTTACAAAGCACTGGACAATTTAGGAATTAGTCTATCTTAATTAAATAGAACATTCAGTCATCTTCTGTAATGATATTGAAATGCATCAATATCACTTAGTAATTCCTAAGTGCATACAACTGTTAATAAATCTATTTTCTAGTTAGCTATTTCATCTGATAATGAATTATTCTATGTTATAAATGCACTCATGTACCCATTACATATGCATAAATACCTGGTGGTCCAGCAATTCCAGGGATTCCTTTAGAACCTTTACTTCCTGGCAAATTTATAGTATCTCCTCTGTCACCTATGAAGCAAGAGATATGTTTAATTTTACCAGTATCCATTATTTGAATATATTTTAATGTTAAAACATGCCAGGGAATTTCTTACTGTACACATACTGATCTAGAGAGACATTCTACAAGATTTTTTTCCCCAACAGATGGAGACACTTTGACTCTTTGATTGGCAAAGGTCATCTGATTTCCCAGACTGGACTGAGAAATACAGGAACATATTTTTGGAAAGAAATTATGCCAATATTCTGAAATTCCAGCATGATTGATCACAGGGTAAAAAATTAAGGAATCCCTTCCTCTTAGCTATTCCCTCCCATGTGTCCCAAGCAGATATTACATGATGATAAAAACTCTCTCAATCTTTTCTTATTCTTTATAGAACTTAAAACTAAGAAAAATAAAATTCAAGTTATAGACCGTGTCCTGCAGGAACATTCCTGCAGGGCACTCTGGTAATAATCTGCATCTGCCAATGGATGGGAACTTTTAACACTATGTATAAATGGACATCTAAGTTATGATGAGAGTTGGACACCCCCTCCCCAGCCCAACTAAGAAATAATCTATGAACACCCCAACTAAACTGGGTCAACAGCAGCCTGAGGCTAAAACAGCAAACACTTGACACACACAATGAGGAACCAACTAGCAGCATTCAGGACACAACAATAAAAGTAATTAACACCTTTTAGGCAAGAAAAAGGAACTAACAATAGTCACAAACCAGCAAATCAAGAAAGACAAATTTTAACTCACCAATTAGAAATGGTAAGTTTGTTACCAATCAGAAATGACAAGTTTGGAAACCACAAAAGGGTATAAAAACCCCTGTTTAAAGATCACTCTGTCTAGCTAGCCGGGGACTCGAGCTGAATTGTCACTCAACGCTGATCCTCGAAATTAAACCTCTTTCTGGTAGCTGGCTTCATGATCTATTTCTTCTGCGCCGCACTGTCAAGGGGAATCCCGTCTGGAAGGACCGAACAGGGGAGTTCCTCCCAACAATCTGGCGACCCAGATGGGACTTCCAGCTCACCCAGCCACCGGACCGGGCCCGGAAGAGTCATCACCCAGCCGGCAGCGGACACTTTGATCCGTGGGGAAGCCTCCTCGGACCCTACCCGGTCGGCATCGGGTAGTAAAGGGAGTTTTTGAGTCTTACGCTCGAACAGCTACCAGGAAAGAGGGTAAGTGCCACCAAATTTAAATCTATTAGGTTAAAGGGTCTGGGGGAACGAAAGGAAGAATGCATGAGTGTGTGTGTGAGGCATCATCCTCTTAGAATCAGCTGGAGCTCGCTCCCTCCGTGTGCCCTCTAGCCGCACCCCAACCTGCTGCTAGCTCCAGTGGAGCCGTGACCGGTGGAATTCGGGAAAGCAAAGGGGGGGCATCGGAGCGTGAGACCTTCTGGTGAGAGAGGAGGACCGAGCGGGCAGAGAAAGAGAACCCTATTCTGGGCAAGCCAGGACCCCTTCTGCCAGTAAATATTAAAGCAGTAGCCCCGAGCGGAGGTGGCCGCTCACCTCCGAGAATCTGTATTAGGAGAAAGAAGTCTCGCAAGGAGACTTCGACTGTATTAGGGGAAAGAAGTCTCGCAAGGAGACTTCGACTGTATTAGGAGAAAGAAGTCTCGCAAGGAGACTTCGACTGTATTAGGGAAAGAAGTCTCGCAAGGAGACTTCGACTGTATTGGGAAAGAAGTCTCGCAAGGAGACTTCGACTGTATTAGGAGAAAGAAGTCTCGCAAGGAGACTTCGACTGTATTGGGAAAGAAGTCTCGCAAGGAGACTTCGACTGTTAGTACCCTTTAACATTGAAAGGAAAACCCCGTTATAAAAGAATGGGGAGTTCCAATTCAAGGGCTGAAGTGGGTTTAAAACCCCGTTATAAAAGGTTGGGGAGTTCCAATTCAAGGGCCGAAGTGGGTTTCCCAGTTGAGAGCTTGCTCGAAGCCTGGGACAGGAATCAGCTTCCTGTCCAGGCTGGAATGAAGAAGAAGCGATTAGAGGAATTATGTAGGAAATGGGCTTTGCTTAAAGATGACCGCGGGAGACAAATTTGGCCTGAAGGTGGCACCCTAGAAATCAGAACACTAAAAGAACTTAGGTCAAGGATAGAGCCAACCCAACTACCATACTGGTATTGCTGGGCCGAACTGTCTAGACAGAGGAACCCGACCCAAGTCAACTTGGACCCCCAGCCTCCCTTAGATAACCCTGAACTGACCTTCATGGCCCCCTTGTTGAACAGGCCCATACCCGGGCAACCGAGGGGCCAGACAGGACACATTTTAACCCACACCCCTTTCTCCCCGTCCGATTTGGTTGTTTGGAAAAAGGATACTGCCACCTTTCGTGCGGATCCTCAAACCGTTATAGAGACCATAAAGTCTATTGTAGACACTCACAATTGGATTTTGCTGCTTCTGGTCTTTCCTAGCCGCAGAAAGGATCTGTGTAATTGGCAGAACCTGGAAAGCATGGGGGTTGGCCAGAGCACAGAACCTTTTGTTAGGGAAAACGGAGAGAATGTGTGAAAATGAAATGGAATGAGTCAATGAAAGAATTGGATTTGGGCAACTAGCTGGTAAGGCCCTGTAAGCAATGCAAAGTTAGGAAAGAAGTCTCGCAAGGAGACTTCGATTGTGTTAGGAAAGAAATCTCACAAGGAGACTTCGACTGTTTGGAAAGAAGTCTCACAAGGAGACTTCGACTGTATTAGGAAAGAAGTCTCACAAGGAGACTTCGACTGTGTAGTGTATGAAAGAAAAATAGACTTTGCTTAGGGCTTTGCTGGGAAACCAATTTGGCTAAATAAAGGTACTTAAAAGGGAAAATAAGAAATAGTGATTCTCTCTCTCTCTCTCTCTCTCTCTTCTCTATGCAACCACGTGGTATGTTTAAAATGTGTGCCTTCCCTAACTTGAGTTATCTGAAATTTATGGTGGGAATGACTAGGATGTGTAAAACTAAGACTTCTGTTCTCTTGTCTTTGTGTATATATGTTTGTCAAAGTCTGCGTGAGAGGTAAATGTGACTATTAACTGTTTCAAATCCAAAGGAAAAAGAATTTTAAATTCTGCTAGAAATTATGCTTAAAAATAAGCCACAAAAAGGAAATACCTCACTCTGTCTGGCCAACAAACAGAGTGAAGAAAAAAAAATGTGTTTGTTTGTTTGTTTTCCTCTTTCTCTCTGTGTACTCTCAAGAACAACCTTAAGTTACCAGGAGGGATTGTTTTAAGTTTATCTGTTGGAAAAGTTTCACTTGCATTCACTGTATGTGTTTTATCTATCCTTTTCCTGAAAAATTTGTGTCTATCTACAAGAGCCTTTTGAAACTCAAGTCTGCTTGTGTGGGGAAATAATTTTCTTAAGTTACTTTTCTTATCCTATCACTTACTGGTGAAACTACTATGAAGCTTTCCGAAACATAAGCATTTCTCAATCTCTAAAATGATGTGGTCTATTTTAGAATAAATGTTCTCCTACCTCTGGAAAGTTGCACACCTTAAAATATTAGGCTTTTAAAATTATTTGGAGTTTTCAGCATTCTCAAGCTGCCTAGCATTTTTTTTCTCCTCTTCCTTTCAAGTTGCAAGTTCTTGTCCATAATATGTTGCAAATGGTCAAGTTCAAAGGTGAAACATTTCATTTTGTTGTTACCCATATGTCTATGTTTAATAACTGCAGTATTAATGCCCTTTTCAAACTGCCTGCAAGCTACCCCCCTTCCAATTCTTTTCCTGTCCTTTGTTCTCCATACCTTTTGTCTGCCTCTCCTGGTAGAGTCCATCCAGAAAGGGGGGGGGGGAGACCTTGTTCTTGTATCTTTCAGCCCTGAAATCCTCTCCCAAACCTTTGGAAGCAGAACACACAGGCCCAGCTGCTGCCTCCATCCATTCGAGCCATGGAATTGAGTTTTGAATCCAGCCATCCACTAAAAAGCCACCATGCAATCTGAGTGGAAAATCTCCCAAGTCCTACCATTTCCCCAGATGCCTGAGAGAGCTGCAGAAGGAAGGATTCCTGGTGCCATGTGAAGCCTCAGAAGAGAAAATTAGACTGTGGGGGGAGGGTGGAAACTCATTGTAAACTTTTCTTTCTTGCCCCATTTGTATTGTAACAAGCCAGTTGAATGTATTAATGGAGAGATGGCATTTAGGAATATGTGGCAGAACAAGTACTGAACACCTTGGACTTCTATCTGGTGGGAGGGAAAATTTATCCAGAATGTTTGTATTGACTATTTTGTAAAAGTAGCTGCATATACATGCACACACACACAGACACCATTCAGAATCACACTTGAGTCTATCCCCTCCACCTACCTTTAGTGAAGTTCCCCAGGCTGATTTTTGCTCTGTTGCACCAAAGCTTTGAGGGATCAACTTCCAACAGATAACAAGGGGGAGGGAAGTAGGCCCCCTCAGGTGATTTGCAATTCATATGCCATGACTAAGGAAGCAATAGGAAAAATCCCAAACTTATGCCCTGAATATTTTGCACTGTTGAGCTCAGATTGGGATTCCTAGAACTCATTATGTGCAATTTAAAGAAAATTTAATAGCCTGGCAGTTGGGCATTACAAACCTGGATGCACTGAATTAAGAGCTAAGGCAGGAAACAACCCTTGAAACTGGGCAGCCAGTGGTCATGTACTAAGGAGAACCATGGCTGTGAAGAATTTTGGGGGGTATGCAAACCTGACTGGAAGCTAAAGGTGACATCCAACATTTAAGAGAACTAGCACAAAACATTGGGCACAACCAGTCATCCTGGAACCTTTCCTGGCTCTTTTCATGGTTACCAGACTTCCATTGGTTGAAAATTCTCATTGTTAGTATAATCACAGTCGCAATAGGTGGAGCCCTCCTTTGTTGCCTATGCCAATTAGCACCTTTAGGGTTAAAATGCCTAAAGGTCTGCACAACTCCCATCAGAAGCAAGGGACAGAGCAAGAAAACATCTCTCATGATGTGCCAAATTGATCACCACTACCGTATATATGAACCAGTTGGGCTAATCACTGATACATCAGTAATAGCCCAAAATGGGGGAATTGATGAGAGTTGGACACCCCCTCCCCAGCCCAACTAAGAAATAATCTAGGAACACCCCAACTAAACTGGGTCAACAGCAGCCTGAGGCTAAAACAGCAAACACTTGACACACACAATGAGGAACCAGCTAGCAGCAATCAGGACACAACAATAAAAGTAATTAACACCTTTTAGGCAAGAAAAAGGAACTAACAATAGTCACAAACCAGCAAATCAAGAAAGACAAATTTTAACTCACCAATTAGAAATGGTAAGTTTGTTACCAATCAGAAATGACAAGTTTGGAAACCACAAAAGGGTATAAAAACCCCTGTTTAAAGATCACTCTGTCTAGCTAGCCGGGGACTCGAGCTGAATTGTCACTCAACGCTGATCCTCGAAATTAAACCTCTTTCTGGTAGCTGGCTTCACGATCTATTTCTTCTGCGCCGCACTGTCAAGGGGAATCCCGTCTGGAAGGACCGAACGGGGGAGTTCCTCCCAACAGTTATCACTCTCCCAACGTTTTCTAGGAGACCCTTTTCTTAGAAGTCTGAGATAGCAGATATTTCCTGCTTATAAGATTATCTGTTTTACTCATGCCGTGCCAAAATTTTTGTAAGATGTACAAATGCATTGCCCTAAGATAGGCCATATAAAAAGGGTTTATTTCAAGAAATATCAAGAATGAAGGTGTAAAAGCTTTGATTCTATGGCTCCCTTATGTCTAATCTGTGTCATACTTTATTCTGTGCATGTATTCTACAATGTTAGAGGAAAATGAGAAAAATTCCAAGGTGTATAAAAAACAGAAGTTCCTGCAAGAATGAAGGTAGAAAATCAGCTTTTTTTTCTTAAATAAAGTATAAAAATTAAAAAAATAAATTGAATTAGAAGACAAACACACATAACCAAGATATTCAATTTTATTCAGATAACAACACCAACAAAAACCCACATGAGTTTAGTCTTGGTCATGCCTGTGAAATTATTTACCCCTCTTTGTATAAAATAACTGTTTTTTAAAATGTAATCCTACTGAGACAGTTATTTTGACTGTCATATAAGAGTTATGGAGTGAACATATATATTAAAGTTCAAGAATTATAAGAATGAAGTATTATCTGACATTTATGGAGAAAATATTGATATTAGGATTTTTTTCCTTTTATTTCTTTTAATTTGTAAAGATGCCCAGAGTTGTTTTATAGTTGGGTGGCCTAGAAATTCAATACCCAAACGAATAAATTAAGATATTTATCTGAAGGGATTATAAATGTTATTCTGAATTATTCGGCTGGTTTTACAAAAACTGTGGAAGTGGATGCAACCGATCAGTTACAAAAGAACAAAGGAGCAGTAGTTTAAAAGGTATTGTGTAATGGGCTCTAATAGGCAAAGAACAGACCAGCATAGTTACAACATCATTTATTGACTCAAACTAGAACTGGAGAACTGCAGGCAATTGCCTGTAATTTATACTCTTAGCCCACAGGGCCTTAACCAATCACAATACTTGAAAAAGCCCGCCCAAATATGAATGTTCAAAGTTTCCCTCCAGAACAATTGGAGTTAACAGTCAGGGTCATCTAAAAGTTAGTTTCATTTTAGCTTCACAAGCAGTTGGAGTTAAGTTAGTTTCACTTTAGCAGGGATTAACACAACCTTATGTACATATTCAATATATAACAAAAGATACTACAGACTCTTTACTGCACTCTCCTGATAGAACTGGCTTTCAAGAAAAGGCAAAGCTATAGGATCTTTGATTGACAATAACTGGAATGCAGGCTGAAGAAATCCACATTTTCATCAGCTGATTCCTTGAAGTTTTCATGAAAAACTCAATTTATTGCTCCCTTTTGAAAAGACAAAAGTGAATTCATATATGAATGAACAGAGTGAGCAAAAACAGAGATTGCCCACTGGAACAAGAACAAATTTAGTAGTTGTTATGATCCTGTTGATGCCATCAAAGTCTCCACTACATCTATTAACACTCTATCTCATTTGTAATACAGCTCTTCCCTGGATCAATCAGGATGTATAAACAAGAGAGGGATACAACCATGTGACTAAGTGTTGTGAGGAGATACTGTCTCAATTCCATACACCCCCCTCAGGCAGCCCAACCCTTATAATACATATCTGGGGAGACTGGGAACACCTAACAAATAGAACAGGTACGAGATGCCCCTAGCACTTCGGATAGGGTATAGAATGCTCTTTGTTGAGAACTCTGCATCAGTTTTAGTACAATACAAAAAAGGCAATAAGTAAATATGAAAGTATATGAAGAATAAAACGATTCAAGAAACCAAGTTCAGTATCTCTGTGTAACTGCATATATGAATTAAAAAAAACTTAGATTGCTAAAAATAATTGGACTCACCAATTTCCCCCAGTTGGCCACTTTCACCAATTGCACCTGGAACTCCTGGAACACCTTTTTCTCCCTATCACATTGAAAATGGACACAATCTTATCAATTAGAATTAATATTAACCAGAAAGTTGGTTTTATCACAATTCTATCATGAGTCTTGATAAGTAGAAATTATACAATGTATAGTGTGTTACGTTTTTTAAATGTATCAAATTTGTGTGCCTTCTGATTCTCAATTACTCTGGGCAACTCATAACAACTAAAACAGGAAAGTACAAATTAAATTTTATTACAATAAAATAAAATATGGTGTGATAAGATAAAAACAAAACCCAAGGGCTTCACTATCCCTCACCAAAAGCCTGTGGAAAAATCCAGGTCTCCAGGTTCCTATAGATAATAATGTGTAATTGAAGGGACCTGGAGCAGGCCCAACCTTCCAGAAGAAATTGCCCGTCTCTCTAGTAACCGGGCCTTATCTTTAGATCCACCTTTGAAATAAAAGTAAAAGTAAAATCCGGTATGATAATTTAATGTGTTTGGGGATAGATTTACAGAATTTGGGTTGGAGATTTTGGTGCTCTGCTTTATGAGCTCCCACAAAGTAAGAGATAAAACACAGAGGTAGTTTGATTCACGTATGCAGACAACCATCAACACACCCAGTTTTGCTCACCCTCCATCCAGTGATTCCAGGGAAGCCAGGAATACCACGAGGACCTGGGATACCAGCATATCCTGGAGCACCTCTTATTCCTTTATTTCCAGTGTCACCTTTCTGACCTTTTTCAAAACCAGGAAATCCAGGTAAACCTGGTATTCCTGCCTGACCAGGTAATCCAAGGAATCCTTTACTTCCTACAAAAATATAATTGTAAATGTTAATTTCTGCTTGGCATCAGTAGTTGCTCTATCCGAAAGGTGTTGCTTCTAAATTGGCACATTCAATAGCGGCTTAAGACCACTGTGGCTAACATTATTGTACCTATCCTGTGAGGGCAACCCAAAGGACTTGCTTAAGATCCATCCTTGGTGAAAGACAAGAGGATCAGAAAGCGGACCTTCTCAATGATTGACCCAATGTGGAATATGCTACTACCGGAGAGGCATCTGACCTTGTCACTTCTGGCATTCAGACAGGCATTGAAATCTTTCTTTTTAGACATCTGATGCCTAGTATTGACTTTATGGTAAACATTTCAAATAGATTTTTTTTGTTTTTTAATTATGTTTTGCTATTGTTGTAACACAATATGGTTATTATATTCATGGATGTCTCTTTTGTGCTGCTCTGAATTGCATACCAGAACCTTTGATTAAAAAGTAATTAATTAATTAATTAATTATTAATTAGAATGCACTTCTTTTCCTTGAATGGGATCAATTGGTTCCTGGCTGTAGATGCTATCCAGATTTACTAAAGCACAACCTCGTCTGGATTTATCGCTTGAAATCAGCCCAGAATAATGAGGAAATTGTGAACCACAGGTGGACATTTTCCTTGAGTACTGGATCTCTGAAGAGCAATGCTACTTTTGTGTACTTCCTTAAGCCCTCTCATAAAATTCCTCCAAGATAAACTATGATGGTCGCAACCTTATGTCAGGAATCTAACAAGGCTGTGAAGAAGATTCAGAGTATAATGAACCCCAAACTACCCCAGTTCAGGAGAAGCCATTTTTTCCTGCCTTCTCAGCTTGAATATATAGAGTTCAGACTAATAGGATGGTTCTCCAATTTCCCAGCTATGCAGACATCTGAGGTTTCAGAAAGGCCGAAAGACTGTTAACATCAGCAGCATTACTCTGTGTCTTATACTCCGAGTAATCTGCAATTGGCATTTTTGTGATCTTTGACCAGACCAGAACCTTGATAATGTAGGACCCTCAGTTTTTATTAGTCTGAGACCATTACAGCTGTATCATCCACAGTTCACTAGGAATCTATTCCTTTTGTTATTTATGTATTTAAAGCCATCCATAATTCAGGGAAGAGGAAAATTGAATAAAAGTAAGAGGCAATGAGTTGTTTCAGTTAGGCCAGACTGATGGAGTGGGGTGGGGAATGCTTTTTCTTCATACAAGGAGGAATTTACAATCTGATGAGAAGGAAGCTTGCAAAGTAGGGAAGAATCGGAGAGTAAAAGTCAATTCTATGAAGATTTATTAGAGGAAGTGAACGAAAGAGAGAAATACAAAAGATACAAGAAAGAGAAAGGTTAGAAAGAGAAGGAGCAAAAGGAAGAGTAATAGAGACAAGAAGCATAAAAAAATAGATCAAGTAAAAAAATGGGAGACGCAATTAAGCTCTTCTCTGTAAACATTAATGGACTAAATATACCAAGAAAAAGAGCACAAACGTTTAACAAATTAAGGAAATTGGATGCAGATGTGATATGTCTTCAGGAAGTTCATATAGAAGGAAGTTTGCATTCCCTCACTGTACCAAAATCAGAACTTGGTGCATGCTGAAGGGTACAACAAAACTTTTAATATATTGTATTTATGATACATAGTGGTTCTTTACCTTTTAAACCGATAGTCCCTTTAGCACCAAACAATCCTTTATCTCCCTTTTCACCTTTCACTTCCAGCATTATGCTTGATATGATTTTAGGAGGTGCTCCTGGTAGACCACGAATTCCACGTTCACCTTTCAAGATAAGAATCCTAATCAAGCATGTATTGGAAGCATACAAGTTGCCCTACATTAAATTGAATTTGTGCCTTGCTTTATTTTCCTTTTTTTAGCAATTTCACTGCCAAAGGTTTTTCTCAGACCTATCTGGAAATGTCAGACATTAAAACCTGTCATCTTTCTCATGCAAAACATATGGTTTGTCACTAACCTATACTTTTTCCTCTAAATTTAGACTTTAGCTATCTAGAGATAAAAATGCATGCTATGGTAATATTCTTATCATATAAAGCAACACGTTTAAGAGGAAATAGTAGAAATGAAAAAATGCTTTGTCCCTCTTCTTGCAGACTTTTAATAGTAGTGTTTAAACACTCTTCCAAATTGTCCTGTTAATTTCCTTTGTTTGAAAATAAATTCTATTTGATTTGAACAGTAAGTAGAAGACCCCTGTATTTTCTTCCAGGAAAAGTAGGTATTAAAAAAGGATATAGAAAATATGATTACAGAGATTACATTCTGCATCTCCAGTTGAATTAGTGATAGGAAGATAGCAAAGTGGCAATATATAGTCCGAAGAGCTCTGGTAATTCCTTCAGATATTTCTATTTAATTCACTGCAGAAGATAAGCATTGGCTAATTACTGTTCGAATCTATACTTCCCTGCCAGCAGCTGTCAGACAAGACAGGAAACAGGTCTAACAACAGATTTCTTTGAGAAAGCAATAACAGAGTTAAAAAGAATGCTGGCACATGGAAACTCCCAAAAACATCATTGAAAATACTCTGAACTAAGAAAGAACACTGACCTCAACCAACCTACCCTGGATAATTTTCTACCCATCAATGCCTCTGTCGGTGAATCAAATTCTTATGTTTTGCATCCAGTACCTTGTTAGACTACGAAAGCAAGGAATTTACATTCTTTGAGTAAAGAGGGCAATTTGAGACCAGGGAGGGAAAAGTATATTATATCTCCTTCAGGGAAATTGATGTGGAGCTGCTATCTAAGAACTACTGTGTTTCCCTGAAAGTAAACCTGCCCCGAAAGTAAGCCCCAGCTGATTTTCAGGGGGTGGGCCTAATATAAGCTCTCCCCCCCAAAGTAAGCCCTACTTAAGGGCCTGCACGGACGGCCTGCCTGTGACAAGGCGAAGCTGATGGGGGAGGGGATCTAACCCACGGTACCTTAGCACCGCCCAGCTTTTTCTGCAGTCTCATGGCAGCAGCATTGGGCAGGAGGTGGCAAATGGTCATTTTCAGTGCGACATGGCCATTTGCCGCCAGCTGCGGCCGTTTGCCACCTTGCGTGTCGCACCCAATGCCGCTGCCATAAGGCCTGGTGGATTCTTTCCCCTTCTGAGCCACCTGCCATTATACCAGTTCCCTACCACTGCCCGGCTTTTTCTGCGGCCTCATGGCAGCAGCATTGGGCAGGAGGCAGCAAATGGCCAGTTTCGGTGCAACGTGGCTATTTGCCACCTCGCACATCGTGCTCAATGCTGCTGCAATGCGGCTTGGCTGAAAGCGGCCATGGAACAAGTGGGGCTGTTGAGGGGGGAGAGAAGAGAACTTTGCAGCTCTGCCTACAGAGTCACCAAAGCAGCAGGTGGAGCACCAGAGGCTCAGGGAGAGAGGATGCTGAAGTGGGCAGTTGGGCCATTGGCAAGAGCAATGTGGCTCAAGGAAAGCGGCCTCAGAACAAGTGGGGCAGGTAAGGAAAGAAATCCTTGCTCCCCCCAGAAATTGCCTTTCTTTCCTTACCTGACTCCCAGCCCCATGCCATTTCTCCTTTGCAATCCCCAGTGGCTGCGTGCAGGGAAACAAGGGAAGTTTTTTTGGGGAAAAAAGGTAAATCAATCAATTCCAACTTCGTGAGTTTTTTTTTTGTGAGAAGTTGGAATTGACGTGGCAATGGCGGATCGTGAAGGAGAAATGACATGGGGCTGGGAGTCAGGTAAGGAAAGAAAGGCAATTCCTGGGGGGAGCGAGGATTTCTTTACTTACCTGCCCCACTTGTTCTGAGGCTGCTTTCCCTGAGCCGCGTTGCTCTTGCCAATGGCCCGACTGCCCACTTCAGCATCCCGCCACCGTGCAGGATAAGGTGGCCACGCCCATCCCCATTCAGATGCCCTCGCCTCCCAAAAGCATTTTTTTACTAACCTGCGTCTCAGCTGCATTCTGTTTCTTCGTTTGCTTCTCAGCCTTCGCCGCGTGTTTGTAGGACTACCAGTAAAAAAAAAAAGTTCAATCAGACTTTCTAACTTCTTGAGATCTCATGAGAAGTTAGAAAGTCTGATTGAACTTTTTTTTTTGTCCCACAAACATACCGCGAAGGCTGAGAAGCGAATGGAGAAAAAGAAAGGCAGGTTAGTAAAAAATGTTTGGGAGAGGCGAGGGCATTTGGGCAGGGGTGAGCGCAGCAACCTTACTCTGTGCAGTTTCGGCAGGTGTCTGACAGGGGGAGGGAAGCAACTGGTCCACCACCACGCTCTCGTCACTGTGTTGCTTCTCCACCCCATGCACAGGCCCCGCCCCACCCCCACATGCTCACGGCCTACTGATGTCGGTACCAGCAAAAAGTAAGTCCTCCCTGAAAGTAAAACACTGTGCTTACTTCAGAGCCCAAAAGAAAGTAAGACAGTGTCTTACTTTTGGGGAAACACGGTATTTGTTAACAGCTCAGACTGTAATCTCAATTCATGACCAATTGCTGACAGCTAATAACAAGATTGATGAGCTAAATTGTCTGACTCCTGGCAAGTATATCTTGAATAAGAGAAGCTGGTCACATAAAGACTTCTATCTGACAGCAGTAAGCTCCAGCTTTATAAGGATGTTAGGGGTAGCAGAAAACCAATGCTGAAAACCAGTTCTGAAAACCAGAACTTCCTGCTCCATTTTATACTTGTTTACACTCAGACATTTGCCCCAATACTGCTGAAGGCTCAACACATTTGGGGCTGACTACTAAAGCTACCCCACTCCCTTGTATTGCATCCCACTTAAATGACAACCGTACTCTAATTTGGTATGAACTGAAGTATATTCAGACTGTTCATATGCAGGAGGACAGAGTAAACTCTTATGATCCAAAGTACCAGTATTCTGGTCCAGGAACAACCCTTACACTTGTCCCTCACTTTTTTGATTTCACTGAACTATGTGCACCTGGCTATATGGACAAATTATAATAATCTAATAGAACAAGTTAAGACTTTCAAATATTTAAGAATTGTTTTCTACACCATGGGCTAAACCAAATCCCATGCCAACTATATCAGCTTAAACCAGTGTTTCTAAACCTTGACAATTTTAAGGCATGTGGACTTCACTTTCAACATTGCTGGCTGTGGAATTCTGGGAGTTAAAGTCCACATGCCTTAAAATTGTCAAGGTTGAGAAACACTGGCTTAAACACACAGAAAATATATTTGGCTCTACAATCTTCCTATTTCTCCAAAAGAGCCCAGAATAAACCAACAGTGCTCAAAGTCTTCTTGATCAAGATCCAAGTTCAGCTCCTCTTTGGAGTTCAGTTGGGTCCTTACAAGTCATTTCATCCCCTTGAAAGAGTTCAATATACAGTATTGTCTTAGAATAGAATAGAGCTAGAAGGGACCTTGGAGGTCTTCTAATCCAGCCCCCTGCTGGATTATTCAGACAGATGAATGTCCAGTCTCCTCTTAAAAATCTTCAGTGATGCAGCACCTACAATTTCTGGGAGTAAGTTGTTCCACTGGATGATTGTCCTCACTGTCAGGAAGTTTCTCCTTAATTCCAGATTGTTTCTCTCTTTGATCAGTTTCCAACCATTGTTTCTTGTCCTTCCCTCTGGTGCTCTGGTGAACAATCTGATCCCCCCTGCCTTGTGGCAGCCCCTCAGATATTGGAACACTGCTATTATGTCTCCCCTATTTCTTCTTTTCTTTAGACTAGCCAAACCCAAGTACTGTAGCCGTTCTCCGTATGTTTTAGTCTTGAGGCCTATCTTCCAGATATCCCACTGAGTTCCAAACGTGGTGCTTCAAGCTGCAATCAGATTTGTCAGTCTTACCCAGAAACATCTTTCTGAGCCACTCTGAATTTTTAGTTCAGCTAGCCAGAAACTTTAGTTGCACAACGAACCACATGCCCTCCCCCCAATTCAGAAGGGTTTTCTCTTTGGCTAGATTCAATGACATCCCAACAGCAATTATTGAAGGGAGATATCAAAACACCCCTTTTGAAGATTGCCAGTGTTGGAGGAATAATTGGAACAATAAAAGCTGTTACAGTGTTCTGCTCCCTCCATGCTGATGCTCATCAGGAATTACTTTTTCTTTCCACTCATCGCCAAAGATTCTAGTTGCTCTGATTCCTTCTGTTTCAAGTTGCTACTGTCAGACCAATCTGATTCTGCTTTGATGATTATAGCCATATTTTGTACAATACACATAATTTTTCCTCAAACCTCTATTAGATATTTTCTATTTGGAATTAGAATGCAGCTATCCATTTAGTTTCTTCTTTTTATCAGTGTTTTATGTCCTTACTGTCAACTGAATTTTATTCACTTTTTTATTCAAACTTCAACTAAAAATCTTAATTTTATAACTTGCCTAAGTTATTTAACAATGTAGATAAATATTCACTATAATTGGTGACATAATAATTCCTTATGTATTATCTTTACTTACACATTATATGACTACATGTTAAAAAAGATATAATATTCATTAAACAACCTCTGACTTGTGGGGCCATTTCAGAGATATTGTCAGGCCTGCCATCTTCACTGGCATCCTGCCATACAATGCAAGGGAGGGGGAGGCAATTGGGGAAGTAAGAGTTCCACATGGGAATGTGCAAGGAAAGGGAGGGGAATGTCAGGGTGACAGGAACCACAGGTGTCGATCCTGACTAACCTGGCCGATCAAGGACGAAGCCTGAGAACAGTATGTGAAACTACACCAGAGAGGCACCAACCTTCAAAAAATTCTTGAAACATCAAACATCAAAAAGATATTGATAGACTGCTAAAGGGGGGAGGGCCAGAGGAAGGGGAAATTTGCAAACTTTACACAGAAATTTTCAGATCCAGCTTTACTTTTGCTGTAATTGCTTGATTTTAATAAAAGAAACGTTCACTTCAAAAAATGGAGTCAAGAGTCTTTCTTTCCTAAATGTCTGAGGCGGGACAAGCATGACATATATTTCCTCATCTAACATACACAAAACTCCATGCTCCTGACCCTCCCCTGTCTCCTTTGTACCCTTGCACCCCTGTGTAACTTCCCCAATTTGTATTGCACTTCTCACAGACCTCACTACACCCTCCCTTCTCCTTATGGCACCTCTCACGCACCCCTCTCTCACATGAACAATGGAGTCTCTCATGTACCCATATACATATAGTGTAGGTTGGGAAGGGTACATGGGGATGCAGGAAGAGCCACATGTGTCACGGAAGGCACTCAGATTCATGAAGTTGGTGTTCCACAAGAGGCGTCAAATGGGTTAGGGAGGGTAGGTGGTGGTGCAGTACCAGTTGGGAGAGGTGCATGGTGATTGTGCAAGAAGTGCAGTGCAAGTCTGGGAGAGTACACAGGGCTTGGCATGGGTTGGGAAGGGTGCAGGGGGGTGCATGAGAGGTACTGTCTGGGTTGCAATGGGCATGGGTATGGCCTGGGTTGTGAAGGCTGCGCAGGTGAGCGTGGGAGTGCATGACAGGTGTTGTATAGGTTAGGAAGGATGTTCAGTATGGCTTGGGAAGAGCATGCAAGGATGAATGAGGTGTGGGTTGGAAAGAGTGTATGGGTGTCTGCAAGAGGTACAGTGTGGGCCTGGAAGGGTGTGTGGGAGTGCACAAGTACTCTGTATGGTGCAAATGCAGTGGGGCTGAAGAGTTTGTGTGGATCAGAGAGACTTTCCTAAGCAATTTGAGACCTTCCCTGCCAACTTCCCCATTGAGGAGGTTCCTGCCAGCTTCCCACAAGCACATTGTTGGCAATTATTATCAAGTTTATATTTCCTGCCAGCTTGCACATTGATTTGAGTATTGGAAATGATGATCATGTGACCATGGTTAACCATGGCAGCATGGCCGTTTTGAAGCAGCAGTGTGGCAATGCAGAAGCGGTCACAACGTTTTCAAATTTCATTCCTACAGGAGTAGCAGGGCCTTGGATTCTGTAAGTTAGTCAATGTGAAGTACCTTTGTTCAGAAATTGTTGCCCTATGATATTTTGTACAACTGAAGGTTGCAAACAGACAAATAAATATGAGACTTTTAGTAGTTTACAAATTATAACTTTTCCATAGTTTCAGCAATGTAATGCTTCATGCATTTCTAATTGGTAATTTTACTATTCTGTTATTCTAAACCAGACATGTCAAACACAAGGCCTGGGGGCCGGATTCAGCCCAGGAAGTGGTTTCATGTGGCCTGCGAAGCTATCCTGGAAACAGTGAGGGAATGGGTCCCATTGCCTTGGTCTTGGCCCAGGCTGTCTGGGAGCCAATGTACAATTTTATGGTGGCCATCTATGCTGAAACACATTCAGTCTTAGTTCCACAAGGCCATCTGGAAACAGCGAGGAACCAGCCCCTGCCATGTCACCCCCATCCCCTGGGGAGGTGTCACCTTTGTGAGGAATGAAGCAATGTACCATCGTGCTGGCCATTCCAGGCGATTGTGCATTTCTTCATCCCTCACGAAGGGTGACACCTCCCCAGCTGTGTTTCTTGACTATTTTTCTTCTTCCCTCATCTCAAATATTTTTCCACCACTCTGTACTTAGGCAAGAAGGAAGGAAGAAGGAAAGGAGAGGGAGGGTTTGAGGGAAGTCCTACCTTAGTTCCTGTCCTGCTGCCCTTTCACCACCCCCTTGCCCCCTCCTCTTGGCCTATCCTGGGGGTCTCTGATCCTATTGCTAAGGAAGCTTTGGATACAAAGCTGGGTCTACTCCCATGGAGAGGGAATGGGCTTCCCTCTGACTTTACCCTCATACCAATCATGAGCAACCTGGCTAAGGAGAGAAAGCACAGCAGCAGCAGCCTTGAGGAGGAGGTAAGTGCAGCTGGGCGCCCCTTTGGGGAAGTGGGGCTGGGCTTGGTGCTGAAGCTACTCTAGGGCCAGGCTGGGCATTTGATCTCTGCTGCCCAGGGCTCCGGGCAGCCCGCACCACCATCCAGCCCCTCCCACATGGTCTGAGAGGAACAGTGAGGCTCCTCCAGTGGACCATGCCTTGGCACGTGCCTTGGTCCCACCCCTTCTGCCAGAGACCCTCATATCTGTCCCACTCCTTCACAGCCACCTTTGATGCAAATGATGTAGAGCTGGCCACGACCACCCAGTAGACCACATCCACTCCATCCATGTCCATCCAGTAGGCTGTACCCACCCTGGCAACACCCATCCGGCCCCCTGAGGGCAACTGCAATGCTAATGTGGCCCTCAATGAAATTGAGTTTGACATCCCTGTTCTAAACAATGGTTTAGTTATCTTAAATAAATTGAAACATACTTTACTATATTAATTTTATGCTCCAAATTCCTAAATTTTAATTTACAATTTTATATTGTTATTTTATAGCTTGTTTTGCTGTAATCAGTTGTGACTCTTTTGTTTTGCTCGTGAATGACCAAAATAAAATGACTATTAGTGATAATGTACCCATTGTTCTTTTTCAACTGGAATCCTGGAAGAGGTTTTTTATTTAAAAACCAAAACATATATTTACAACCCTTTTCTGATTCTTCTGTTAAAGAAGAGCAAAATACATACTGTTGAACTTGGCAGCTGTTCTTCATTTGCCTTACATAGAAGATAAAGGCAAAGCAAAAAGATACTGTTTGAAATTTGTATGTGGTAAAATTAAAGCTAGCATTCCTAAAGATATTTACTCAGAGTAAACCCAACTGAATTTATAGAATTTGATTCTAAATCAATATACTTAGGATCACACTACAATGTTTTTTTATAAAAAGAATTTTCAGTTAAACAAAAGCTTTCTTAAAGCCTATTTGCAGTTGTACTTGAACGTATCTATGCATACTGAATAATGTGAATGCCTCATAACACTGAAGAGAATACCTTTTAATCCGAATTCCCCAGGTGGTCCTTTAGCACCTTGCTTTCCAGCGAGGCCTTTGTCTCCCTGGATTCCCTTCTGTCCTGGCCATCCTTTGAACCCCATAGCACCTTTGAAACCTCCAATGCCAGAGGATCCTTTAGCACCTTGAATGGAAATTGCAAAACATATTTAGAGCTGTGCCTTCAATGGAAATCTAAAGTACATTTTTTTTGCAGTTTGAGAAGAAGCATTTGCAGAATTTAAACCTACGAATGTCAAAGCAGCTGAAATACATAAAGAGGTAGTTCATTTTATACGATATTTTGTCATGCAATTACTTTTATTGCTACTTTTACTATATTTATGACCTGTTAAGTAACACATCCACCCTTTTTAGTTTTACAAAGGGGCTTTACAATAAGTGAAAATAATTCATTAGAGCCTTGCAAAAGTTGATGGTGACTGAAAAAGGACTGGGTTGTAATCCTGAATAGAGATTTTATGTTGGAGTTGTTTTTACCTTTAAGACCTGGAAAACCAGGCATTCCGACAATGCCAGGGAGACCAGTTTCCCCAGCCTTTCCTTTGGTTCCAATGAAGCCTAGTTCACCTTTGTCCCCTGGCAGACCTTTCATGCCTATAGGACCCACTTTCCCTGGCTCCCCGGGTTCCCCTCTGACACCAGGTAATCCTATAAAAAATCAAAGAGAGGTTTTGATTAAAATATAGACAGCAGAGAGCAGTTATTGTACACCATTTGTATAGGTACACAAAAGACAATACTAAGAACTCATTTGTCTGAAAAATAAACAAAGGAAGTATTTCCCAATAATTGACATTATAAATTAAACCTAAAAACTTTTTTTTATTAGGGATCGGGTGCTGTTTAGTAAGCAGATGGTGAGACTTCCAGTCTGATGCTTTGACAGGATGGGTGGAAGAAACGGAGGCTCCGGCTTCTCAGCCCGATTTTGTTTGGTCTGGCGACCACAAGGGGCCGGAAGGTTGCCCTGGAAGGGCAATGAAGAAGGAGGGAAGCTTCGGGAGTCTGGATCAGACGGGGTCGGTCCAGACGGACTGAAGAAACCTTTCTAAAGGACAGAAGAAAACTGCCTGATAAGCACAGACAACCCAAGTCATCGTCAGCTGGAAAAAAAGCGAGGTGCTCCACCAAACAGCTGATTGGCAACAGCGTGCTGAAACTGGGTGACCCTGGTTTTTTTTTTACTCCTTATGGGCTCAGAAATGCTGATTCCCTGATTGGGAAAAATCTAAGATGTAAAGACCCCAGAAGGACTAGGGGAGAAGAGAGTTAAAAGCGGTGCGCAATTACAAGAGGGGGAAGAAATTTAAGAAATATAAAAGAATTCTTAAAAATGGAACTTAGATTGATTTAAAGAAAGACTGCCTAACCTACAAGACATGGGAAAATTTTTTAGATTCAATTGCTAGGGTAAATAACTTTCAAAGAACTTTGAAAGAAAACTTTGTAACAATCTTTTAAAACCAGAGATAGATAATACAGTGTATGAGGACAGTGCATGAGGACATCTAATGGAAAAAGGAGATACTACAGTAATACCAAATAATAAAAGAATTTGAAAAGTGTTTGACCTTGAAACAACACCTGGTGTAAACGAAGTGTCTTTATGTGATTTTGCATGAGAAAAGTCTCTCTACAATTATATCTGTTGACTCTGAATATTACCAAAACAGGAATTATTTGGAGACAGCGGAAGTTTACATTTGTGATTTGACTGGAGGATTTGGATTTAGTCTAAAGTAGTTTGCTTGATTTTATGGTTGGATTTTAACCTAAGATAGTTGGCTTTCCCCCCCTTTTTTCTTTTTTTATCTTGTTTTTTTTCTCCTTGAGAATTTGGATCTAGCCTAAAGTAGTTGGCTCTTTTCAAGGTTTGGATTTAGCCTAAGATAGGCTCAAAAATGAGTGCATCAAATCTCACCAGACTTATGAAAAAAATTTCCTCTGCATCTTCTATTAGAACATCTAGCCCAACAAGCCAGGGATCTATTGAAACAATGTTGCAGCGTGAGAAAATAAGCACTGCTCAAACTGAGATGCAAACCACATTAAAATTAATTCAAGATTCAAGGCAGAGAAACCATGAAGAGACAAAAAGTAATTTTGATAAATTAAACGAACAAATGTTGGATATAAAGACACAATTTGAAGTCCACCAGCAAATGATTGTTAAAAATGAACAAAGAATTCAGAAAATGGAAAATAAATCAGATGATATTGACAAAAAATGGAAGTACTAATACAAGAAAATGAAAAATTAGAACAAGCAAATCAAAACCTAGAAGAGGCAGTGGCGATCTTAGAAATGGAGAAGGCCGAACACTATTTGAGATTTCAAAATATCCCTGAAGATAGAGAAGAAAATATAGCAGTTGTGATCATTGAGCTTCTGGCAGAGGCTTTGAAAGCAGACAGAGCAGAGATGCAAATGGAGATAGATGAAATATTTTGAATGAATTCAAGCTACGCAAGGAAATACAAACTACCCAAAGAAGTTCATGTAAGATTCATAAAGAAAACAACAAGAGATGAAATACTGAGAAAAGTTAGAGATGAGCCATTACAATACAAGAATAAAGAAATTGTGGTGTTAAAGCAGATCCCCAAGAGAGTAAGAGACATCCGAAGACAATATCACTTCTTAACTACAAAGCTAATTGCAAAATGTATAAACTTCAGATGGTTAATGCCAGAAGGGATCTTAATCAACTGGAATAATACAAGATATCGACTGGATTCAGTTTGGAAGGCGCAAGACTTCGATGAAAGAAACCAAGCATTCTTAAATGAAGGAGTACAATATCAACAAGAGGAGAGAAAAGATCAGAAACAAACAGAAGAAGCAACTGAGGAGGCAACTATATAAACAATAGAACAGAAAGAAAAACTTGATGAAGAGAGTGAGGGAATTGCCAGAGAACAGAGGACTACGAGATCGATAAGACCTAAGTATAAATAATTGAAATGGAGAAAGAAAATGGAATTTTCTCAGTGAATATAAATGGACTGAATTCCCCATCAAAAAGAAATAATTTTTGTTAAAAAACTACAGAAATTAAATATAAATATAATTTATTTGCAAGAGACACATATAAAAAGACAATATTATAAACTATTGGAATACCCCAAAATTGGGAAACTTTATCATGCATCAGCACAGCAGAAAAAAAGAGGTGTAGCCGTATATATTAAAGACACAATAGACTCTAAAATGATATATTCAGATGAAGAAGGAAGAATTGTGATGGTAGAAATATTTCTACATCAAGAACAAACATTGCTGGTAGCAATATACGCAACAAATAATAAACAGGAAGAATTTTATCAAAATCTCCATAGAAAAATAACAGAAATGGAGTATCAAAATATTTGCTTAGTAGGAGATTTCAGTGCAATAATGGATGGGACATTAGACTACAAAAGTAGGAAAACACGAAAAACTGGAAGAAAAAGATTACCTAAGACCTTTTTTAATATGATAGAAGAAATTGGAGTACAAGATGTTTGGAGGGAAATCAATCCAGGAAAATTACAATATACATTTTATTTGAATAGTCATAAATCCTGGTCCAGAATTGACATGATTTGGATGACATTTGAATTGAGGACAAGTATGCAAGATATTGAGATAGAACCAGGTATATGGGCAGATCACAACCCCTTAAAAATGACATGGAGAGGAATACCAAAAAAATTAAGATGAATTTTGAATCAATCTATATTAAAAGAAAGAGAAGTTTTGTTTTTCTTTAAAGAAAACAAAAAAGAAGATACAACATTACAAAACATATGGGATACAGCCAAAGCATATTTTAGAGGTATACCTATAACATACATGGCAAAAAAGAAATAAACAGAAAAATCAACAATACATATTATTAAGGGAAGAATTTGAAAAATTAGAATTAGAACTGCAAATGAACCCACAAAAGAAGATTCTGAAAAGAGAAATGGAAACAATAAAATACATATTTAATTTGTTGGATTCAGAAAAATTAGCATAGCAAATAAAAAGAGCAAAACAAAATTTTTTTGAAAATGCAAACAAACCAGGAAGATGGCTAGCTTACAAACTTAAAAAACAGAAGCAGAAGAAATGGATAAATAATTTAGTAGATGAAAAAGGTTGCCTACAATTTAAAAATGAAGAAATAAAAAAGATAATTAAAGAATACTATAAGAAACTGTATGATATAGAAGAAATTCCAAGAGAGAGAATGATTCAATAACTGGAAGAAAATAATCTTCCAAAAATTTCAGAAACTTTTAAGACTATGTTAGAGGAAAAAATAACAATGATGGAAATAACAGAGGCCATAAGAAGACAAAAAAATGAGAAAACACCGGGGCCATATGGACTACCAGCGGAGCTATATAAATCTTTACAAGATACAGTATATTTTGAAAGACGTGTGCAATGAACTTTTTTTGGAGGCTAAACTCCCAAATACATGGACCGAAGCAAATATTACCTTAATAACAAAAGAAGATTCAGATTTGACACAGATAAAAAATTACAGACCGATATTGTTATTAAATGGTTTGGTTTTTTACCAAAGAGACAAATTAAAAATAATTTAAGAGTGATAATGGATGTATTGGAATATTATGAATTACATCCAGGGAAACAATTGGCACTAATATTTTTAGATGCCCCAAAAGCATTTGATAATGTTTCCTGGCAATTTATGATTCAGCAATTAAAAATAATGGACTTTGGACAAAACTGTATAAATATGATTAAAACAATATACAATAAACAAACAGCGAAAGTGATTGTGAATGAGATTATACAGAGAACTTTGAGATAAGAAAAGGTACAAGGCAAGGATGTCCATTATCTCCATTGTTATTTATTCTGATCTTGGAACTTCTAAATATAAATATTAGACAAGATACAGAAATTAAAGGACTAGAAATAAAAGGTGAAACATATAAATTACAAGCATTTGCAGATGATTTGGTATTTATTTTAGAAGAACCTTTGGAGATGATTCCTAAACTACTGGGAAAGATAGAACAGTATGGAGAAATAGCAGGACTGAGAATAAACAGAGACAAAACTAAAGTAATAGTAAAAAATCTTTCAGATAAACAACCCCCCCCCCCAAATGTTTGATCAGTTTCCACCTATTGTTTCTTGTCCTGCCCTCTGGTGCTTTGGAGAATAATTCGATCCTCTTTTCTTTGTGGCAGTCTCTCAAATACTGGAATACTGCTATCATGTCTCCCCTATTTCTTCTTTTCTTTAGACTAGCCAAACCCAACTCCTGCAGCCATTCTTCACATGTTTTAGTCTCCAGACCTTCGATCATCCTAGTTGCTCTTTTCTGAACTTTTTCCAAGGTCTCAACATCTTTTTTTGTAGCATGGTGACCAAAATTGGTTGCAGTATCCCAGGTGTGGTCTTACTAGGGTTTTATAAAGCAGTACTAATACCTCAAGTGATCTTGATTCTCTGCCTCTGTTTATACAACCCAGCATTGTATTAGCTTTTTTGGCTGCTGCTGCACACTGCTGGCTCATAGTTAAGTGATTGTCCACTAGGACTCTGAGGTCCCTCTCACAGTTACTGTTTGTGAGCCAGGTCTCACCTAATCTGTACTTGTATCTTTGATTTTTCCTGCCTAAATGTAAAACTCTGTCTTTCTCCACATTCAAACTCATTTTGTTGGATAGGGCCCATTGTTCCAGTTTGTCAAGATCTTTTGAATCCTGAGCTTGTCTTCTGAGGTGTTGGCTACTACTGTAGTTTGGTGTCATCTGCAAATTTGATGAGTTCCCCTTCTATTCCCTCATCTGTCATTGATGAAGATATGAAGATAGGGTAGACATTAAGAGTGCATTTTGTGACAGACAGACATAGAGGCTATCTTGATATGTTGGGATGTGTGGCAGAGGAAGAATAATTGAATGGGGAAAGGCTTGGTGTGTCCTCAAATGTGTGACATAAAGGGGGGATGCAGAGGCTGCCAGATTGCTGTCTATAAGGAAAACAGAAAGTGATGAGGTTGTACAGATCTTTTGGGGGGGAACACTGGAAGAATTTCTCACCAACAAATCCTTGTGAGCCTTTTCTACCCAGGGATCCTTGCTGGCCTGGGGATCCAGGGAATCCAAATGTTGCTGGTGGTCCTCGGATACCGGTCAGGCCAGTAGGCCCAGGAAACCCAGGATTCCCTTTGGATCCAGGTGACCCAGGGAAGCCGTCTCTCCCTAACAGAAGGAGATAATAAGTAAACAGTCATGCTTTAGAGAACTTATATGTACAGGCACAGCGATGAATTCTTACTGAATTCAGCGTATGTACATGGTTGAAGCTGAAATCTGAATCCCCCTCCTCTGAGCACATAGTATCAAAGCACAATTCCCTCCTCCAATTAACAGTCATAAGTCATATGCTCCAATTAGTTTGAATTGCAGTCTTTCTCTCCTGTTCTCTAACCCACCAATTCTTATTATCTCTTATTTCAAGCTCTGAATTCACACACTAGTACAACATTGTTATGTCTAACTAACTCCCACCACATTCTGTCTCCTCCCACAGCATCATCTAATTCTAAAAGTAAAGCATAAGAAAGAAAAAGGCTGCATCTTCATATGTTGTCAAAGCAAGAACATCCAATGTTAGCAGCGTTGACACTAAGCATACCTAGATCCCTCAACCATTTGTACATCACATCCTTTATCATCTTTGTTGCTGTTCTGTGCAGCCTTTTCAGGGTCTCAACATCTTTTTTTATATCATGGTGACCAGAACTGGATGCAGTATTTCAAGCATGGTCTCACCAGCATGGTGTAAAGTGGTACTATTACTTTTGTCTTGACGCTATCCCTCTGTTGATGCAGCCTAGGACTACATTGGCCTTTTTGACAGCTGCAGCACACTGCTAGCACATATTTAAGTGATTATCCATTAGGACACCTAGAGCCTTCTCACAGTTTCTATGTTGAGTCACCTATTCTATGCATTTGGTTTTTCCTGCCTAAGTGCTGGACCTTATTTTTCTCACTACTGAACTTCATCTTGTTGGCTTGTGTCCAATGCTCAGGTTTGTCAAGATCCTTCTAAATTTTAAGTCTTTCTTCTAAAGAATTAGCTATTCCTCCCAGCTTGATGTCATCTGCAAACATGATGAGTTCTCCTTCTATCCCCTCATCTAGATCATTTATGAAGATGCTGAAGAGTACTTGACCTAAGGCAACACCATTTTTTAAAAAAAATTCTGGGAAAGTCATTCTGAAAATATGTTTGTGCTGGTGCCAATTCAGTCATGTTTACTAGAGTCCTCCCCAGAACTACAGATAAGTGCTGAGGATGCCCCTTGCGCATTGCGCACTCAGAACATTGTCTGTCTGTGAGACTATGTTGTCATTTGAGCTATACCACATGGTTCCTTCCCTGTTTTATTTGCAACAGAACCTGTCAAACCTTAACATCCCAGTGGCTCCTCCAGTACCCAACTCCGTCTTTTCAGCTTTCTGCCACCCTCTTTGTTCTAATGCAGGGGTTCTCAACCTTGGCAACTTCAAGACTTGTGGACTTCAACTCCCAGAATTCTGGGAGTTGAAGTCCACAAGTCTTAAAGTTGCCAAGGTTGAGAACCCCTGTTCTAATGTATAAGGCACCATTGTATCATTTCTATCTCTTATTAACTTTTGTGTAAGCAGAGCCAGAGTTACCTTTAATTCCTGGTAAGCCTTGATCTCCTTGCAAACCTTTTGCTCCTGGGAATCCAGGTGGCCCAGTGTCCCCAGGAGAGCCTGGTGGTACTCCTAGAACATCACCTGTCAGCCCCTTTTCCCCAAGGAGGCCTGGCAAACCTGGCAAACCAGGGTCTCCTAGAAGCCCCTTTTCCCCAGGCAATCCTGGGGCACCTCGGCTCCCTCTGGGTCCAGTGAATCCTAAGTGTAATAAAATGACAATGGTAATAAGAATTAAACTTTGATCAGTTAACAATGAATTAGATAAAGTAAGGGAAAAAAGATTAAAATAATCAGCATTGGGGGTATTATTAATCAAATACTTATTCCCATTCGTTTCTATGGAAATATAGTAATTACTGAAATACCTCATTTGCATATGAGTATAACCTAAATATTAATAACCTGTTATATGAATACTTCCTGCACACGATTTAGAAAAGCGTTGGCATAATAGACTGATCAAATAGTCCAATAACAGGATTTTTTAATTATAATTTGTCCATCAGATTAAAATTTTCTCAGTGCTGCCCTCCTTTATTTCCTGAACATGTGAATTGTAATCTGTTGGTATTATAAACTATCCTTCTAGTTAAATTAATTTGCTAAAAAAAGACTCTTGCCATGTTCAATGGGTACAAATAGAGTTTATATTAGTCACACTCTATTATAGCTGTATATTCTTGCATTATATTAAGAAATATTAGTATCACAAGTACATATCTGAAACTTACCTTAGAATTTGAAAGAAGTAGAAAAAAAATTCTCCCGTTCCTTGCTGACCCAGGTTTTTTAACACATGGATACACATGTTTAATTTAATGAATTGGAAAATAAAATCCATAGGATTTGACACATTATTTATGTTAAATCTATTTCTGCTAGAAATATTATAAAGAAGAATTGATCACTAGCTACAACTACCTTTCAAATTAGGCAAACATCATTTCTTTTTAAATTCATGTAATTATTATAAAATATTTTTTTATATTCGAAAATGAGATATACCAATAACATTTAAAATCAAAGACATCTCTACAATTTTATATAAAACTCTCATGCTGAATAAACAGGTTTTTAAAAATACGAGAAGATTTAAAATATGAATTCAGTGGATTAGTTTGGACCTTTTTATATTGGATAGTAATTAAATTTACTTTAGCAAGTAATCACTGACTATAAAAATAATGAATGACTATTCAAATTGATTACATTTATTTAACTTTGTCTAGATGGTGTTGAAAGTAATCAGCTTGATGTCTATTACCATCCCTGGTTGGCAATATCTAATTCTTCTAGGTTGAACATTTTTGGGAAAAGGGGAAATATGCACCAACCTATATGAATTAATTATAATGTTTTATTGTCTAGCTCCAAAAAGAGATTTTCCAAATATTATATACAAACCAGCTAAAGGGTGAAATAAAAATGCTATCCAAATATTGCAAATCTCTGTAAGTAATTGTTAGTTTTACAGTACCTGTTGGACCTGCTGTACCTCCATGACCTTGATCCCCTTGAAGTCCTTTCAGTCCTTGTGATCCATACAAACCAGGTTCACCAGGAATCCCTTTTGTACCCTTTGCACCTATGATTTGAAGATGTAATAGAAAAGTGAGGCACACTTATTATATGTATATTTTTTATTTAAAAAATTTAATTACAGCAAGAAAAACTAACTGTAGTGGAATGTAGTCCAGATTTCCAAGTGGGAGGGAGTGTGTTCCAGAAGAGCAAGAAGCAGCAAAGTTTAGATAGTTTGTGTGAAAGAAAGAGAGTTAAAATGGCTCCTCCCTAGGAATTCTCAGAGTATATGTTTTGTGGTGTAAGTAGTTTAGCAATATTTCTGTCTATAGGTAAGGAACAATAAAGGAAACTGCTTAGAAGAATCTCAACATGTCTTTCTTGGTTTTTGAAAACTTACACAAATGCAAAGTAAGAGAAAGAAAGTAGTGAGATAAAATTAATAGTGCAGAAAAAGAAGCAGAAAAACGTCAGGTAAAGTAAAAGAAAAGAGATATATAAAGGAGTGACTTCCACTCTTCATCACAACAAATAAGTTTGTAACTCTTCCTCCCCTGTAATGTTACAAACAGATATCTCTTATTTCCATAACCTATCCCCTTTCTATAAGCAAATCCATAAAACATGAACTTTTCAGTCTGTAAACAATTTCCAGAACTTTACAAAAACCATGGCATGTCTTATTTTCACCTTGATCTAATGAACCAACTTTATATTCCTTCCTTTTACTTCTGACAAATCTTAATCTTAAATTCATTCAGATATTGTCATAGGCTTTGGTTTCTCTTCAATCTTTTTTGTCGCATCACAGAAGCTTGTTCAAAGCTTTAGCAAGCCTCTTTTTTAAATGTAATAAAAATATATTATCCAGACCATCTTCTTGATTTATTGTTTGTACTTTACTTTTAATTTTGAAAACTTCAGCCAGCTTCTTTTGTATATCCAGTAAAGAGTCTTTATCTGGGTTGTTCACTTGGTCTGTTCTTTGTATTTCTACTTTAGCTGCCTTCTCTGACTTATAATCCATATTTTTAAAAAAACAATATTTCTGTTTCTACTATTTCTGCATCAGACAAGATTTGTTTCACATCTGCTACTCCTTCATTACTATCTTTTGGACATAATCTAGCCATAGAAGCAGGCATCATTACTAACATTGTTTATATTATGGCTACTAATTTCTGACTCCAGTATTTTCATTGTTATAACATTTTGCATTTCATAGGCTCACATTTTTTCCTTTTACTAAAATATTTAGTCCTCTCTAGTGTGTAATTTTTATATCATGAAATTACTTATCTGTGTGTCTTCTAAAAACAAAGCACATCTATTTCCTGAAAGAAGTGGTTTGTTCTTTATAATTAATTCCAAAGTCTTATTGTAAAAGTTTCAATATTCCAAATTTGGCTTGACCCTTAGTCCATCTATAATTTTCTAAGATCAAAATCCTGTTTAGCTTTTTGCTGTTTATTTCAGATTCTTTAATCTTACAATTAATTTTTTTTTTTGTTCAGAGCTGAAGGTCAATTCACCCTATGGAGATTTGTCAAATTTGTCATTCTGAAGCTTTAATAGCTTTAAAATAATTAATAAGCATTTTCTGAAAGTGATTAGGAAATGAGACTTGCAAACTTAGTGTCTTTTAAAAGGCTTTGTTGTGGCTGTAAGCAAGATGGCTAATTTTGTCATCTTTCAGCACTGAAATCCACAGAAAATCATTGTCTCCTCACAAGGACCAGCTATCTGGAGCACATGTAGATAATCTCCCATCCTTTCTTTATCTGGAGAGATTCTAAGGAACCAGTCTACACTCTGGATCCTTGGTTATCAACTCTGCTTTCACAGAGTCATATTTAGTTTTCCATACCTCCTCCAGAAGTCCCAATAATATTTCTTTTTATTATTGAAATTTTTTATAAACTTTTTACAATAAAATACTCCCCTCCCACCCCATAACCCTCCCCCATCCCAATAATATTTCTTAAATACATCTTGCTATAATGAATAGTCATTTTGATTCAAAAACAGATGGAATATTTTAAAAGGATTTAAAATGAAAAATATTATCCTTTGTAAAAAAAAAAGTTACTTTGAAACCAATACAAAAGATTTTTAATTCTGTTGAAATATTATGGACATAGAGAGTTTGACGTGTTAAGTAAGTTAAGAACAAGTTCGTGTACTTGAAACAAAAACAAGAACTACTATATTACTGATTACCAAGAAAACATCAACAATGATTACATTTGTCAACTAAAAATTCTGAGTTTCTACAAATACACAAAATTGCAAAATAATAATTGACAGATGAATATGGAAGTTCATTTTTAATTAAGTAAGCTAGATTTGATCTCCATTTACAGGGGGTCTTTAATTAACAACCACTCATTCAGCAAACAATGCTGAAACAATGCTGAACGAGTGGTACTTGGGGTTCCAGCTGCCACAGCATTCCCACAGTCATGTGATTGTAACCTGGGTGCTTAGTTTGTACCCATTTGTGACCTTCTTTAACGTCTTTCAACAAGGAGAGTCTTGTGATGTTGCACTTTATGACTGCATTGCTTAGTGATAGCAATTCTAATCGCAATTCCCATTTTTAATTGAGGACTAGTAGTACAATATTATTTTGGAATAATTATTACAGTTAAGAAAAAATGGATCAAATTATTCTTGCTCTGTGAATTATGGTACTATTTGATTCTTTTAAAAAAGCATACCTGGTGGTCCAGACAGTCCTGGATACCCTGGAGTTCCTTTTTGGGTGGTAACACAGCTGGTCCCTAAAGAGAAAAATATGGAGAAAATAAAGAACAAAAATGCTCATGGTTCCTTAACAAATGAATTATGGCATAGGTTTTGTTAGCTTAGAGCCCACATTGTCAGTTGAGTAGGAAAAACAGTTTTACTCTTTTAATGCAATTACTTAGTGTTGCTTCTGAATTTTTAATAATTGTGCATAGCATATTTTGTTAAACAAAATTTGTGAAAGTAAAATGTATAAAAAGAGTTTTGAAACAGTACTCTTTTCTCACAGTTTTCTTGTTGCATAGGTTTTTTGTCTTATGGGACAAGAAACATTCATTTAAATAAAAGTATATAATTCACTTTTGAATAATCATATTTGGTTTATTTTACCTGAATGAATTGATTCTGTTCTATTATCTCTAAGAAAGCGGTGCTCTGTTTGCCCACATTCTATAAAACAAAAGAAGCAAACAAATAAGAATGTCTGATTTATTTGAGCCATTATCAGGCACCAAACTATAATATTCTGTTAGACTATACCTGTGAATTCATCTATAAGAATTCAGTGGATCAATTATCTGTCTGAAACAATTCATTCATAAGCAGGGAAAAAATGTCAAAGTATTCAAAATATAGGAGATGGACAAATGAAACAATGTTACATAAGGAGATCTATAAAAATTGTATGGCCAACACCTTTATATTGCAAAGCAGAAGGGACACTTTAATTTGTTATTCTACTAATTCTAATTCCAAAACAATTTCATCAAATACTTCTGTTGTTAAGATTCAGTGATTTATTAATTATAGCATCCACCTCAGAAATTAATTTCCAGTTCAATGAGACGGAAATTCCCTGTCAGCCTTTCCATTTTTTACTTGCTTTAAATATCAAAAGATCGCCCCTGGAAAAGCCTACAGCCTTTCTACAAGCAGAACAAATGAAAAAATCTGAGCAATATGTGCTATTTTGAACTAAAAAGTGAAATACAAGTATTATCTATCTATCTATCTATCTATCTATCTATCTATCTATCTATCTATCTATCTATCTATCTATCTGTTTTTGGTTTGTATGTTTGTGTGTGTGTGTGTGAGTGAGAGAGTGGGTGGCAGAGAGTGTGTGTGTGTGTGTGTGAGAGAGAGAGAATTTTAATTTTAGACAAAAGCTTATAGGTTGACATTAAAATACTTGTGTATTTTGTTTCTTGAATTTATCTGGTATGAGTTGAGTCAAGACTTTATCACTAAATATGACCAGGAAGTAAGAGATATTTAGAGAGTTCTCTTTAGAGACACTTGGAACCCAGTTCTAAGAACAAAAGATACTGCAGTTTTATTCCTGAGAATAAAAGGTCTTGGTTGTTGGCCTTGAAAGACTAGCTGCTTTGGACATCAAAACAAGCTCTTTGCCAGGCCAGTATCTGCAAAGCTTATCTGCTCTTTCTAGCTGGCCAAGACCCTGATATACCTTTCCTGATTGCCTAATTTTATGCCACCATTTGTGTGATCCATCCTATACTAGTATAAATGTTGGTGATTTCAACTGTAATCTGTATTATTGGTTGTTTATGTTATATAATTTTGTTGTATTTTATGTGCATTTTTTTAGTTTTATTAATTATAGATTTATGTAATTCTGTTGTAGTGTTTTCTGACCTAAAGACCATAATAAAGGTTTCAATGTGATTAAAAAGCTTCAAGAATTTAACCCAATCTCCCCATATACCAGCCATTAGCGTACAGTACATAGCATTTAAAGCAGCCATTAGGTTAGTGTACATAATTTGATTTTTCTAATAAGAAAAGAACAATGAAAAGTGTTCTTTCCTGGCAGTCTATCACTACCAGACTCTGGAAACAGTGAAGCCAAGCCAAGCTCACAATATTCCAACATTTTAAAAGATTTCTTTAACAGTCAGTGTAAGGACCCACTTCAACTAACCACCCAAGGAAGCAGAACTCTTGAAACAGGCATTGACTCAAAAGGAAACTTTTATTAGGGGTTAGTGACAGTAGGGAAGTCAAGGCGAGATCTGAGGAAAAACCTGCACAAACAGTATAGTTAAGCTAGCAATATTCCCCGTCCCACCAAAGTCATAATATCCATTTGAAATCCAGCCAATACCCATCTCAAGGTCTTCTCCAGCTTTCGTTTCTCTGTAACCATTTCCCTGATAAGGGAGACACATTCCTTTCTCAAGATGATAGAGGCAGGAGAGGGAAAGTAGAAAGCGAAAGTTATCCCAAGCAAAAGCATGCTCCCCCTTCCCCCCAGCAGAATGGCAGGCCCCAAAAGTAGAATAACTATGCAGGAGAAACAATGAGGGTTTGGGGACCTGACAGTCAGATTTGAATATTCAGTTAATATTCAGCTATTCTTTACCACAAACTGTAGAAAATACTTTTTTTCAGTAGATCACATAATATTTTGCTATTGGTTTTAGTATTTTGTTATTGTATGGTATACATACTTTATAAAACATATACAGTAATTTTATGCTGATTTTGTTTCTACTGCTTTTGGTTTGAGGAATCAGGAAACCAATACAATGATTGGAATTACTTTTTTGGCATATCATATAACAATCACAAAGATTAATGAAATCTGTGTTTTGAATTAACTGATACTACAGTGGAGCTGGCAAGCATTGTTTCTATATTTTTTTTACTCTGCAGATAGATTTCTACTGAGTGTAGGTATAATATATTGATACAAACTTCAATATGAATCTGTGAAGTTCCAGCTAAAATGATATGAAAAGTATGACAGTCCATTTTCATTTATTAGATCTGACTTTGTACCGTTTTTCATTTTATGATTGTCATGTCTCATGCTTTTTGTAACTAGTCCCTTCCTCCTAGGAGCCATTTTGTGATCATATTCATCTCAAGTGCTCAGATTTCCAAATGTGCTCAAACTAGTTGAGGATTTCAAGAAAGTACCTGTTTGAGCTGCAGTGCCTGGGGGACCAGGAGGGCCTTGAAAGCCAGGCTTTCCATATGTGCCAGGGTCACCTGTAGGACCACGATATCCCTTTGGACCGGGCAAACCCACACCAGGCAGACCAATTTCACCAGAAAAACCTTTTAGGCCTGATTGGCCTTCACTACCAGGGTCCCCTTGTTCTCCTTTTATGCCATCACCCTGCAAAGAAATTTAAAATACTGTAAGTTGCATTCATTTCCATTATGATAAAGTGTTTTGAGGGATTGGTAAAGGATTATATGGTTTCATGCCTTCCCACTACATTTGACTCATTACAGTTTGCCTATCAGAAGAACCACTCTGTAGAACAGGGGTGTCAAACTCGCAACATCACGTGATGTGTCGTGACGTATCACAACTTTTTTGCCATTGCCAGCAATGGGGTGGGCGCGGTTTTGCTATGATGCATCTGGCCCACGGGCCGGCAGTTTGACACCCCTGCTGTACAAGATGCACTTTCCTGTGTGCTTCATCTTATCTTGGCACACCTGGAGGAGAAGAATACTAATGTGTGAATGCTGTTTGTTGATTTTAGTTGGGTGTTCAACCCAATCATTCCTTGGCATCTGGTGAACAAACTGGGCCTATTAGGTTTTAATACTCCTTTATGTAACTGGATACTTGATTTCCTTATTGATAGGCCCCAGTTTGTGCCAGCTGGAAGAAAAGTTTCCAATTCCAACTCCTTGAATACGGGTTCCCCACAGGGCTGTGTCTTGAGTCCATTACTGCTCACCTTGATGGCTCATGACTGCTGTGTCAAATCTGCTATGAATTGTATTATGAAGTATGTGGATGATATGGTGGGTCTTATCCAGGACAACAATGAAAATGCTTATAGCAGTGGTGTCAAACTGCCGGCCCGCGGGCCGGATGCATCATAGTGAAACTGTGCCCACCCCTTGCCGGCAATGGAAAAAAAATCGCGATATGTTGTGACATGTCATCTGATGTTGCGAGTTTGACACTCCTGGCTTATAGGGCAGAGGTGAAGGCTTTGGTGGACTGGTGCAATAAAATTAACCTTGTCCTAAATTTAATAAAACAGAGGAGATCATTGTAGGTTTTAGAAAGAGGCAGTATAGTCATATTCCACTTAGTATCAAGGATGCAGATGTAGAAGTGGTCAACAGTATTAAGTATCTGGGGGTGCAGATAACTAACAATCTGAATTGGTTTCTCCACACGTCATCCTTAGTGAAGGGTTCAAACCAGCATTTGCATTTCATGTGTTGGATGAGGAGAGCACATTTTTCTTCTTCTGTCCTGGCCACTTTTTACAGAGGCACGATTGAGAGCATTTTAACAAACTGCATCACTGTTTGGTTTGGTGGTAGCAGTGCCTCAGATAGAGGGTTCATACAGAGAGTGGCAAGGACAGTCTTGAAGATTATAGGAAGCTCACTTCATGTTATTCAGGACACTGCTTATAAGCGCTATGTGCTTAGAGCTTAGAGCTCAAAGCATTGTTAGAGACCCCATACATCCACTTAATGGTCTGTTTCTGTTGTTCCCCTCTGGGAGGAGGTTTCAAAGTATTTTTAGCAGGATTACCAAATTCTGTAACAGCTTTGTTCCCTATGCCATCCATCTGGTAAACTCACAAGATTCGTTTTTCTTGCCATGTACATGTATACATCTGAATTAAACTGTGTTGTTTTTCTGTGTCATAGAATATATATGGGTACGTGGGTATATGCAAAAATTTTCTGGTCATATTTATGTAGGGTATATTGGAGGTGGTGACTCTTTGAGAGCTGTATGCAATGAAATTTCATTTTAATGTATGCCAATTAGTATACATTTAAAGCAGCGGTTCTCAACGTTTGTGTGACGGCGACCCCCGTCACACAAATGTTATGCGCATGTGCGGTGCGCCGCCCCCATGTGCAGCGCACATGCGCGCCGCTGCCCCGGGAGATGCGGCGCCACCCCCATGCGCAGCACGCATGTGCGCCGCCGCCCCCGGAGGGGAGAAAATGGCAGATCGCCGCCTTTGGCGACCCCCGAAAAATGGTCGCGACCCATAGGTTGAGAACCGCTGATTTAAAGTGACAATAAAGTTATTCTATGCCTATGTCTATTCTCCCACCAGATAAACTGTTTTAGCACTAAATCACTTTTTTAACTTTCTCAGTTACATTTTTACTGAGTTACCCAATTTCTATAAACAGGTAACTCCTATACCCCACAATTACTTACAGAATATACATTTCCATTTCCAGTTGAATGGCTTCAGTAAGGAAATGTGGATAACAAAGGAAAAACTCCAAGTAGTAAGAACTGGTAAGATTGTTTGATGGATGAATAACTTAGAATCAAAATAGCTTAGAAAGTAGTTGTAAAATTATTGCTAGGAGAACATTTATTGCAAGTGATTTTGTCTCTGACATCTCTCTATCTGTGTAGTGCAAATAACTTGCAGCATTTTTTAACTATGTTGAACCCATAAAATGTTCAAATTATCACACTCACACTGTGTGATTCTATTAGTCATTGTTGGGTAATTTTTAAAATTTGCATGTTATGAATAAGACAGGCTGTTCCAACAAATTTTAGAACAAAATTTTATTCCAGTTGAAGCTTCCTAGTTGTCCTCAAGGATAACTGAAAATTCCTGCCTGATTGCAAATTATTCCCATCCAGAAATGCTACAGCTTCTAAAGCAGCAGTTCTCAACCTGTGGGTCGCGACCCCATTTGGGGTCGAATGACCATTTCACGGGGGTCGCCAAACAACACGATTCGCCATTTTTTCTCAACTGGCGGCATTGCGCATGCGTGCCGTGCCGTGCGGCGCATGCGTGCTGCGCATGGGGTGGCATGGGGCGCCGCTGCGCATGCATGCCGCGCATGGGGGCATCGCTGTGCATGCGTGCCACGCATGGGGGCACCGCCACACATGCACACCGCGCATGGGGTCGCCGGCGCACATGCGCAACGTGCTGCACATGCGCGGCGCATCCTTATGAGCGGGGTCGCCAGTATAAAAAGGTTGAGAACCACTGTTCTAAAGCATCTAAAAACTGTGAAAACAATAAAAGCAACCAATCAATAATTGACGAGACTAGCTCAGGATGAATATTAAATCCCCAAGAATCACTGTCTTTGCCCTTCCAGGGTTCAGTTTCAGTTTACTGGCCTATCTTGTCCATTAATGAGTCCAGACAACAACTCAGCACCTTTGGGACTTGACCTGATTTCAGCCATTAGGAGAAGTCAAGTGGAAAGGTCATCAGTATGGTAAATCCCCCATTAGGACCTTGTGGGTTGAGGGTGAGCGCCTGACTTACCCGAAGACCAGGAAGCCCTGGAAAACCATCTATGCCAATCCTGCCTGGTAAACCATCTTCTCCTTGACTTCCAGGAATTCCTGGAGTTCCTGGGTCTCCCTTGGCACCTTGAAAACATGGTTTTATGGAAATGCAGCAAAATAAGTCAATATATAAATAAAGTGGTTTAGTTTACATTTTAAAAAGATATCTGTTTGTACCTTTTGTGGTAACATATTGGGAATCCCCTTTTATCCCTTTTGGTCCAGATGGTCCAGGTACACCAGGGATTCCCTATTGATGGATATTAAGAAAATTTAATGAATTACTCTAAAAACATACTGCAAAAATATAAGAAAAAGATTGATACCTTTTGTGAGAACAAAATGCACTGAAGTTTTAGAACAAAAGGAAAAAGAAGTCAGATAATTTCTCCCAATTAATGCAGATTTGTAAGTGGAATGCCTGTGTGTGCAGTCCTCTGTTGCAAAGAGAGGATTTCAAGAAAGTATTGAGTTTGTGCAAAGTTTATAATAGGCTGAATTTTACACAGAAAAGTATGAAGGAAATAAGATATAATTTTCACAAGATGATGAATTATAGTTTAGTTTCACAACTGGATCTGGTATTTTCATTTTTTTCTCATAAAAGATTCATAGCAGATTTTTTTTAATAAGTCCAAAGAAGTAATGGAACTTCTACAGGGAAAACAGTGCTTTCAAGTGGAAGGTCTACATGTGGGACTCCATTGCTGCAAAGAATGTAAACCATTTTATGGAGACATATAGTATGTAAACCACAATGAGTGTCCTGTCCACTCAGATGCTGTTGAAGAGTCTGCTCTAGGTGCTAGGGAAGAATGTCAATCTCAAGAGTTGGTAAACAATCAAACACTTGAGGCTAACTATGCTGTCCATTTTGCTCTGGCTCTGATCTCCTCTGCAGCAAGTTCTCCACTTTGCTAGTATACGGATGTACACATTCACCCACTCCACCCGCTGCTGCCTGTACCTTTCTTGCAATGCAGTGTAAATTACTTAAACCTTGTGTAAATTACTGTGTCTGCTTGGAACAAGACTTGGAGAGCCTTTTTCAGGAAAAGAAGTCCATATATGAAGAACTTCACTTTTGAAAATATTTATGGCATAAATATACATAATACATAGGAAAATATTACATAATATTTTGTTCTCTAAAATATATAATATTCCATTACAAAAATATCATACCTTTATACCAGAAAAGCCCGGAAGCCCATGGTAGCCTTGGTCTCCCAATTCTCCTTTCCCCCCAGCATATCCTATTGGACCTTGAAATCCTGGAGGACCAGGTTGTCCTGCAGGACCCCTTCTTCCTTCGATATGTTCAACACATTTGCAATCTCCTGCATCACCTACAAATATATATTTGTGTGTGTGTTTGTGTTTGTGTGTGCATAGTATTGAAACATTTACTCGCAACTATGGGTTTTAATAAAATTCATATAAAATTACAGCAGTTCCGTATATCCCTTCATAAATTCAAATATTACAAAGGCGAAAACCTTGTGCCAATAAAGCTGGGCTACTAAAAGCTGGGCTACTATATCTAAGTTTAAAAACAGATAGGACCACTAGATGGAAGTATAGAGATACTGAAAATTCTGCAGCCTGAATTTGGTAATCTAAATATTATGACAAATCCCACCGAAAAGCCAAATGGGATGCCTGGAGGTCACATTCAGCCTGCTCTTTGCATCAAGGACATAGTAGTCTTAAACAATTCCGCAGCACTATGCATCTTTACCTAAAGGTAAGTCATAATGCATTCCTTGGGGTTGAACTTTAACTCTGCTTAGTATTGAAACATCAACTTTTACACACTTGGGATTTCACTATGGAAACCTCAACATCTAATTCCACTATGGAAACCTCAACATCCAATTCTGTATGAGCCTGAAAAGAGATGTTGCTTTAACAAATTCTTTTAGTGAAGTTAATCAGGCAGTTAAAATAGCTGCATTCATTTCTGAATCATGCACAGCCCTATATTTAGCATTATTATTTATTTGCAACATTTACTTATAAAATGATTATTAGGGAGCTTATAATCAATACAATGCAATGCAAAAGATTACAGGTAGTCCTCAATTTATGACAATGCTGACTTAAGACCAGTCATCAAAGTTATGATCGTTGCATCACCCCCATAGTCATGTGATTGTGGTTTGGGCATTGGGAACTGGCTCACATTTACAATGGATGCAGTAACCTGTGGCCATGTGATTGCAATTTGTAGACCTTCTCAGTTAGTCTCTGACAAACAAAGACGATGGGGAAGCCAGATTCATTTAATGACCACTTAACAACTGCAGTAAAATTAATCATAAAATCAGGTCTGGTCACCTGATGACTTGTTTACCATCTGCTTCATTTAGCAATAAAAATTCCAGTACCAATTGTGGTTGTAAGTCAAGGACTACCTGCATTTATGAAACAACCAATTGAAGCCTACACTACAATGGATCTAGCTGCACAAGCTTTCTTCCTCTGGATTCGAGCCATTTTCAGAAGATTTTCATTGATCTTAACTCAGATTAACAAAGGGGTCACGCTAGCTATAATCAGTGGGAAAAAGTAAATCAACCAGAAAATTTCCAGCTCTCATCAGATTTCATTGATCTCCACTGAAGATGAATAATTTAATATGTCCTCTTATAACCTTAAAACTTAACAAGTTCATTTGATCATGATAAGGAAGCAGGTAAAATGCCTCACTTTTTTTTTGTCCCTTTCAAGACAGTGAGGATTTGAGATGGGATTGTATGTTCTGTGAAATAGAACCTTCACAGAACTTTCCATCAAAATGAAGTGATGAGGCAAAGCAAAATACACCATTTTGCTACTTTCAATTGGGAGTGCCAAGGTTGATTGCTTTTTTATGTTAAGGTGTTTTTATCTTTATTTCCAATGGAAGATCCACATCCAGTGAGGGAATGGAGGATTTTAGAAATAAACCACTGGCTTAAGGGATGGTGCCATTGAGAGAACTTTGGATTCCTAGACCACAATCTATATTGTCCACATGAAGGACTTCTGGCAGAGCATGGGCTGCACCTCACATGAACCAGGAAGAATGTGTTTGGAAAACAACTGGCTTGGCTTATCTAAAGGGATTTAAACTAAAACTGGAAGGGAAGGAAGACCATCTTTAGGACCCAATCCCAAACATAAACCCTAAGACAGGGGTGTCAAACTTGCAACATCATGTGATGTGTTGTGACTTTTTTTCTATTGCCAGCAGTGGAGTGGGCGCAGTTTCAGCATGACGCATCTGGCCCATGGGCGAGCAGTTTGACACACCTGCCCTAAGATAACCAATTAAGCATTGAGGTAGGGAGTGGTGAGAAGGGGAATTCAAATATAAAACAGGAGATGTAGGAAACAAATGGAGTGTCAGCAAAAAAGGATTTAGACGCCTATATATACAAATGCTTAAAATACGGGGAACAAACAAGGTGAACTTGAAGTCTTAGTACAGGAGGACAGGTACAATATTGTTGCCATTACTGAAATTTGGTGGGATGAAACCCATGATCGCAATGTAGAAGGGTATACGTTGTTCAAAAGAAACAGACCCAACAAAAGAGGAGGGAGTAAAAAATCACTACCTCTCTAAAGAAATGCACAATACCAAGGATGCAAGTTTTCATGAATGCATTTGGGTTAATATAAAAGGAAAAAAGAATGATATTGCTATAGGTGTATATTACAGGCCATCCAACCAAACACAGGAACTAGATGAATTTTTTGCTAATCAGTGAGCTAAGATGTGTAGAAAGCAAACTACAGTAGCAATGGGGGACTCTAACTACCTTGATATCAACTGAGAGACAAACTCTGCAATTAGTGGGAGATCAAACAGGTTCCTAATATGTCTAGCTGACAACTTTGTCATCCAAAAGATAGAAGATAGAACCAGAAGGTCAGCTATACTCAATTCTTACTAACAGGGAGAAAAAGATAGAGTGGGTTGAGTTGCAGGATCTTTGGGGGACAGTTAAAATCTAAAGAAGCTGAAGAAGCTTTCTTGGATGAGAAGTGAAACATCTTCAAAGAAAAACAAGAAAGTCCAGTTGCCTCTTGAAAAAGTACCTTTGGGACAATCATGACCTAGATGACTGAGAATCTCCATAGACATTTAGCTATGCACTTTGGGATGAATACCCTTTGAATGGTGCAGGAGTATGAACGGATTTCCAAAACTGCAGACTACAGGAACTATTTGCGCTTCAGTATGAGATGCAGACAACACAGACTCATCACCAATAGCTTCAAGGGACACAGGACAGAAAACATCCTGCAGAAAGCACAGTTCCACACACATACAGTAGTCCTGTCAGCAATTCCAAGAAGGCTCCACACCAATTTGTACTACTTTGGTGACCCTGAGGACATAAACCTCCAAGTGGCCTCAATGACTCTCTAAAAGAATGCAAATGACCAGCTGTCTGCAAGGAATATAAATTTTTCCATTCCACACTATCCAGTCAGAGTTGAAGATGCTTCTTGGATCAGAAGCAAAACATCTTCAAAGAAAAACAAGAAAGTTCAGTTGCCTCTTGAAAAAGCATCTTTGGGACAATCATGACTTGGATGACTGAGAATCTCCATAGAAACCTAGAACTAAGGAAAAATTTCCTGACAATGAAAATCAGTGGAATGGCTTGCATTCAGAAGATGTGGATGTGGTTTTCAAGAAGAGATTGAACAACGATTTGTTTGGAATGGTTGGGGATTGGTCTAGAAGACCTCCAAGATCTCTTCCAATCTTGTTATTCTACGTTGTATCTTGGAGCAACTGGAGTTGGTTGGATTAGTACCATTTTACATAATTAGTAAACTAACCCACTCATCCCAAAAGGAAAAAAAAAAGAATAAAAATGACTATATAGTTAAAAGAGTTAATAGATAAGACTGAGATTTTTAAAAAAAAACACTTGCAAGATGAGCTTTCTTGTAAGAGAAATCCTGAAAGTAGAGAACTAAACAGAAAGAAAAGCATTTTAGACTATATCCCATTATACAATGCACATGAAGTATGTTCTCTGCAGCAAAATCTATGGCAGACATGTCAAACACAAGGCCCGGGGGCCGGATGCGGCCCGCGAAGTGGTTTCATGTGGCCTGCAAAGCCATCCTGGAAACAGTGAGGGAACAGCCCCCGCTGCCTTGGCCCTGGCCCAGGCCAGGTGTGAGCCAATGTACAATTTTGTGATGGCCATCTATGCTGAAAGGCATTCAGTCTTAGCTCCACAAGGCCATCTGGAAACAGCGAGGAACCAGCCCCTGCCGTGTTGGCCCCGCCCCCTGGGTGCATGCTTGGGAGGTGTCACCCTTTGTGAGGAATGAAGAAATGGACCATGCCTTGGCGCTTGCCCCGGTCCCACCCCCTTCTGCCAGAGACCCTCAGATCTGTCCCACTCCTCTCCAGGCACCCTTGACATGAACAATGTAGAGCTGGCCATGCCCACCCAGTAGGCCACACCCACTCCATCCACGCCCACCTAGTAGGTCACACCCACCCGGCCTCCCGAGGGCAACTGCAGTGCTGATGCAGCCCTCAATGAAATTGAGTTTGACACCCCTGATCTATGGTGACAATAGATCAATATACTTCAGTATTTTAAATGTTACCTTTCAGTCCTTTTTGTCCTCGTGGACCTGGATAACCTTGCCTGCCTGCAGGACCTTGAACTCCTGGATAGCCCTTCAGCCCAACGGAATAACCTGCAGGAGAGGAAGACTAGAGTGACTGAGGGAGACTGAGATGTTTACGCAGTTCTGTACCAGCATTAAGGGGTTAGCTTGTCTATGCTAAGACTTATGAAAAAGCCTGAAATAGGTAGATACGAAGATAACGTTGATATTAGTTGTTGGGAGATTTACATCTTTCTTTCTTTTGATCAGCTCAAAATATTTATATATGAGTATAATAGCACTGTTATCCCCCCCCACTTCTTTCAGACATCAGGCAGCAGCAGAAGGATTTTTTTTCCCCCTAAACCTTTAAAAACCAGTATATAAATATCCATTCCATTTACCTGGACTTCCTGGGTGGCCTGGAGGTCCAGGGAAGCCAGGTGCTCCTGGTTCACCATCTAAACCGGGACGACCAGGATGAAGAGCTGGGAAGCCAGGATCGCCAGTGAAGCCTTTGGGGCCCATTTCTCCAGGAAAACCTCTTTGCACAGTAACATCTGGAATGGGGGAAAAAGTGGCTATGTATGATGTTAACTAATGTGATATTTGATAATATGAGGGCCATAACCCAAAATACTTCTTTCCTGATCCTTCCCCCACTTGACTTCTTGTGTAGGTGGAATCTGGCCCTCTCTTCCTAACATATCCCAGTGCGATGCCATGTAAGAGTTTAACAATTTGACCTGACTAGTAGTTTTCTGTCATATTTTGAACTAGCTACAACATCTGAATCATTCTAAGGACAGCTTCAAATAAAGCTCATTATAGTAATGTAGTCCAATGGTGAGGTTCTGAAGTAATAAAAGTAGAACCACCTTCATGAGCCAGGTAGAGCAGCAACTGTCACTCCTTCTGAAGCTGGGCATAGGCTCCACTGGCTACAGCTTCCATCTGCTGCTGAAAAAGGAGCCACCATCCCAGGAAGATCCTCGAGCTGCAGACCAACTCCTTCAGAGGTAGATGACCCCATCAAGCGCCAGTACAGTGGCTGATGTTATCGATGCCATCAAATTTAAGCTTAATCTGGGGTTTAATCTGATTTTTTTCTCCCCATTCAGCCACTGAATATATTCTGGATAAGTATATATTGGACAACAAATGTTTTCAAAGATTTTGCTTCCTGAAAAACTTTTGATGATTATGACAGAACCTTTCAAACTGAACACAAATATAATTTCACAACAATATAGGAATAGGAAATAAGAGAAATAAGAAATTAACTTTTACTGACTATAATGTATTTAATTGCATAATGTTTCTGACATGCTACGTGAGTTCATGTAGGACTAAAAATGATTTTCCTTTGCACTCAGCTGCTGATTTTCCTTTGCACGCAGTGTCCAATGTGTTGCGTCCTTGGCGGGAAAGCAGACACGAGAAGCAGCTGGAGTTCTCAGTTTCTTTTATTCAGCGTTCAGTTTACAGGAAGATGGCTTCAGCCTCGCCCAAACGCCTCGCAGCCTCTTATATAGGCAACTCCCGGGTAAATGGGTTACTTTTCCCGCGCCAGCACCCGCGCATGCGCACGGCGCTGGCGACAGCCTGTCTGGTCCCGGGCAGCTTTGCACCTGCCCGGGACTGCCTGCAAACGCCCGAGCCGTTTGCAAAGGCTCGGGACATAACACCCCTTTCCCCCGGGCTAAAACTACTACCAACATACAACATTTATTTTATATAACATTTTGCTCCCCAGTGCTCCCACTGTTTACTGGCCTTTGCCTTGCCAGCAATGTTATGTAGTCTTCTAGGTACTTGGGAGATTTCTTTGCTCTCTGTGACCTTCTTAGCTCTGGATTACTGGCATAAGTCCCCTGACTGGAGGGAGGCGTGAGCCTTTTCTCTCTATTGTGCCCTGGTGTCTTCCAAGGACTGTGCCCCAATGCCTGGCCTGCTCGCTTGCCCACGGGCTCGTCAGGCCAGGGCTTCTGTTGCTTTGTGACCTGGTTGACCTGCCTAGCTGTAGACCCTCGGGCCCCTTGAAGTGATAGCCGCTGCTGGGCGTCTCTGTAGGACCTCCTAGGTCAGTCCAAGACCTGTCAGGAGGCTGTCCATTCCCTGAACCCCATTCTGTGTTCGGGCTCGTGTGGGTTTCTGTACTTTCCCAAAACTCAGGTGTTCCCTGATTTGTGCTAGGGTTGTTGTAGTCGGGACTTGGTTCCTCGACTAGCTCTGTGTATGTTTGACCCCCTGTAGGATTTGGGGTAAGGTCAGGCCAACCTTGGGGATTGTGTGCCAGCTCTCTTGCGGGGAATGATTTGTTGGGATGCCCCCGGGTATCCTCCGTGACTGGAGTGCTGTGTGACGTGTGTGGAAAGTGAGTATGCCCCCGGGGTGACTCCCTGGCTGGAGTAGGCGTGGATGCCTGGTAGTTAGGTAAGCTCATGGAATTCTTGTTCGGAGCTCTCGCAGAACCCTGGGATGGGCCGTTTGTGGCTCCCTCAGTGGAGATGGGCAGCAGCTCGTGCCCTTCCCTTTGCTCCAAAGGGTCCCCCTCCCCCCCTGGAAAAGACCCAGGAGTCTCAGCAGAAAAGTCTCGCCTAGAGCGAAGTTGGTCGATGTGCCGACGTAGGACACGACCGTTGTCCAGGGCAACCTCGTAGGAGAGAGGACCTGTGATCCTGGACACAGAAGCGGGGACCCATGTATGACCAGGCCCGTAATTGCGAGCCCAAACCGGGGCACCCACAAGTAGTTGTCTAGGTGCCCTAGGATGTGAGGTAGATGAAGGCAGTCTGTCCGGATGCAACCGGTCAAGTCTAGTAGTAAGTTGGCGCCCCCAACGAAGTTCAGCTGGACTTCTCCCTGTAGAAGTGGACGGTGTGGTGCGATAAGAAAGGAGAAAGTCAGCCAACCTGTGATGCCAGTCCCCGTAGGTGAGTCTCTTCAAGGCGTCCTTTGCGATGCGCACCATGCGTTCAGCCATACCGTTGGTGGACGGGTGAAAAGGCGCAGACGTGGCATGACGAATCAGGTTTGCCTGTAAGAAAGCTTGGAATTCGGAGGAGGTGAATTGAGGGCCGTTGTCGGACACAATGACATCTGGCAGCCCGTGTGCAGCAAAAATCCCCCTCAGTACCTGAATAGTCTTCGCAGTGGTGGTGGATGAGACAGGCACAACCTCAAGCCATTTTGAATGGCTGTCAACAAGGACCAAGAAGAACTGGCCCTGAAAGGGCCCAGCGTAGTCAATGTGCACCCTAGACCATGGGGACTGTGTTTCCTCCCATCTATGCACAGGAGCTTGGGGCATCTCTGGGCGAGATCGTTGGCACAGGTGGCATGCGTGTACCTTAGCCTCAATATCTTTATCTAAACCAGGCCACCACAAGTGGCTTCGTGCAAGAGCCTTCATACGGACAATGCCAGGATGACCCTCGTGGAGGGATTCTAAGACCCTAGTCCTCATTGAGGTGGGAATGACAACTCTGTTTCCCCAAAGCAGACAACCCTGAGAAAGGGACAGTTCGTTTCTTTTGGACCAGAAACTCTGAAACTCAGGACTAGGGCAGTGCTCAGGCCACCCGGACAGGACCCAGGAGCGGACACGTGAAAGTGTGTGATCTGTACCTGTTTCAGCGGTAACATCCCTGGCACTAAGAGGGAGCTCGGGCAAGGCTTGGATTGATAGAATGTTGACAGCTGGCGCGGGGTCAGCTTCTACTACTGGCAGAGGCAACCTACTGAGGCCATCAGCATGGCCCATTTCTTTCCCAGGCTTGTGGAGTAATGAAAAATCATATGCAGACAAGAAAATAGACCACCTAAGCATTCTAGGGGAAAATGATGTGGGGAGTCTGCTTACGTGTGGTAAACAGTCCCAGCAGAGGCTTATGGTCAGTGAAGACCGTGAAATGCCTGCCATATAGAAAATCGTGGAATTTTTTAATTCCAGCAACAACAGCCAGAGCCTCCCTGTCTATCTGAGCGTAGTTGCGCTCGGCAGAAGACAGTGTTCTGGAGTAGTATGCAATAGGAACCTGAGTTCCATCAGACCTGAGGTGACTCAGGACAGCTCCAACCCCGTAGGGGGATGCATCACAAGCGATGCACACAGGAAGAGACTCGTTGAAATGTGCAAGAACACTGTTAGAAGTGAGCAAGGCCTTGACTTCTTTAAAGCAAGCCTCATGTGCTTGTGACCACAGCCACACAGCTTGTTTGTCTAGTAGCCTGTGAAGAGGCTCAGCTACACTAGCTTTATGTGGAAGAAAAGAATTGTAGAAATTCAGGAGGCCTAGGAAGGCCTGAAGTTCGGCCTTAGACTTTGGCCTGGGTGCTTGTAAAATAGCAGTTAGTTTGGATTCAGCAGGATGAATCCCAGCAGCATCAATTTTGAATCCCAGAAATTCAGTAGAAGGCACCCCGATCTTGCATTTGTCTTTTCTGAGCTTGAGGCCTGATTCCCTGAATCTTAACAGGACAGCCCTAAGTCTTTCAGCTAGAATGTGTGTGGAGTCTCCTGCAATCAAGACATCGTCAAAGTAGGGGCAGACCCCTGGTATACCTCGTAGTGTGTTTTCCATTACGCTTTGGAAAATCCCAGGAGCGACATTTACTCCAAACTGTAGCCTTTTTACTTTAAAGGCTCCCCTGTGGGTCACAATGGTCTGAGCTATGGCAGCATCATCATCAACAGGCAGCTGTTGATATGCTTGAGCTAGGTCAAGCTTTGCAAAAACACGCCCCCCCTTGAGAGAGGCCAGGATGTGACTGACCACAGGAACAGGATAGGCATGTTGCTGCAATGCCTTATTGAGTGTGCATTTGTAATCAGCACAAATGCGAATGTCCCCATTTGCCTTTAGAGGCGTGACAATGGGGGTCTCCCACGGGCTGGAATCAACAGGTTCTAGGATTCCCTGTTGGATTAGTTTGTCTAGTTCAGTGTCAATCTTACTTTTTAAAGCAAAAGGGACCCTTCTTGCTTTAATCCTAATGGGAGTGACAGTGGGGTCTAGCTTTAAGGACACAGGTGGTCCTTTGAATGTGCCCAGCTGGGGGCTGAAAACATCTGCAAATTCTTTGCAGACTTCCTGTAGGTCGAGTGTTTGTAAACTGTTGAGTCCTGTGACGTGTATCCCCAGGGCCTCAAACCAATCGAGTCCTATGAGACTCGTTCGTTCACCCCCTACTACTAATAAGTCTAGTGGACCTTCAAAACTCTTGTATTGCACGTTAAGGGTGGCCTCCCCCTTAACACACACTCTTGAGTTCTGAAAATCTGTTAATACAATATCAGAAGGCCTTAACTTGGCCTTAGACCCACTTCTGGAACAAATCTTCCTAAATGTATGCAATGAAATGATGGACAGGGCAGACCCTGTGTCTAGTTCCATAGATAATGGAACCCCTTGTAGCTTCACGTTGAGTGACAGCTTTTTCTTCATGGGCTTGTGTGTGCCTGTTCTACAGATGCTTCTTCGCGAAGCGCAAAACCCTACCCTATTCTGGCTGGGGAATCTGGTACCTTTCAGGCGTTCTTCTTGGGGTTGTGCCT